CAACTAGGCTAATCTTATTTCTATAAGCCATGAATAGAACAAATAGGGTAACAGAGCAAAAACAATATTGGGCCCAGGATGCTCCCTTGGAGCACTCCCATATATTTGATCTTAATTTAACCATATATCCAAATATATGTATAATAGGCTAATTCAATTTCTATAAGCAATGAATGAAACAATCAGGGGAACTAAGTAAAGAGAGGGAGGTCGTTAACACAGAGCAGAAACTATAGTGGGCCTGGTATGCTCCCTTGAGACACTCCCTAATATATTTATATTAATTTTTTTTAAATAAATGTATAACTGGGCTAATTTGACTTCTATAAGCAATGATGAAGCAATCAGGGGCACTAAGTAAAGAGAAGGAGGTCGTTAACACAGAGCAGAAAATATAGTGGGCCTGGTTTGCTCCCTTGAAACACCCCCTAATATTTTTATCTTAATTCTTAACAAATATAATCTTACTTTTTACCAAATAAATGTATAACTAGGCTAATTTAACTTCTATAAGCAAAGAATGAAGCAATCAGGGGCAATAAGTAAAGACGAGGAGGTCAGTAACACAGCAGAAAATATAGTGGGCCTGGTATGCTCCCTTGAGACACTCCCTACTATATTTATATTAATTTTTTTTTAAATAAATATATAGCTAGGCTAATTTGAATGTTATAAACCATAAAATTGCAGAGTTTTGCATGTCTACAAGACACTTTCTTATAGAATTCTTATATAATTTTACACGTACAATAATTTCAGCTGACATCACCCGGTATTCTCAATATAACATGGAAAATCTTACAACAGTAACCCCAGTAATGCAAAACATATGTCTTATTTTACAATCTCTCACTCTCTCCTCGGATGAAGTTGTGATCTGTGAATTGAATTGAATATCTTAAACAATAACGGGCCGTTTGCAGCGAAAATGACAAGAACGTGATCCGAAAAAAAAACGAAGTGGAAACCGGAACCAATGGTCACGTAACAGAGTCCCTCCACATCAGTGTTCCCAATTATTGTGAAACCGACCGACTCGAAATCTATCCGAGGGAAATTTTCACCTCTGCTTGTCTCTAAACACACCTCTTGAGGAAGAGATCATCCATGTAATTGCAATTGTAACAAGACATAAGTCAAACAGTTTGACTGCGATGCTTTTCCACCGAACCGGTCGAAAGAAATCACTCTTAAACTAATCAAAATAATATAAACTAATTAATTTATACCTAATTCTTGTATCCAAATGGTTGTACCATATCTATAGGCAGAGTCAGAAACACCTGTTCAGCCCACATTTAAAGGAACTGGTGATGATTTACATACAATACATTTTAGATGATATGCGTTAAAAAAAGAAACTTACCCCCGTGACCCCTAGTTTATTAGGGTTGATGGTTGAGTGTAGATCTGCGAGTCGGTAGAACAGGTAATGGGTATTTTTTGTAAGGATGGTAAAAAAAAAACCTAGTGGTTTAAAACCTGTGAGTAAAATCCATCCATTACAAAAAGTAAATGCTCACCACATCTTCATATTACTTCTAGGCATTGGGTCCATCTACAGCCGAGAGTTTTTATGTTACTTGGGTTCCCGCCAGTTAACAAGTGTGAAGTGACCAGTGCCATTTCCAAGAGCTTATTTTTATCTGCTAACTTAAGCATTGGCGCAAAAAAATTCCATGTTGCCAGGTAGAAACACTAGGAACAATACGACCTAAACTCATAGGATATCCCGCCAACATTCCGGTAAAGAAAAGTAGAAAATATGGAGAAATCGCTAAAGTTGCTCTGAAGCAACACAGGGACAGAAAGGGTTAAGAATAAGAACCTCTACAAACTCTATTACATTTACGGTACATATTCAGCCTCAATCAACTCACCCCTCCCTATATCCCTGACGTCGTACACCATTTAATGGAACTAAACTGTTTTTCACTTTTTGTTTGTGTTAGACAGGGCATTACCACACAGCTTGTATACAGTTTTATATTATATAGTTTTTAAACAAAATCTCTAACTCGGAAGGAATTCGCAGAAATGGGCAGAATCAAAGACTTGACACCCCCTGCTTATAACCCTGACTTGGTACCATCTGTCTATCCTTTCGTAAAGTAATTCTAGAACAATCTAGGAGTGTTTGACAAATTGCGAAAAAATTATAATACAGGGTCGATATGCTCTTATCGAGAAAATTCTTTAATGCAAATTGGAGGAGTTTATCACTGAAGATGATGTCGTAAAAGCATTTGTCCAGGTAAATAAATAAAAGTTCATTCTACAATAATTATTTAAGTCGATTCTGGTCTGACTATCCTTGTTCTTGTGTCTAACGTTGCCCCAAAAAATTAAAAGCACTAGTACTTTTTACAAAGACCATTTGTTGAACCGGCATTAGGTCTATACATGTATATAGGTTTTTTTATTAGTTTTTCTTTTAACTTTATTCGTGCCGGAGGAAGTTGTGTAGTTTTGTCTATTATGGTGGATCCTAGGTGTCTTGTTTGTTCTTGTATGTCTGGACAGAAAACCCAGGCCGTTTCTTCGTCTACTATGGCCTAGGTTATGTTACTATTTAATGGACTTTGTGTTATGTTTTGTCCTTTTCATATAAGCTTTGTTTTGGTTACATTTATGTTACCCGTTGTGTGTTAGTTATTGATTTTTGGCTTGTGTTGTCTTCGTGTAGTTATGAAGTTTCCGGAAGAAAATTGCTAGGTGGAAACCAAGCCCTTTGTTAGGTCTTTCTTTATTTATAATGGATGGATGTTTTCATCCAAGTTTTTGTTAGCAGTCTTTGCTTTTATGTTAAATGTAGTAGTTTGAACCCGAGATTGTAGACTGACCCACCAGTTCAACCTATGCATGTTCAAAAATAATGTGAATTTCAATAAAATTATACAAACGTACATGAATTATTTACCGATTTGTCTTTAATTTTTGGTCAATTGGCCTTAAAATTTGCTTTAAAATTTTGCGTAAATTATATATTATCGGGTCATAATGTTTAAATATGATCATTATTCAGTGGTATTGGTGTGTTCATCGAGTTATTATGAAAAATTTCAAATAGGTAAACGTGTTTTGTACAGTTCAAAAATGTTTAATAAAAATCCATAATACATCGTTTTTAAGGTGTTTAATTTTGATTTATGCTTGGGCCATTAGTTCCGCATGAATCTAGATACTCGGTTATCCTCTCGTGCACTTTTCTTCTTACCTCGTGCAAATATTTGGGCGAGTTCTTGAAATATTTCTCGCCGTTTTTCGTCATGCGGAACGTCTCATAAGCTTCCATCATCGACGACTGTTCCGCGTTCCTGACCGAATGTTGTCCTGAGTGGAAGACAAAGTCATTGACGTCCACGGCCAATATCATATGTGCCAAAAGCCGGCTCGGGTCGTACAGATCGCCTTCGTACTGACAACAGAAGTGCAGATTGGCGTACAGATCTTTACAAGATGAAGAGCCGCAGACCACTTCGACTTCCAAGCCGAAACGCCTAGCTTCTTCGAAAAGTATGAAAGAACAAGGCAGACAGGCACCTGTGAGATCTGCTCTGTAAAATTCCTCGGCGATCACTCTGCTGATATCGTTAAGCCTTTTCTTGCTGGACGAGGACGCCATACTGTAAATTATGTTTATGATGGCTCAGACTTTTCTGTCTGACAGTAAACACTCCTTCTGTTTATATTTCTTATCGCTCCCCCCTTAAAAGAACAAAGTCTCTTTTCTATTCAAGATTTTATCATTGTTGAACAGTTCATAACACAGATTTTGTTAAGCAGAAGGCACTCACTCTTATTGATTCTAATTCTATGCATTCAGCATAAAATACTACATCCGGTGATTCACATATTTAAATAATTTCCTTTATATTATTAACAATGAAACCATTGTTTTCTGTTTTTATAGCTTTTTTTTCATAAGAATTATTCTCAGTAATATTAATCCTTTCGAAATAGCGAATCCTCGATCGTTATTTATGATAACATACAACTTTTTTTTGCTAAAAAGTATTTTAAATTAATTAATCTTAATCATAATTCATAAAATCATAAAGCCAGCCGGTTTAATTGTTCGCCTAACATACCTTAACGTGACACTGAATATTACAAACGAATCCAAAATAATTAATAATTAACTCCCAGTGTGCGACACAGATCCGAGGATAATCCGAGGATTTCGACAGTCGAAAGTGTGGCCGAGTGCGTTTGATTTTGACTCGAAAGTGTTGCGGATGTGTTGTGGGAATGTCCTCTTCTTGTCCTCATATTACAAAAAGCTGGACGGTTTAACTGAATTATCGACAAACGGTCTAAATTAAAAATTTTGATAAACATTTCGCCTTTGGATGCAGACATGGGCGTGGCATAATCCGATCATCGTGCCATTAATCACATCCCACATGATTAATCGTTTTTCAACGTGTATATCGATCCTTTATTGTGTATTAATTTATCATTGTGACAAGTTGTTGAGTCTATTAAGCCTAAACCTATTTTTAATTGTCGGTGTGGTCAGAATGTTCAAAACCGTTTGCATAATTGGCTCTCCTACACCCACTGCATAATAAACTAAGGGGATATTTGCTATTCCGAACGACACCCTTCGAATTGTCAGCTCTGATTACATGTTTTAATACATTAACACACTTTTGATTATTGATATGCTCAATGTTTGACTCAGCTTCTGATTTTGGAAGTGAAAATGTCTTCAAGTCCAAATTTATTGAGCTGAATGAGCATACCTCGAACCTTATTAAAACCTAGTTGCAACTAAAATTTGATTCAAGTATTAAAAAAAAGAGAAAAACAAATTTAATAATTCTATCTCTAGTTTATAGAAAATAAACCGTCTTTCACATCCAATTTTTGAATAATGTACAGACATTGTCTGTTGAATATTTCTATTAAAATTTGACTTTAAAACAAGTAACAAGTTCACATTTAATCCACCAAATCCATAGACGCTTTTTAATTATAATTTATTTTTGTTCTAGATTCCAACCGTACGTCACATGGATGGGATTCCAGTAAACACCGAAAAACAATCCTTCGAATCATCGAACAGCATACGTCCAGCGGAACACTGTGATCTATTATTCGCATCAAATTAAATTAAAAAATACAATAAAGAAAAGAGAAGAGGTAATCACAAAATTACTAATCTTGTCGACCGCCTCTAACCGAATTTTATAGCACAGTCAGTATGAAGCAAGATATATGACAAGGGAAATCACGAAGAATCAATATGATCAAGAATGATATTTACACTTTTAGCAGTAACAACAGCAATCAAGACAAGTTTAGCCATAATCGGAACAGGTGATTTTTTTAATTTTCTATTATTTGACTAGTGATCATGGTCTTGAATTTAAATTATCTTATATTTTTTAAGGGATATGGCTTATACCGATGTTGATTGCTGGTTTGGCTTACTATCGCTATGACAGCGTAGATCCGGAATCGCGTTTGATGAACACGCGCCAATTATTACCGGAATATGATTTCGTAATAATTGGAGGTGGAACGGCAGGAGCAGTGGTAGCGAGCCGCCTCTCAGAAGTGCCACATTGGAAAATTCTATTGCTCGAAGCAGGTCCCCAAGAAAATGAAATATCTGATGTACCCTCTTTGGCTGCCTACCTTCAACTCTCCAACATCGACTGGCAATACAAAACTGAACGAACAGGTAATGCATCAAATATGAATATACAGGGTGTATCAACTTCTATAGTCCACCCATTTAATTCGGAAGCGATTAACTTTAGCAAAACATGGTCTTACACAGGCCCTAAGTTAAGTTTGGCTAGGAATCGCGTGGTGGTAACAGATGTAACATAACTTTCTCATCTAGCTGGGAAATAACACTAATTTTGTTATTTTAAATGAGAGTCCCAAATTTTTATTGCACAATTCGATTCTAGAGTTTATTTTATGCCACTTTTACTGATAGGAAAATTTGGATAGGATCGACCGTTTCTGCGTTACGCCCTGACGGAAGACACGACAGGGGGGTATGCTTTTTCAAACAAGATGGCTCTCCCTTTTTATTTCGAAAACGATTAGCATTAGCAAAAAATGGTCTTATACAAGCCCCAATTTAATTTTGGCTAGGAATCGTGTGGAGATAACAGATTTAACGTATCTTTTTCATCTAACTGGCATCCGTTGGGCATAACTCAGAAATGGTCGATCCTATCAAAATTACCCTTTCAATAAAAGTGGCATAAAATAAGCTCTCGAATCGAATTTTACAATAAAAATATGGGATTCTCACTTAAAATTACAAAGTTAGTGTCATTTCCCAGCTAGAGGAGAAGAGAAAGTTATGTTAAATGGTCAAAAAACTAGGTGTGGGCCAACCCCTCTTGGGATGGGTCGACTCCTTTTTGTCTGAAGATCTTTTGTTGTAAGATTTGGTGAAGGCTTATCGAAGCCTGTGTACGTTCGATCTGGTGTGCCGCAAGGCTCTCATTCTGGTCCGATCTTATTTCTTTTATTTTTTAATGACGTCGCCTCTGCTCTCATTAATTCTTCATTTTCACTGTTAGCAGACGATTTGAAAATTTATCGCCCTGTCGATGATTGTATTCTCTTACAAAACGACTTGAGACGCTTTTGGCTTTGGTGTACGCGTAATAATTTAAAACTAAACGGAAATAAATGTAAGATTTTGAAGTTCTTCAAGAAAAAAATAATTCACGATTACGACCAATTCGTTTATAGTGTGTAGAGATTAGTGACCGTTAATCGATAGTTATTCAGATATCGTGAGATGCGGTCGGGAGTGATGTAGGTTTCAGAAAAACATTTTCTTTATCGTGCCAACGTTTCGATCTTTTATTGAGATCATCTTCAGGGCTCAAAGTGTTTGTCTTCTGTGTAATTGTGCCATCCTTGTGTGTCGTGTTGAGAGTGTTTCGTCTATAGTATTGAAGGTTCTCACATTGATAAGGTAGATACTATCTCGGGTCTCGGGATTATTTTTAATAAAAATTGTGATTTTCGGAACCACATCCAGGCCTTTAGGAATAAATGGTTTAAAAATTACTCAGCCAAACTGTCGACTTTAAGAACCCTTTTGTAGAACTGTACTGGTGCGAGTCACCTACAGTATGCCAGTGTTGTTTGGTCGCCTGGTTCTTTAGATGGGTCTTACATGATAGAAAGGGTTCTGACAAAGGCCACGAAATACCTGTAATACAAGATATGCAATCACAGGAAGTACCATCATTGCTCCTATGAAGACAGGCTTGCTCTAGTAGGCCTGGATTCTCTGGCGGATAGAAGAGTTTTGGCTTCCGTTATGTTTCTATGGAAGATCCTAAATAATTTTATTGACTCCCCGGAGATATCTTGCATTGGCTTTAGGGTTCCCCTGGGTTAACTACGGACTCGTGAATTGTTTAGTACTTCACGGCACAGGACCAAATACAGGTTAGAGTCTTCAATCTTCACAGCGGTGCATTACATAAATAAAGTCGCTATCAGTGCTGACCCCTTCTCCTCGTCCCTTAGGATCTTTAAAAAAAATATTGAACGAGCTTTAAAATGTAATTGTGGGTTCATTTATTAATTTTTATGTATTATTTATTAATTTATTTATAATGTTGATTTTTTTGTTAAAAGTGTTGGCCCTGCTTTGCTGTTATTTTTATTTTTATATCCTTTTTTAATAGTTTATATTCTAATGATTTTTTTGTTGAGTTGCTTGACTGACTGTTCTATGCTTGGGTACCTGACCTGTTTGGACTGTAAGTAAATAAAATAAAATAAATCTGTTACCACCTCGCGATTCCTAGCCAAAATTAACTTGGGGTTTGTATAAGACCATTTTTCCGAATTAAATAGGTGGACTATAGAAGTTGATACACCCTTTATATTATATATTATACATAATATTAATATAGTGTATGTGTAATATAAATAATAAGCCTGTTGTTTGCACGATTTAGTCCAACCAAGCTTAGAAATGAACAATGTACAATTAATTAAATGCGAGAAATTAAATTGACAATTTATTTAATTGTAGAAAAAGGTATTTATATTTTATTAATATTCTGAGGTATTTAATTTAATCCTTTAAATTGGGGCTTCACAAACTGTGATTCGGAGCCCTTGGACGGGGAGTCCAACCCTAACTAATTACAGAAATAAATTTAAAATAAATAAAATAAAAAAACTAATGAGTAGATACAAAGGAAAGTTTTTTAAATTTTTAATTATTCATTCTACTTTTATTTTTACATACGTAAACAAAATAGACGGAAGGTAAATGAGACGGATGGACTGTACTGGTCGGTCGATTTTCCGAGGAATTTCATACTAGGGTCCTTTATTAACGGGAACTGCTGCTTCTGGAACACCCTGAATTTTTCCAATGGTGTTTCTCGAAAATTTGATTCAAGATCAATTTCGCGCAATACCTACCTATTTGTGTGATTCTCAATGACCAGTTATTTACTCCAATATGGGTCGGGACTGAAGTCGGATCTCTGAGGAAGCATGCGGTTTCTCCATCACGTACTCAGCCAGGAAAGCGCCGAATTGGAATTAATGAGGCGGAAGGACAACCTACTGATTAGGACATTATTGGCGACAAACCTAATAAAAAACACCGTTCAGATAAAGCACCTCAGCAGGATCCAACATGCTCAAATTCTACAAGTCTCCGAATAGGTGCAGGTCAAACAGACAGTGGAAGTGGAATATCTAAAAAGCTTAGGTACCACAACAGCTACTTAGATTTTGGATTTATAGAGGCTGACGAGGGTAAAGCTCTGAGTGTGATTTGCGCGAAAGTCATCTTCCAAATAGTTCAATGGTTTCAGTTGTGTCACCATTTTGAGGGTACACACACAGAACATCGGGAGAAACAAACTGATTATTTTCATAAGGATGTGCACTGAACTGCCTGCTTCATTAAAACTCACGCAAAAACTGTTATTGAAAACTCACTAAAAGCGTCTTACTCGATAAGTTACCCATGACAGAGGCAGGTAAAGCTCATACCATCGATGAAACCTCATAAAATCGTGTTTTAACGATATTGTACCGTAACATAAATGTTCGGTGTCTTAAGTAAAACAATACTGTCAAAAGGCGGATACTTTATTTATCAAATGATGTGAATGAATCGCTGGTTTCTCGCATCCAACAGAATTCATTTTCCCACCAAATCGACAAATCAACTGTTGTAGTGGGGTTGGCTATTTTATTGGCTTTTCTCCACTATGAATACTCGGTATGTTTCGAGGAGGATTTTTTCTTGTGCAAACCTTCCTTCCAATGCAATAGGTACCGAAATATTCTGTTTGTTGGATGATTTTTTTACAATTAACGAAATTCCATGGACTGATTGCATTGACGTAATGATGAAAAAGCAATGACTGGCCGAACTGGAGCAATTACTAAAATAAAAGATAATAAATTGAAGGATTGCAGCAGGTCAAGTCATTGTGTTCTCCATAGACATGCTTTACCTATGAAACAAGTGACATCCTCTTTTAAGAAAGTTTTGGATGAGTCTGTTCAAATTACTAATTATATCAAGTCGCGGCCATTGAAGTCAAAATTTTTCACAATACTGTGTGAGGATATGGGAAGCCTTCATCATTCTCTGCTTACGAATTAGGAATTACGTCCTGAAGTCTTATCTCTGTTGGCGGACCAAAATGTCAAATTGGCCAACATTTTCGGAGATGAGAAATAGCAATGTATACTTTCGTATTTATCAGATATTTTCGTGAAAATGAATGAGATGAGTCTTTCTTTGCAAGGGAAGAGTATCACAACTTTCGATGCTGACAGATTTCGCGCCATCAAAAAAAAATCCAGTTTTGGGTTGCATCTGTTGAGAATGTTTTCACGTGTTAAATGATTTTTTAAGAAAAAATTAACTGCAGCTTGCGAACGTTGATTGATGAAATATCAATCGTTGGGGATGTCTTTTGAGCACTACTTTCCAACAGCCCGAGATACAAAGCTGCAAGACCATGAATGGGTGATCAAACCGTTTTCAGTTTTGACAAAGCCAACCAGTCTATCTTCAAATGAATGCGAATGTTTGATAGACATTACTTCAGACTTCACCTTGAAATCTACTTTAGAGTCTGATACTCTCATTTCTGGTTCCGTCTGGAAAAAACAAAACGTGTTCTTCTTCCACAACTTGTCAATGGAAATCAGGATTTTCTATCTACTCAGCCACCAAAACTAAATACCGAAGCTGTCTAGATGCTGAACCGGATCCGTCTCAAACTATCAAAAATTAAAACAAACATATCCAAATTGTGCAGGCTAAAACTACCTCACTCTTCCCATTAATTCATTAAACCTTATGTTCAAATTATTACTTTTGAGATTAGCTCGAGTTTTACATACCTATTGATTCCATTCTGTCCAATTTGATTTTTGTGTTCCGGATTTTGTAAATAAAGTATGTCAAACAAATGTTTATTTTCGAAGTAATATCCCCCTCCATCACCTAATTAGGAATGGACTGGCTAATTCATAAAACTTTAATACATACAATGAGTATCTAATATTAAATACTTGGGTAGGGTCCGCCCTGGATTTTGTTCTGTGAAAGCGGTTCGCTGGTTAAAAAGTTTGGGAAGCCCTGCTTTAAATAAAATGACTTGTTGAAAAATAAACATCTATTTTCCCTCTAAGGCAAATCAAATTTTGATTAAAAAAATAACTACAACTCAAGTATAAAATAAATGTCTCATTTAATAAAATTAATGCAATGCTTAGGGAGATCATGTCTGGCTATGAAAAATGGAAGATGCAACTGGCCAAGAGGAAAAGTTCTCGGAGGGTCCAGCGTCCTGAATTATATGCTTTATGTAAGAGGAAACAAGCATGACTACAATAATTGGGAAGCTGCAGGGAACACTGGCTGGGGCTACAAAAATGTAAGATAAACTCTTCATCAAAGATGTTTTTTAGAAAAATAAATAAATTTTTACTTTACATTTATGCGATATTTGCTCGAGTTTAAATCATTTTCATTTTTAGGTATTACATTACTTCAAAAAATCTGAAGATAACCGCAATAATTACTTAATAGGTCCGTATCATTCGAGGGGCGGTTTCCTCACTGTGCAAGAAGCGCCATGGAGAACTCCTTTGGTTCTTGCCTTCCTTCAGGCCGGCGAAGAACTGGGCTATCCAAATCGGGATATTAATGGAGCACAGCAAACTGGTTTTATGATAGCTCAGGTACATTGTCTGATGTAAAATCGATTATAAAAATAATAAATAATAAAATAATAGAAACTTCTATGCGTTATACATTTATATTTATATATTTGTTATATTTAATTTAAGCGAGCATCAATATATGCTCTTGTTATAACAAATAAAAACAAAACATCCATAACATCAACAGCAAACCTACAAAACAAAAAAAAAAGCACAAATAAAACAATTATATTAGCAAGTAGTTCAATATTCATGCAATAGATAATAAGTAAATAACTCCTAACTTAATTCACATTTTTAGGGGACTATTAGAAGAGGTAGTAGATGCAGTACGACAAAAGCGTTTCTAAGGCCTGTTCGTCAGAGGCGAAATTTGCATATAGCTATGAATGCCCACGTAACAAAAATACTCATAAATGGAAAAAAGCGTGCATACGGAGTACAATTTGTAAGAGATGGAATAAGACAAGCTGCACTTGTGAGAAAAGAGGTGAGTTTATTGAGAACTGATTTGGCCTGGCAGCAAACTTATTTTTATTACTTACATCAGGTAATAGTATCAGCAGGAGCTATAAATTCACCACAGATATTAATGCTTTCTGGTGTTGGGCCTGGTCAACATCTCCACAACTTAGGCATTCCGGTAATTAAAGATCTTCCAGTAGGTGAAAATTTGCAAGACCATGTAGGAATGGCCGGGTTGACATTTATCACAGAAAAACCGGTTGCTATAGTACAAGATAGACTGAAGGTAAAACAAGAATAATATTTCCCCTATTCCATGGTTTATTTTAAAAATATATTTCTTCAGGCTGTGCCAGTGACTCTGGAATATGTTGTAAGAGAAAAAGGACCGATGACAACATTAGGAGGTGTTGAGGGTTTAGGCTTTGTCAATACAAAATTTGCCAACCACAGTGAAGATTATCCTGATATTCAGTTCCATATGGCACCTGCTTCGATTAACTCAGATTCAGGAGTGAGAGTCCGCAAGATTCTCGGCTTGACAGATTATGTTTACGATAAGATGTTTAGGCCAATAAATAATAAAGATTCTTGGACAATAATTCCATTACTTCTGAGACCGAAATCAAGAGGTTGGGTAAAACTCAGATCAAGTAATCCATTTCATTACCCTATTGTCAACCCAAATTACTTCCACCATCCTCAGGACATTCAGACATTAACAGAAGGAGTAAAACTTGCATTACGAGTAAGTAATGAAAAACACTTTTCTTTTGGGTGTTAAATGTTCAGAGGCATTAGTCAAATGGGACTAATGGGGGAATCCTTAGGTAAAAAAGACATAAAATGTGAGAAACTAAGATAACTTTATTAAATAAGTTTTTGAAATATTTTTTCTTAAACTATTTGGTTTAATAAAATCAATTAAATACAGTTTTCATCAAATATTATGTTATTTATAAATTTAAACGATTTTTCATTGCAGGTGGCTAATGGAAAAGCATTTAAACAGTTCAGATCGAGGCTTCATCGCATACCAGTTCCAGGATGTCAGTGGTACCCATTTGGATCAGACAAATATTGGGAGTGCGCAATCAGACACTTTACAATGACAATTTACCATCCTGTCGGTACATGTAAAATGGGCCCAGCACATGATCCTGAAGCAGTGGTTGACCCACGTCTAAGAGTCCATGGCTTAGGAAATTTACGAGTTATAGATGCTTCTATAATGCCAACAATAGTTAGCGGTAACACGAATGCACCTACAATTATGATAGGAGAAAAGGGAGCTGACATGATCAAACAAGACTGGTTAGAACATAAATCGAACTAGCAAATGATTATATTAACGCATTTTAAAATTACAAAAAAAATATTGTTTATTATGGTTTATCTATAAATTAAGACATTTGTTGAAGGGACCGTGAACTACATATTAATTGTAAAATTAACGTCCCTATGAATATTGTGCCAGACTTAAATTTCTTGGAACTGTAGTTACTATCTAGTAAGAGTCATTAAAGCATAATTTGCAAACGTGTAGGAATCATATCCTACTAACTATATAAGACACTAAACATATGTATAAAATTAAACCACGAGTGTATATGCACAAAATTGTGAATATTGTAAAATAAAATTGTACATTATAAATTTAGCATGGATTTCATTTGCCATCTCCATCATTATTTATAAACCAAATACAATAAATAAACACAAATGAAGAAAATATTGTCATGTATTTTTATATAAAATTGTACAGAATTATTGTATAGCAATTTTTGTTGTAGCAACATGCTTATTGTTACACCAACTATACACTAGTCTTTATTTTATCAATTTTTCAAACTAATAATTTTAATTGTGACAATATTGTTATTCATAAAGCACATAGACTAAGTTGATGTTTCGTATGGAAAATATGATTTTATTTATAAGCTCAATCCAATAAAAATAATATTTAAACTGAAAAGCAGAGTCATTTGGTCATCAACCACTCCAAAACAGTCAGTCTGATTTTGATAAATTTTAAAATTTGAAGGTTTAATATACAAACACTATTTTTTAAATATTATTCTCAATAAAATTCCATGGGCTATGCTGAATCTGCCAACCCAGAACCTCTAGTGTGATGAATGCGAGTCAGAAGCCCTAATTTTTAATTCGATGAAAAAAACAATGTCAATTGTTATATGCCAAGCTTTCGACCTATTTTAAGGTTATTATCAGGGCAAAACAATCTTAAATGTATTCAGTCCCAACGCTGCCAAGGACTGTACACTATTGCATCATATAAAAAAGTTGAGTACAAGACTGGATGAAAAAAAAATGTACTCAGTGTATGTTCACATTGAAACTGCCCTCCACTGTACATTGACAACAGAGTGATAGCAATTTCAATTCAAGTCACAAGTCTTTTTGCACCTCGACCTAAGTAGATCTATTGTGTTCCTCTAAACCATTGGCTAACTTTATTGCTAATCAGCCAGCGTCTCCTTGGTGTAGGATCTTGCTTCCGGCATTTTTAAGGCCTCAATACTGGGGTATTGGTCCTCCAGGTTTTGGACAGTTAAGTATCCATTTTTGGATGTATCTTTTCTTGGGGCAAGGTGCGAGGTTATGGTCAATATGGTTCGGGGCCTAGAATTCATATTGGCTTCCTTTTATTGGACATGGCAGTTAAGGAAATAAATAAAGAAATGTATGTATGTGTATATATATATATATATAATTTATTTATTTATATTTGTTTGGATTACTTCATAATCACAGAAAACAAACACTTTGAGTGAGTACAAATACTTTGATTGAATATAAAAAAAAAATTTTTTTTTTGCATTGTATAAATTCTCTTTTTTCCACATCCTATATGTATTTGTTAAATTTAAACAATGTTTGTAAATCCCAGGCCCTAAAGATGATCTCAATAAAGATCAAAACGTTGGCACAATAAAGAAAATGTTTTTCTAAAACCTACGTCCCACCAGACCACATCTCATGATTTTCCAATAATCATAGACTAATGGTCACTAATCACCAAACATTTACCTATTATAAAAATTTTACATTTTTGTGTACACATTTTGAATAAATAAATTCTACACTCACATAAATAGGTAAAAAAAATAATAAATAACTTCATGACAAACTATTTATTCAGGGGGTAAAAAATTTTTAAAAATCCTAACTGAAAAGGAAGTCCAGTGTACAGTTGACTATCAGTTTTCATCTCAATTGATTGGTACTGGCTACCATAGGGATTTATGTCTCATTTTAATAACAAAAGATTCCAACCCAACAATCAAACTACTAGGGCTATTGGCATAAGCCTTCTAAAAGTTTATGGTGCATTTTTCAATAAAATTTTTGATTATGTCCAACCTGCACATCTCATGCAAATACCAACCACCTTTGTGGAACGTGGAGGCTTAGTGCACAACCTAAAGAATTTATTCTGTGCAACTTGTAGCTTCTTATAGTTACTTTCGCAAGTTGAATGCCAGACAGCACAGGAATAAATTATAGTTGGTCTTACCACCGTTATGTATATAAGCAATTATTAGCTGTTTTTTGCTACTTGCAACCAGTACATTAATGTTTGTCATAAAATTTAGTTTGCTTTGCTATAGGCCCAAGTATTTAACTAAGGATCCCGCTCGTGACACTAACTTTTTCATCTCAACTAAGACTTTAGATAAACAATATAATTAATTCCATTAGATGTCGTGGTCCAATTGACCAAGTAACTTCTTTCAATTAATTAATCTTTATGTAAGGTATTGGTTGAGATAAAAAAGCCAGTGTCATGAGCGGGATCCTCGGTCACGATAGCTCAAGTGGTAGAGCAGTAGTGTATTTAGCTGAAGGTTATGGGTTCAAATCCCGCTCATGACAATGGCTTTTTTATCTCAACCAATACCTTACGTAAAGATTAATTAATTGAAATATAATTAATTTACATTCAGTCTTTTAGTGATAATGCAGGTGTGCCATGATGATGAAGGGGCAGTGCCATTTTCAAATATGGCCAATTGGACATAGTGGAACTTGTGAAAATGACACAAGTAAATAAGAAACAATGTTGGTTCCAGTACTGAACCATGAGGGACACCAGCTGTTGCCTTAATTTCTTCAGAAATGGCACCCCATAGTGGACTCTAAAGTATCGGTCCATTAAATAAGAGCTGACTATTTTTATTAAATATGTAGGAAAGTTGTTATGGATTGATTTTTAAATAAGTCCATTATGGCAAACACAATGAAAGGCTAAATAAAGAAATAAACACAGGTATAGCCAATACAAACATGACACCCTGACAACTTACAAGCGAGGTACATACCCTAATACACATAGGTTTAAGATCATTGAAATGATGACACATTGTCTAAATGTTTTCACCCTGAGTGAATGGTATGTAAAGAGGAAAGGATGTATTTAAGAGTGAGTGGATTTGGATTTAGATATTAATTGCGTTGGGGTCGGAAATGACCTAGCTGTTGATAGCCCATGAAGCCCAACATTGGTGGCCTAACTGATAAGCCAAAGGTCTGATTTTGGGCTGCCAACACCCGGGGTGGAAATGCTTTGTTATTGTAATTCCTGACTTTCTGCTGTACTTTTTGAACCACCAAGGAAAATATACAACCAAACAGCCTGCATTTTTGGTAAAACATTTATTATTTTCCTTCATGGGAAATGCGCCAGAAGTAAAACACCAGGAGAAACATTAGATGCACAAAGCAAGTAAAACTGATAAGCAGAAGGTCAAAGCGTTTTATTATCCTCTAAATGCATAAATTGTAAAGTTGAAACTGACCTGAAACTATAAGGGCTTTGTTTGGTCCCACCGTGTAAATGTTTCCCATGTCGGCGTCTCTCGGGGAGAAATTTGACAGCAAAAGGTAACTAATATTAATAATAATAATAACTGAATATTTATAGCGTTATTTCCGCAACTTTGACAAGTGATAACCACAACACACAATCATGCCCCGCCTGCTAGCATATCAAACAACTGCTGACAAGTGACAACTAGCAGCGCTGCCTCAGAATCAACCGAAGTTCAGCAAAAGCCGCATTTTACGAATAAGTCACAAAAGGCTTACTTATTTTACTATTTAAAAAAATATATAATTTAGTTTTTATTCTAAAGATTTAATATTAGCACTTGTAAAATAACATATACAAATATTTATGCTCATAATATGTCTGCCTGTTAATTTATGAACATCATCAGGTTGAAAGTATGAACTAGACACTTTGTAATCTTAACAAATGAGTAGTTTATCAATTTACATAATTCCTGGACAAAAGTCAAGAAAGGCATTTATTTTTTTAAGTATTAAAACAAAATACTAACATCTTTGATCCTTCATTTTCTCTTTGGTCCCTTTTCACCTCTTTTACTCAGGACCTTAACATTCAACAAACACATAAGAATTCAGAGATTGTCTTAAAAATTGTTGTCTAGGTGCACATTCTCTCGGAAGTCTTACCAGGAGAAGAAGATTTCAGAAAAACATCAGATATGGATGGCTCAAAAACAAATAAATGAATCAGGCGTTTTTTGTACAAGCCAAAAATATGAGCAATCAATATATACCTCAGTCTTTCAAGCTGAAACACATGCCATCAATGCTTATGCCTTGGAAAATCTTAAAAGAGGTTTGGCAAAAGCAGCTATTAAAGCATTAACATGTAAAAAAAATCACATCAAAATTAGTCAATGAAGGCATCCAAAATCTCCATAACCTGTGGACAAACCTGATATCTTGGGTACCATTTACCAGGACACAAAGGAAATTTGAGTAACGAAAAACACACTGGCCAGAGGAGGATCTGCAAGATCTTATATTTTTGGGATAACATAAACACAGAATCCTCCATCACAGAATGGATCCAAAAAAGGCAAAAGTGGTTAAACTCCAGGGGTGCTAGGCACAGTAAACTTATGCTAAAAAAACTTCACCAAGACTCACTCACTGCTACAGAGAGGGTTAAACTCAGAGCGATAGGAATACCGGTCACTGGCATCTGAGAAAACATCTACATAACATGGGCATATTCATTGATTACCCCATTTGTAGGTTATGCAATGAGGAGGAAGAAAACACCACCCATGTCATCTGCGAATGTGAAACAACTGATCAATGGAGACATAACCTGAGATACAAGGAAAACCCAGGGAAAATAATTGCAGCAATGATTATCAGTACAATCAATGATCAAGTACTTCTTAAAAGAAGTATCAATTAGACATACTGAGCTAAGGAATTAGGAAAGTACAATAAGACAGAAAGCTGCAGAACTTGGGGAACATAAACTCCCACTTTCAAGTCTCCTTTCATCATTATCATATGAAAAAGATTGTGAGAAATAAGGAGAGGTTGAAGCAGAAAAAGAGCAGCTGAAAAGCAAACAAAATGGGACTGAACCGAGATAAAAACGTGCCAACTCTGCCATTAATCAGTATCAAACCATACTAAAATAAGCAAAAAGGCATCTCTGAAAATCCCTAGCTACCGTAAGAATAATGTCCTTTTTAAGATATGGAAATAGAATAGGGTCAATTCCACAATAGATGTATGAAGAAAAAAGGACACCAAGACTGCAAAAATGGCTCTAAATAATAAAGTCACACAACATTTTCAGTCATGTTGAACCGGCACATGGCCACTGGGTCATCTCCACTCGCAGGTTTTTTGTTTGAGTTATTCAAACACATTTCGGCATTGCACCATCTTCAGTGTGGAGTTCCTCATGCATCAAGAGCACAATTCGCAAGTGGCCCCCAGAGTGTCTAAACCCAGAAGGATTATCCTAACCCGATCCACAACTGGTCATATATGTTTGTCCCACAAAGCCCGCATATGTGTTCAGCATGTAGAGAAGTTACTCGATGTGTCCCACTTAATTGAAGGGTGACACTCCTTGGCTCCATATAAAGAGTGAATAGGATTGAGCACGGCAGCGAGTATCTAGACCTCTGTTCTGATTTTTAGATGATACAGTAGTGTTTTACTACATATAGTAATTCATAAATATCTCATCTTGTGTTTATTAGTGTATATTGAGAATGAATGTATTTATTAGCGTGAATGTGTAGTGTGAGAGACTTTTTTTATTACCATTAGCATTAATTATTAGGTGTTTTATATTTAGGTTGGTTTTTAAACTTAAATGTTAAAATAATTGGAAATTTGGATATAAAATTCACAAATAGGATATTAAATAAATTACTATGTTAAACCATTTTCAGTATATCAGACTATTCACCAATGTTTATTTTTTACATAACATATTGTATAACATGATTTTTTTTTTAAGAAACACAAGTGACAAAAACAAATTAAACATAATATATAATATAAATGTATAAATCTTTCAGACAATATTATATCTGGCTTTAAGTAATATGGCCGTTTGAATTTTATTCATTTATCAGCAGACGGTAACATAAATCAATTAAATTAACGTCAAAATATTACTTGGTGACAGAATTTTGATCCCAGACTGTTTCTGACAGAATGGCAATATTATCCAAGCCAATACCAGGATAATATTCAAATGTCCACATATAGTTTTTGAATACCACTGAAACACAATTATTATTTTAGACAAAAACGGTTAAAAAGTTTATGTTACATTTCCTGCACTCACAGATCTCACCCTGATGAAGATCTCCTGTCAAAGTTGCACATGATTCGTTACAAGGTTTATGTGGTGTAAGTCGAAAAGATGTCAGCCCTCTTAATTGGAGAAGCATTATTAACCCAAAATCAAGTTCCACCTGAAAAGTAAAATTAAAACTTAAAACTATCATGCATAATGATTTTATGATTGATATTACTTTTTTATAATTGCTTGAACGGTAATCTGATGACATTAAGACCCAGTTGAAATGCGCCGGTGAAATTGTATTTGATAAAAAGTACGGCCTCTGGTAAAACTTTCTCAGTGCTTTTACTGCATGGATGTCACAATTTTGCCTTAAAAACATTCAAAACACAATTTTTATAAGAATATGTTTAAAAAAAATATATATATATATATGTAAAACGCACCAGTGCACAAACCACTTAGTAACAGAAGGATTGCTTATTATTTTCAAGAATGCCACTAGGTCAGATGAACCCATTCTTAAATTTGTAGTTAGCACACAAGGGACTGTATCAATAAGCTTTTCATCCTGGAAATAGAGCTGAAATTTAAAAATGAATCGTAAAATTTGATTTGCCAATCCTTGAATTTATTTTCACCCCAAAGAATTAGCCTTGTTTGTCCATTTGAACATTGTAAATAATCCCAGAATTTGATTCGGTTACATAATTACCTGTGTAATATTATCAAAATAAAACTCATCAGTAATCATGACAGGCCATTTATCCATTGCATCAGTTATTATAACTGGAATATCTCGGTTGAAGTAGTTGTCAAGAAGAAGCTCGTAATTGATTCTATTAATGACAGTTATTGAATCCAGAGCTTCACATGTCTGGAACACAAAATATTTTTTAAAAAAGCTGTTATTTTACCATCTTAAATTAATTAATTGTTCAAATCTTAAATTTTTTAGCATGATTTTAAAACAATTTAGAATGTACTAAACATACAAAGTATGTAATTTTTTCAATCCTTACAATGCAGTCATCCTTTGTTAAAGTATATTCTCCATAAAGGGGGTTTTCGAGAAGGCATGATTCATAAAATAAATATCTCCAGTCCCATAAAGAAAGAACCTGCAACACAGCAACAATGCCTAACTAATTATCAATGTAAAATTCACAAAAAACTTGAATAGATTGTAAATGCATTTGTCACCAGAATATTACAAATACAATTGGTCGAGAGAGATAGAGGAGGAAGAGGGGGGGAGAGAGAGAGAGAGAGAGAGAGAGAGAGAGAGACAGAGAGACAGAGAGACAGAGAGAGACAGAGAGAGAGAGAGAGACAGAGAGACAGATGTAGGTAGATAGCAAAAGAATGAGTTCATTGAGAGATGGAGATAGGTAGGAAGAAAGTGTGAGTGTGTGTATATGAGAGCAAGAGAGAGAGAGAGAGAGAAAGAGAGAGTGTGAGAGTGATAAACAATCATAATTAAGTCATTTTTATTAAAACGCACAGCATTTCTTATCTAATTTAATTTTGTTTACATTAAAATAAGTATAATGTAATTAATATAACGATAAAAATACATATATACAGTTGGAAATAAACAACAAAATATGCGTTTTTATTTTTTTTAAATTTATTTACGTATTTTTTTTATTTGAGTGTATATTTTAAAGTTGTTTTACAAAAGAATATTCAATTGCGTTTAAACATGTCAAATAGACATATCTAAAAAAATTAAAAAAAAATTTTTTTATGAAGTTTATCAAGAGAGAATTTAGATTCTGAAAAATAAACTAAGCTTTTTTTGGTTTTGTGAAAATGCTGTTTTGCAGTGTTATTAACTTGGACGTTCCCGGTCAACCTAGTCTATTTCACCATCTACCTACAAGTATAACAAATAGTTAGGTAGTGCTAGTACTACCCACTACCCAGTACTTTTTATTTTACAGACATGACCCCTGAAGATGGCAAACGAAGACCCAAAGCGAAGGGGATAGACAGACCAGTTATTTTCTAAAAGACCGATCCAAAAAATTAAGATATTTTCTCATGTTAAATCCATAACTGATAAGGAATAACTTTTAAATAATTGACGTATGTGTTTTGTTTACTACTTACTTTGATCAATGCGATTCTTCCAAGTGCTGTGGCATGGACTGTGATCGAAGTCATTTGCGAACTTCCGTAGGCAAAGCCAAATAACACAGAAAGGATGACAATGAGTTTGATGAGCTTCTTGAAGTTATTTTTGCACATGATGTCGTTGAGAGGTGAGCAGATCACTTCCATTTCTTTGGATGTAAAGCCCATCTGTTCGCAGAACTCGTAGAACGAAACCAGCTCGGCGTCGATCAAATTCATCTTTTCACAAATCTCAAATTCCTTCGCTTTTTTCGCTGGTTTCAGTGGTTTATTCGTTGCGACGGAAGCCATCTGTAAGTACTAAGCAGTAACGTTGTTGATTCGTTTTGGTTTGTCGTCAAGCGAAATACCTAAAGCGATAATTATCCTGTCTTTTGACCAAAAACTTTTAAACACCTAAGGCTAAATTCAAAAAACGTCCCGAAGAGGGAATCGGATAGGGGGTGGACAACGTTCTCAGCACCTGGACGACGTGTCCGAGTCTGAGCAGTAGAAGCTTTCATATTGATTTTCACACTACCACAATTTCCCGATCCAAGAGGGAACAAAAACTTGTACAAAATCCATCGTTTGAAAAACACCAATTTAAGAAAAATTGGTATAAATTACATTCATGCAAGTGCGTATATAAAAACAGGAAAAATGAGGACAGCTTTGCCATGTTACAAATTTTAATGGGTTCCATTTAATAACAAAATCTTTTACAGTTTATTTCCTTTGATCTTTCACTGTAATATATTTACAAAGAATTTTTTTTAATCTACACCTACATAGACCTTCACAAAAACATAGAATGTGCTCTGAGTTCTCCTTTTCTTCCTGGGAATATGTGTGTACAGTGTTTCTTCTGTCAGTACTTCTATCCGGTGCTTATGCCTTCTTAGGTGACATTGCACTACCAGGACTCCAACCAGAATCCTGGTTCGCTTGCGGTTACCATCTATTAATTCCTTTGTAAGTCTTGGCTTTGGCTCTTCCATGAATCTCTTCGCGTGCCTCGTGCCTGGGGTGTTGCTCCACCAAGTTTTGGACTCATTAATGTTGTGTTCTTTTTTGTGACAAGGTGCTAGTCCGCAGTAGGGTTCGGGGTGTAGAGAATTCATATTGGCTCTTTTTTGGCCAACATGTTCACTTTCTCGTTTCCTCTATATCCCGAATGCCCAGGGTAAGGTCTTGGGTGTCACTGAATTCTACCAGGGATCACTTACAATTCCACACGCTTTTTGCCTTTACCTCGCATGAGGATAAAACCTTAAGTGCCGTTTGACTGTCAGAGAAAATGGCTATCTTCCTGGAATGGGTTCCTAGTCTTTTATTTCTTTGGCGGAGTGTTTAAATTGCTATGATTTCAGACTGGAAAACTGTAGCATATTCACCTAAGTTTAAAGTTAGTTCGGTCTTCGTATTCACACCGAGGACTCCAGCTCCCGTGCTTCTATCCGTTTTTAAGCAGTCACTATACCAGCAGGATTTTGGTAACACCATCTATTCCAAGTGCTTTATTTCCTCTAAATTTCGATAAGCAATTTTTATGGTTTATCATTCGAAAGACTTCTGTGTTCAGAAATTTGGTTTATCCTCCTCAGTTGTATTTCGTTGTATTTTCCTAAATCTCTGGATACGCATTTATCCATAATCAGGTTAAGAATTTCTTCGCCGATGAGAAATGGATTTTGTACGATAACAGGAGGCGTCCAAGTCAGTGGCTGGACAAGGATGAATAATTGAATCTTTGTCTAAAAACGTTTTAAAAAATCATTAACTTTAATTTTATCGTATTTTGTACTGACACCTCCATAAATGTCCATTTGTTTCCTCTGTTTCTCCTGTACTTTGTCTCCCGTGATAGGAGGTCTTAGAAGGTCCAGTCTAGGCTTAGTTGCCGACCCATTAAGGCTTATGCAGGAGGAACCCCTGTGGCGTATTTCGGTAGCCCAGTAAAAACCTTTGGAGTGCCACATCCAGCCTGTCTGAGCCCACATCAGTCGCACTGCGTTTTCTGTTGCCCCATTGCCCATAGGCGAGTGTGGTGTTCCACTCTTGAGTTCAACTCCATTCCTCCTGAGGAACCTCCGGAACTCTTCAGAGTTCAAAAAAAAAAATAAAATTATCCGACACCAGGACTTCGGGCAGCCCGAATCAAGCGAATTCTTGGCGCAGCAGCTTTATTGTAATTGCAGCTCTCATAGATTTTGTTTCAAAGGCTTCTAACCATTTCACATAGCTGCCTACTTTTACTAAAAAATACCGCCCCACAAACGGTCTAAGGTAATCAATGTCACCCTCTGCCATGAAAATGAAAAATAAAAAAAGACGGACAGATAAAGTTTGTATTAGATTTTTTAATTAACATTTCAATATCGCATATTTCCTCCTCTTGCCTTAATTACATCTCGAATACACCTCGGCATACTTCTACCAGTCTGGACATGTCTCTTTGCTGGAGGTTAACCCATTTTTCACGAAGAGACCTTTCAAGATCGTGGAGTATATCAGGAAGTGATGGACGTGCTCGTATTCGTCTTTTGAGGTTATCCCATAAATGTTAGATGCGGTTCAAGTCTGGAGTACGGGCTGGCCAGGCTAAGACCCTGATGTTATGCTGTTGAAGGTACGTTTGTGCTATGCGAGCGACATGTGGACGGGCAGTATCGTGCATTAGAATAGGATTGTCGCTGGTTTCATCGAGGATAGGCAACGCACGTTGTTCCAAAATTTCATCCACATAGAGACTGGCCGTCAAATACCCTCCACGAACAACAACCAACTCTCGTACGACTCTCCATTGAAATTCCCGCCCACACCATCACTAAACTACGTTGAAAAGATTGGCCCTGGGAAAAATTACAAGCTTCGTACTTTTCACTTCGCCTTCTCCACACTCTTTCACGCCCATTTTTTGATCGTAGAGTAAATCTACACTCATATGTAAAAAGTACAGCCCAAAGACCAAGAGCAAATATGAGCCGGGCAACTCGGTGTGTTCTGGTCAATACTGGTCCTCTTACGGGTCGAAAAGCCATCAGTCCATACAGATTTAATCTTCTTCGAGCAATGCGTTCAGAAATTTGGACACCTCGAACTTCCTGGAGCTGATGAATCGCTTGAAAAACAGTAAGGTGCCGGTTTCGCAAAATACTCAAAGTCAAAAAACGGTATCCTACGGTTCTGTTACATTAGGACGTCCAGAACTGGGCCTTCTATAGGACCCAGTTTCTTGAAAACGTCCAACGGCGACTCGCAGTGTTTCGTAGGGAACTGATAGGCAAAATAGCCGCATACCTGATGGAACGTCCATCATCAATAAGTGACACACCACGCGCAACATCATCAGCACTAAGTGGCATTTTTAAGTTTAAAAATTGAAATTAAGAAAGCAAAGATGAAAACTAAACAGTTTATTGCTTCAGAATTCAAATGAGACTGAATAAACATTTTAAATTCTGTAACAAATAAATATTGAAAAATCCTATATCCTTGTTTAGGATTAAGGATTAAATGCATTTACCTCTAATTGATATTCCCAATTTAAAACATAGCATAAGCAAATATGTATTGACAAAAACAATGAGACAAATTAAGGGCAGAATTTTCTTTTATAGAGAAAATGAAAAAAAAAATTAATTGGTTGGAATTTTTTGCCTTTATTATCAAGTATCGACTGTAATAGCAGTAGTAAGGAGAAACGTATCGATGTTGTACTTGTATCGGAATCGAAACGTTCCTATCTCTGTTGTCAATTTGTCAGTTTCTGTCCGACCTCTGATGACTGATGATCCGTCACCCCCGACTTGGAAGCTCGGTGGGCCGTTTTCGTCTCGCGAGTTTGTTTATCGCATGATGTACCGTCGCCGGCGGACATAAGCCCCTTCCGGATGGGGCGGTAGCGAGGAATACGTCTAATACAATTTCCCCGATTTTATTATGTTTAGTTTTTCTATTTAAAACGGATATCGTGTAGCATGAACCCATATCCGACCAATCAGGGCGATATCGTACATCTGAACGTCGGTGGAACTCGGTACGTTTCAAACAGCAAACCAACCGGCTTTTTTTTACTTATAAACTTTGGTTTTACAGCTTTTCCACCTCGATGCAGACCCTCCTCTGCATACCGGACACCTTCTTCACCGCCCTGCTCAGTGGACGTATTTCCAGCTTGAAGGACGAAAAGGGGGCCACCTTCATCGATAGAGACCCTAAATTGTTTTCGACTATTTTAAACTATTTGAGGACGAAAGAAGTCGACCTTTCCAATTGTGATATTTGCTTTTTAAGACACGAAGCCGAATATTATGGCATTACACCTCTTGTTAAAAGGTTGGCCCTCTGTGAAGATCTGTATCAGTCTTCCTGCGGGGATGTCCTCTTCTATGGCCTCTTTCAACCTCCTAGTAAGTCTCGATATAATTATAATTTAAATGTTACTATACTTTCTAAAGATCAGGTCATCCTGGTTCACCAATTATTGTATCAACAATTCACCAGTGTCTTCAGACCAACCGTGTCTGATTATAAAACCAACGAGAATAGATAGTCTAAGATGGTTATGGACTAAGCTTTGTGATTCGGACCAATCTCTGAAGGTAGCAAAATATTAAATTGCATGTGCAGATTAAATCGATGAGTAAAAAGACCCCTTTTATTTTGCCTTCCACCGTCATAGCTACCCTTCTGTGCTAGCCAACCCAGGGCCAGGGCAATACAGACCATCTCCCCACGGCCATTCTGACAATAGGGCGATATTATCCAGGGACAGAAGAAGGGAAACAGTTTTATTTTTTTATTTTTTTTTTTTTTATTTAAAAATCATACCAACATTTTTTTAATTATTACCCGGTTTTCCACTCCAACTCGGAAAAGCACATAACTATTGTGGATAATGTGAAGCAACACAACTTGGGCAGACAAGCCGTCAACAGGGCAATTGTCTCAATCTAAAATACAGAAATGAAAAAACTTTAATCTTTTTTGTTTAATAAAAAAAATTATATCTCACCCCTATCACACAAAATTTTAGGGCATCATGATTTGATAATCATGATGTCTTATCCTTTCCTGCCATACCTTAGGGAAACCCTATACCGGATATTGAAAAAGGAGCTTAAAATCAGTAGATTTTACTTTAATGTCCTTCCTATTCCTCAGTGCTATGGCCGGATGGAATTGAGGCAAAACTTTGTTTAATATTTAATTTAACTTACTAATTGGAATTTAAATGGTTCTCTTGTTGTTTTCCCTCTTGATTTATACAATTTTAACATACAGAAAACATAAATTTAACATACATATACAATAAATCATTTCAAAAAATTAATAAATATTGAATATTAACATATTAAATAAATAAAAATTAAAATAAACAGAAAAGAATATATTTAACAATTTATATATTAATTTGGGGTCAAACAATTTAACACTAACTTGAAACCCAAAGTCTACAGTTAAGAGTACTTATAGAGAAGGTGCCCAAATTGCAATGTCCAGATTATGCTGTTATTAATGTTGTGTGATGCAAAGCTGCTTTTGGGGTAAGATCATCGTGATCTGCCTATTCTTGTAAGCTTTAAGTGCAAATGCTTTTTTCAGCATTTCACCATCTTCTTCAGAATAACCACTGAAAATTACAAAATGGTGAATCGCATGCACAAGCAAAATCACCAAGAATAGGCAGAGCAGGATGAGTGGAGACGAATTGTTAATGAAAAGAGGCTAAACATGTGCCAGTACCAGTTATGCAAAGAGTGTATATCGCCAATCTTTTGCCGTGCAATCCATAAGGAATAAAATCAGGGAACCGTGGTAGCCAAGTGGTTAGCGTGTCAGACTCTCATAGACCCTACGATCATAGACTCAATTCCCACTCTTGCCCCTGGAATTTTCTTTCACTCTTCTCCTCCCCTCAACAGCATCATCATGAGTGTTCTCTGGCTATGGAAAGTCTGGCCATTAAAAACTCACACTGGTCTGCCTATTCGTGTGATCTTTGTAGTCAAACGTTTTTTCAGCATTTTACAATTTTTCTAAAAAAAATTTGAATATAGCAAAATGCTGAAAATACACTTAAGACAAATCAGCAAGGATATGGGGGAGACTAGGTCAATCAGAGATGATGAATGAAAAGGGGCTTGAATCTTGATAACTAAGCATGAAATCAATTGCACAAACTGCATAATGGTGATGCTGCCATTGGCAATACACCACTACAGCTAAAGAATACTCATAAACTAATTATTTCCAACCTGGCAATATTTTTGGAATGAAAATGATAGAATAATTCAAACCAAATAGGCAAAAGTTGCAATCGTTCATCCCTTATGTTTCAAAAACTCATGGTGAAAAGTCCAACCGTTTGGAAATTCCTGGGATTTAAATACATCATTTCAATGTAATTAAAAACTCTGTAATATATTTTTGTATATACTTAAAATAGATACTTTGTTTTACCCATGTAACTCATTTTAAGAACACAAATATTGAAAAGAGTAACTGAAATTGAAATTTGTCACACTTCACTACCAATTTATTAGTTTAAATTTTCTTATCAATGATTTCAAGTTCAATGATTAATGATGAATAATAATAATTCTAACAATGCGATTATTTGCTGATTACAATTGGGCTACTGGTTTCTTTGTTATCTTTTGAAATAAATACTTAGACCCTAGAATTAGATAACTGATAGGTTAAACGTTAATCAGATCTGGTATTTTCTTAGGAGCTTGGGTTGATTGGTTCGAAGTGATGCGAATCTACAGTTTCTGCACCCTTGAGTATAGTCTTGCAAGGTCTGTGTTGACACTCTCGTTATATGCTGAACTGGGATGCCCTGCCTACTGACCGCAATATGTGAAAAGGCCAATCGATGCAATGAAAAAATATCGGGCTATATGACGTAAAAAGCTTGAATTTCTTAGATTATTATCATGCACTATTATGTTATGGACACTTTATATCTACGCCAAATAATATGTATGTGTTCTATAAGCAGAAGAAAGGTCAAAAAGTTTCATACAGCTCAATAGAGAGAGGCCCGCTCAATGAAAAATAGGCTCTTTGTTATGCTTAGTAGAGGGAAGAAATCTTCAATCTATTTTATAAATATTACAAGGACATACCCACTTTTACCTTTTTTTAGAACTTTTCTTATTGAAATCTACTTTGCAAAATTGAAAATGTGGTATCGAACCCAAGGCAAGCAACAACCCAAGAACATGTCATATTTTTAATAAAAACATTTATTAGTTGGTAACAAAAGTCAGGTCCATTTCCCTTCCTTATTTCCCTCATGTCATTGCACATGATTTAAATTTTCTATACAAACTGTTCCCTTGTTTTGATGAATGTGCTGTACACTGCAGTATTCAGAGTTCCCCATATGTAAAAATCTAATGTGGTCAAATCAGGGCTCCTCATTGGCCAAGCCATGAGAAGAATGTATCTAATTTTTGTTGTCAAGAGCTTTATAATTTAAGTTAAAATCAGAAAAAAAAGTTAATATTAAAATATGTTTTTTGTATTAAGAAATAAGGAAATAATGCTTATCATTGGATTTGTACAATTAAACTTGGCAGTGGTCACAAAAAATGAACTTTCAGGTGCTCCAGTTCCAGAGCCAAAAACAAATAGTACAACTCCAAATACAAGCACAACAGCTACTGCTACTACTGCAGCCGCTGCTGCTACTACTACCACTACTAACACAACTGCAGCAACAGTCACAACTACTTCTGCTTCAAAGGAGGCATCTGGTACAAATGCCCCTAGACAAGCAGAGACTAGTATGAGCAGCAGTGGGAACAATTCTGGGGGTAATATTTCATTTTATCTCTTCTTCTTTTTTTTAATATGTTAACACACTTTTTTTTCATATTACAGGGATGTTCAACATTAATAGTCCTCATACATACAGAGCTCATTCTAGAAATTCATCATGGGATATGAAAATTGGTTCAAGGAGTAGTTCAGATCTAAGAACTATACCGAGACCAGGACATTCAAGGACTGCTTCTCTCGATCTCAGACATGGCACTGACATATCGAAGGCTTTCAATAATGATCTAGCTATGATTTTTGGAAATAATATGGGTAAGTTGTTTTGACTTTTGAACTTCTTTTACCTTCCATTTCTACTGTAATGACTTAAATTATTGTAGTTACTAACTGGATGGATCCTTTGAGAGTGCAAATCATCAAAGCTCACCATCATTGGATCGTCGTTGCATATGCTCATTTTATCGTCTGTTTCAGGTATTTTGATATCAATTCCTTAAGTTATGCATGAAATTTTATTTTTAAAGAATTTATGATTTTATTACTTAACCAATTTTTAAATTGTATCGAAATGAAACAAAATCCATTAATGTTATTCACACATGAAAGGTGAAAGGTAGACATCGTAATTCAGTAAATTTGACTTAACGCACTCAACCACAAAAAAATGAGTTACACATCTTTTAGGTTTTACCATATTAATTTATGTTTTTGGTTGATAGAAATGTTAACCAAGTGTAAAATTGCAACTAGTAGGAAAAATTGACTTACAACACTTTGTGAGGGGGGGTTTGTTGTTGGCTGATTGGTGACTTTTTTTTATTATTAACTGGGCTTCTTACCAAGTTATTATTTATTTCCAAAATTTTGAATTGTTGTGTTTCTATTTAGTAGGTTGAATTTGTGTTTGGAGAGGAAAAAAGCCTTTCCTCACAATGTTTTACAATGTAGGCTTCTTTTCAATAAATTTCATGCTCAAGATTCATGTCAAGAATCATTACAAACCAACAGCTGTTAGGCCTCGTGTCCATTGGGAGAAGACCTGTAAAAAGTCCAAATAGTCATGAAAACAGGCTAACGATCCAAATACGTGTCAATGAGTCAGCCTTTGTACAATGGGACCGTCTTGTTCATCGAAAATAATGTGTAAGTCACGAAAATGATTGGATCCAAGGGAACAAGTCTTACTAATCCACGATGTACTGTGAAATATTAATTCTTCTCTTTCAGAAGATATTTATGGGACTAGAGACAAATTGTTTCACATTCTGTTTGCAGCATAGATTAATCTTTATATCTATGCATAAAAATGTCAAACTGTTTATTGAACAATTGTTTACAAAATAATTTTTTAATGTTTTTATTATTTATTATATTTATAATATATTTTTTTTAATTTAAAGGATTTTCAAGGAAAAAGATTCTAGAATCAAGACTGAAATTATCAGTCCTTTTTTAAAAAGATGGTTCCTACTCACATTAAAATTTAATGTGAGTAGGAACCATCTTTTTAAAAAAGGATTAAACATCACACTCATTCCATCATTCATAATTTCTAGAAATTATCAGTTTCTTATGAGCTTATATTCATGAGTTCATCAATGAAAGGAAGTTGGATATATGCACTAAGATAATGGGTGTTAAAAGTAAAGCAATTCCTGCAATACAGAAGGGCTTAACATCCCACTACCGGCGGTTGGGTGTTGCGAACAAGGTGTCAAACTATTTTACAATTAATTAAGGTTTTAAGTTGAGATAAAAAAGTCAGTGTCACGAGCGGGATTCGAACCCACGACCTTCGGCTTGATATGCCGCTACTCTATCACTTGAGCTATCGTGACCTCGATCCACTCGGACACCAACTTCCCATCTCAACCGCACCTTTTGAATTTTCCCTCCTTTTTGCCAGTTTTCAAATGTGTAATCTATTTGATTCTCGGCGACAAGTGAAATGGCCATGGAGAGCTTTAGTGAAGTATACTTCATTTTAATTCATTAAGTTCACTATTTTACAATGCTTCTTTCATACTATTTTCAATTAAAAAGCCATAGGCTGGTCCGGGATTCGAACCCAGAACCACTAGCGTGGCGAAGTCAGACATCCTAACCACTCGGCCACCATGGCCCACTAGTTGATGGGTGTATTAATGGATGAATTACACCAGTGTATATAGTAAATGATAGAAAATAGGAAACTTTTTGTTACCTATTAATTTCTCTTTAAATTTTATTTTACCCATTTTCAACACTTTATGGATAAAAGAAAAATAAAGATTGCGCAATTTTGCTATTAACTTATCATATTGTAACAACCAGCTGCTTTAGGTAAAATTGTCTCTCAAAATTGCTGTTTTTTCCAACATAGATACTTTTTTTCCATAAATCTAACTAAATGTCTTCCATTATATGATATAGCAGAAAGACTACACAGATATTGCTAGAAAGAAGAAGAAACGGACCTAAGCCGGTTGAGATTGAGGAGGATGATAATTGGCCTAGAAAGTTTACTCAGGTTGCCTATCCTTTTGCAGCAGACCAAATTCCCAAAAATGTAGTTCCATCAAACAATGGATTAAGTACAAGTTCTCGCTTCAATAACGTTGTTTTCAAAGGACTACTAACTTGACGCTGCAGACTCCAAAGGCGTATAGACTCGGACCAACATAAAGAGTGTGCAGATATTGCTAGGAAGAAGAAATGGGCCTAAGTAGGATGAGATTGAGGAGGCCCATTATCATTGGCCAAGAAAGTTAATTCAGGTCACCTACCGGTCTTGAACCCTTATGCAGCACACCAACTTATCCAAAATGTAGATCTACCAGGATTATTTAACCACTTTTTCTGTCGTCTCAGTGTAAGACAAAGCAACATAGGTGATTCTAAAGCAGTGAATTCAATTCAATTTCAGAAAAGATATCTGCGATAACCTCGTCCGAAATGAACCAAAAATAACCAGTATAAAATTCAGACAAATACTGCAGCAATGGATGAGGAACATGCATACCATTTAATGCATAGATGGAAATTGCAGCTTTCTGCTTCCAGTGGATGCAAGGCCTTATGCAACAGCTCTACACTCTATCCATTCCATTGATAGAAAATTAAGCATCAAGGATTTTTGAAAAAAAAAATTTTCATTTCATTTGCAACTATAAAAGCTTGAAACTAAAAAACTAATAATAAAAAAAGCAATATTCCACTGTCAAGCTGTGCAGAAAATTTATTGCTGCATTAAATGTTTTTATGTGATTTTTATGATTCGAAACCTGTCTTCTATGTTGTTCTAATTTAATTTTTTTGTGGTTGAGTGTATTTCTAAAAGAAAAGTGCTTATGATTGTACATATTTTAAAATGTTCAGGAGCATTTTAGAGAAACTGCTGATATTTACCTCTAATGCTGATTATTCTTGCATTTTCACAGTTTCTTGTCTACAAGTTGTATCATACTCAATATGGAGATTGAAGAACATGGCTAGAATATTTTCTCTTTCAAACATGTTAGCTGAAAGTCACTTTCAAATGTGAGGATGATTTTTCTGTTGATGGGTTCTTCTCACGTCCAGACATCATGTCTCCTGATGCTTTTTAACTACTTTTCATGAGGTTGGGGCACATTTCAACCCTCTGGAAATATTTAGCTTGAGGAGGGGCAACTTAGGCTTTACCTGCAAATGTTAGGAGTATATTTATTTGACTTTATGCACAGCGCTGCTTTCTATGCCACTAGACATTCTTTTTATTTTTAATTAATTAATTTTTATTTTAATAAGTATATAGGCAGATTTAAAGTTTCATAACTTATACAAATTGTTTGTGCAGTATAACACATTAGAATATTAGCAGATAGCAAGATTCTTGTTGAAGCCAGGAGAGAAATATTTATGCTATGAATGGATGTCTGCAAGATAACTTACATTGGCAACTTTTGTCAATCCTAGAAAGTCTTTATCCTTATATGTGGGAATTTCATCCTATTGGAAATAAAAAAAAATTGATATTCTGTTTTGTTTTAAACAGGCTATATAAAATTATTTTTCCTGTTATAGTTTAAGAGATTCGACTGGATGGCAACACATGTTTACATCTCCTCATATTGAAAGCTGTATAGAACGTGTTGCAGTGAATAGCAAATGGTTGTTGATTCGAGGCGGTATATTTTCACCATCTAAAATGGTTGCAATCTCATATGCTGGGACGGTAAGACTTTGGAGTATAAAAGAACAAGGATCTCTTATCAACGTAGGTAAGCATAAAAAAAGTAAATATTAAGTGTAGCTTTGAAACCAACATGTTTGTTAAATCCATTTTTTGTTCATTTTTTCACAGGGACGTTCAATTTAGGAGTTAGAGTAGAGTATTTATTTTTTACTGAAAGTCAATTAGTGGCATTGTCATCTACTGGAAAGATTGGCATTTGGCATTCTATGACTCAGCACTGGCAAATCCAAGATGTGATGCCAATTTCTTCTTTTGACACAGCAGGATCCTTTTTACTATTAGGATGCAATAATGGTTCCATTTATTATATAGGTAAGATTTTACTTTTTTTCATTTATATTTTTTAGATTGCTTAATGTTTTTTTGCTTGTAGACATGCAGAAATTTCCTCTCCGAATGAAAGATAATGATCTTTTAGTAACAGAACTGTACAGGGACCCATCTCACGACCCTATAACAGCAATCTCAGTTTATCTGACACCAAAAACAAGTAAGAAAAATAAAACAGTATGTACTATATTGCTCTCCTCAATCCGAACTTAGGTACTCTGAACATTTCAGTAGTCCAGACTGGAAAAAAATTTAAAAAGTCAGCATTTTAAAAGAAACAAATGAAAGATTATTGGGGGGAGAGAAAGAGAGTGAATGGGGGGGGGGAGTGTGAGAGAAAAAGGGGGATAGTGAGTGAATGGGAGAGTATAAAAGAAGAGAAAGAGAAGAAAAAAGAGAGAGCATAAAATAAGAGATTGGTTGATTGATTAATTTCCATTTTATTTATACATACATCACTCAAGATTTGGTCTCCAGGACCACTCTTACATCTAAAGTGGTAGATTTCAATTACTACTTAATCCTAACCAAACAATTCTTTTTCATACATCATTAATAAACAAAAACGATGTATATATGATTAACTTGACAAAAAATTTTTTAAAAAAGTTAGAGAGAGAGAGAGGGAGAGAGAGTGAGTAAGTGAGTGAGAGGAGGAGGAGCATAAAACAAAATGAGAGGGGGAAAGTGGGAGACAGACAGCATAAAAAAGGGAGAGAGGGAGAGAACAGAAAAGAGGAGAGAGGGCGAGGGGTGATGTAGGGGGAGAGCATACAAGAAGAGAGAGATTTAGAAAGAGAAAGTGAGAATAAGATAGAGTGAGGGAAGGAGAGGGAGATAAAGGGAGAGAGCATAAAACAAGCAAAAGAGAAAGAGAATAGAAAAGAAGAGGGGGGGTTTATAGGAGGAGAGCATAAACGAAGAGAAAGAGAGAATGTAAAAGAAGAGAGAGATGGAGAAAGAGAAACTGAGAGGAAGATAGTGAGATAGGGGGGCACAAAACAAGAGAGAGAGAGAGAGAGAGAGAGAGCATAAAAGAAGAGAGAGATAGAACAGAAAAGAAGAGAGGGAGATATAGGAAGAGAAAACAAGAGAGGGATAAATAGGGGGAGAGCATAAAAAAGAGAAAGGGAGAGTATAAGAGAAGAGAGAGTGAATTAGAAAGAGAGAAGAATGAGTTTAAGTGAGTGAGAGAGAGAGTGTAAGTAAACGAATGAGATTGATAGAGTGTGTGTGATTGATTAAGTGAAGGAGACTGAGAGAGAGTAAAGAAAGTGAGAGTAAGGAAGAGAGTTATTTATTGTTTAATTGAGTGAGGTAGAGAGAGAGAGAGAGAGAGAGAGAGAGAGTAGGTGTGTGAGTAAGAGAGTGGGAGAGAAATGAATTTGAACTATTGAGTGTAACTCTTGGCACTAAAAAGTAATTTTTGCTCATCTTTATTGAAACCGAAGTCTTCCAATGTGTCATTGTTTTCTCCATATTTATTTTTATAGATTTTTTTAATAAATTTTTATTTGCAACATGTTTCATGTTTTTAGGCCTTTGTGGGAACTGGGTCGAAATTGCATATGGGACAAGTTCTGGTATTGTGAGAGTCATTGTACAACACCCAGAAACAGTAGGTCATTCTCCCCAACTGTTTCAAACTTTTACTGTACATCAGAGCCCTGTGACAAAGGTGTATAAATTACTTATAAAATATATATTCATAACCTTAATTAAAAAATATTTATTTTTTAAGGTAACTCTCTCTGAAAAATTCCTTGTCTCGGTATGCTCTGAGTACAACCATGTTCGTACTTGGAGTGTTACAAGGTTTAGAGGTATGCTGTCAACTCAACCGGGATCGACACCTGTAGCTTCTTTTAAGATTTTATCCCTTGAAGAAATCGAACCCAATATGGGATACACAGTTGGAAATGATTTTGGTAGGTGGTGTTATCAACAAATTGTGTATTGTGGATCTTCAATGATGATCTATATTACACCCGATAATTTTATTTACATATAATAGCAAGATGTTTGTAGTTTAAAATTACGGCCAGTGATTATCAATATGTTGGTTTAAATTGTTTTGTGCCTAGAATCTATTAATCTTCTTACCAAGTACATTTCGCCATACATTTAAACATTTGTTGGCTTATTGTTAAATGGCAAAATGACATATTCAGTTCAGGTTAGAAATGTTGAATGGTGGAGTGAGTGTGTTGTTCAATCTTTTTAAAAAGATAGTTCCTACTCACAGTAAGTTGTTTTGCAACGATCCGGATTTCGAGCTTTTAGCTCATCGTCATATATGGGGGTATCGGCGGTATCACTTTTCAATTGTCGAGAGATGTGGTTGTAGAACTACTTCAACCTGATGATGAGCTATAAGCTCGAAATCTTGATCGTTGAAAACGACTTACTGTGAGTAGGAACTATCTTTTTAAAAACATTCAGTTAGATAGGATAGGAGATAGGAGTCTGCCTCTTTCTGACCACTATTGGTCTTTTGTGACCTTAAGGGTTTTTATCAGATTGTAAAACTTTGTTAATACATACTTAAAGCACCATGAGGCCCCCTACACATACCTCACCCTCATGCAAAAATGAGATTTTTGTTTTTTTTTAGTATCCTTAGAGTATAAATGGACAAAAGCATTGATGTTTTCTTGTTTCCTTACCAACAAATGTACCAATTTTTCTCTTGGTACGCTGTAGTAATTCAACATTTTGTCTTGAGCAAAATTTATATCCCAACTTAAATTAATAAAAAGTGTGTGGTGATTAGTGGCTGTTAGTCTATGATTATTTTGAAATCGTGAGATGCGGTCTGGTGTGACATAGGTTTCAGAAAAACGTTTTCTTTATTTCATTTCGATCTTTATTGATATCATGTCTGCAAGTATCGGGTCTAGGTTGCTACTCATGGCTATGCCAAATAGTTGTTTGTAAAATTGATTGTTGTATGTAAAATATCCGTTAATAAAGCAATGTTATGAACGTGTTTTTTGATAGACTTGTGTGTGGTGTTATGTTGGGCCATTTATCTTTAATAATGTTCAATGTTGTGTCCATTGGAATATTGGTGAACAATGATGAGACATCTAGAGATATGAGAGAGTAGTGTGAGGGGATGTGAATATTATTAATTTTGTTAATGAAATGAAATGAATCTTAACTTTAAAATAGCTTTCAAAAACTATAAAACAATTAACACACATTTTCCAAAATTAAAGATCCCACACCAATAACAAATAAATCTGATGTAATCTACAAAATCAATTGTTTAAACTGTCCGGCAACTTACATCGGTCTTACATCCCAATATCTGGATAAGAGAGTAAAACAACATATCTATGATTGCAAAAAACCCAAGCAAAATCCTACAGCACTTGCTACCCACCATTTTGAACACAAACACAATTTTGACTTCAACAATCCAAAAATATTACACACAGAACAAAACAAACGTAAACGTAACTTTTTAGAAATGGTTTACATCAACAGAGATAAACACAGCATCAATTACAGAACAGACACATGTAAATTCAGTCGCAGCTACGCCAATATCATTAATCAAATTCAATATCGATAACATACATGTATCATCACATCATACAAAACATATAATATAACATATAAAACATTCATCACATTCCACACATCAAACATTTTTACATAGTCTAATTTTTCAACAATTTAGCTTTCCTTTTCCTAATTATCCCGTCTATATAATTTGGCCGAACCATTACCAACGTTTTTTTCCCACCGTCGGCTCTTTTCACCTCAAAGAAGCCGACTCCTAAATCTCCGGCATAAATTTAAAAGTATTTATTTATAAAAGATAAACTCTCCTCCACCAGGTCCATTTGGAGAACAAGATGATGAGCAGGTGTTTGTACAAAAAGTCGTTCCAGAAACGTCAGAGTTATTTATTAGATTGGCTTCAAATGGCAAAAGGTAATTTATATTCCAATTCCCATGCATTCAATATTTACGTATTTTGAAACATTTTCTAGAGTGTGTGTGATTCGGGCTGTGGATGGAACAACAATAACTTCCTTCTGTGTACATGAATGTGAGGGTTCCAGTCGTATGGGATCTAGGCCAAGAAGATTTTTATTTACTGGACATAGTAACGGAACTTTACAAATGTGGGATTTAACGACTGCTCTTGAATTGTCCAAGAAAGGAGCACCAGGTAATTATATTAAAGCAAAGCATTTCAATCGTATCAAACTTGTCACTATTGGATTGGAGTAATTCATCTTGAAAATCCAATAGCATGTTCCATACAATAAAATATTAAATTTGTGATTGTTCACAGTTGTTGGAGAAGGAGAGCAAGAGAATGAGTGTAAGAAAGAAAAAGAAAGGAGAGAGAATGTGTGTGTGTTTGTGTGTGAGAGTGAGATATTTAGAGAGTAAATGAGGGAGAGTGTGTGAAAGAAAGAGAGAGAGTTTGTGAGTCAATGAGTGAAGCAATTTTACAAACAATAAAATATTAAATCTTTGATTTTCGGCATTTCTATTGGTACAATAATAAACTTTTTTTTTTTATTTTTATTTATTTTATTATGTAGCAATGCAGACAAATGGTGGGCCAACGGCGAAAGAACTCCTCCGAATTTTAGATCAATGTGATTTGAGCAACAGCCACTGTTCGACGCCCTGTATTTCACCGTCCCCATCCCTCATCGGTGGTCCGTCTAGGATAAAAGCTTCAAATGTTGCATTTTTAAATCAAATGGAAACATTTCAAAATCAATAACTTAAAAACTGTGAGATTCAAATGAAGCATTATCTTGTATAATATTATCGTATTTTTTTCATTTACATTATTTTTTTATACTAAAAGATGTATTGATTACATTTTTATTTATATACACATATATATTTATATTTACTCAATTCTTGCCAAAAAAAAAATACTGTAATCATAAAGTGACTATAAACAATACTTCTATGTGAATCATCTCATCGAGAAAACAATTATAAAGATGTTATTAATTTGCGTAATTTCTTTTGAACCATCCCCATCTCACATGTTTAGATATTTGAGTAGTGTATTAAAGACAAAATTAAAGAATATTTATAATAAACTACAATATTGAGGATTTGTATTCAAAACTTGTTTCTCTTAATGTTAGATATAGTTATTCAGATATCGTGAGATGCGGTCGGGTATACCTGACCGCATCTCACGATATCTGAATAACTATCGATTAACGGTCACTAATCTCTACACACGTTGGATATAGTATGCCAATTTTGGGCATGTCTTTTTCAGTTTCTGGGTCCAAACCGACTCATATCCTCATTCTCTTTACATTCTTACCTATTTACAAGCCGTTAACTCAGTTAGAGTGGTGGAGTACTTCATATTCCGCCATTGGCCCTCTCACACACCACATTCATGCTAATAAATACATTCTTCCTCAATATACACTAAGAAACACAAGATTATATATCTGTAAAGTATTACATGCAATAAAACAGCTCTAAAAAATCGGAACCAGGGACCCAGCTTCTTTGGTCAAGCACAATTCTTGTTATGGAGCCAAGGACCCTTCAATTAAGCTCTTGATTCTTCAATTAAACTCAACAAGCAACCTTTCTCTACAAGACATACTCATATGTGCGCTTTGCCACAAAAATAAGTGTTCATGAGTCATCCTCACATGGCCAATCCTTAGTCAGGTCTGACTCTTCTATGAGTCAGATCCTTAAGTCACCTGTGGATAGTGCTCTTAACCTTGGCCACCTTAACTTACCATATTCTTTATTATTTGTTTAGTTAGCAGCTTTTGCTTTTGCAACTCAATGTATCTTTCGAACAAATGCACAATGAGATGAAATAAACATAAACTTGGGGATTTATGACCAGCATGAATCTCCCATATTTTTCCTGGAATTTCAAATATGAAAATTACAAAAGAATATCACAGAAAAAAAAAAAGCAACAACCTTTTTTTTAAATAAAATGCCAACCTTTCCTTCATCTAAAATCTAATTTACTTATTGAAATTGAGCTTACAAAATCATTCCAAATCACAAACAATCCTTAAACCCTAAGAAACATAAATTTTAAGTTAATAACGGATGAAAATTTTTTTTTTCCTTTGAAAAAAGAGGAACAAAGTTGGATTATTATTATTATTAGTTTTTTTAGATTAACACATATAAAAATTGCAAGTGGCACATTTTAATAAGTGATTGTGGAAAATGTGCATATCACAATAACAATCAGGTATTTTTTTGTCAAATTGGTTTTATAATCTTTTATCAATTTTTTTCGGTAATCTCGACTCCAAGCAGACGGATATTCCATTGATATAAACACTTACGTTTTTTAAAAGGGTATGTTTTGGGTAATTAAAGTGGTATTTATAATCATTTATTATTATTAGAGAGGACGTGTTATATTATATGTATTATATAACGGAACGTGTACATTAGTTTTTAGAATTTTTTTCATTGTTTTTAAGGCTACGACCTTTGGGTCATTTTTGCCCAAATACCAAAACACCAAAAAACCAATTTAAATTTCATCAAATAACCCTGCCTCTGACAGGAAATCAAAGATCAAATATGGGGACTGATCACCCAATAATTTGGATATGTTGTTTGGGAAGTGGTGTTATGTGCGGAGAGGAGCATAACGCCGACAGTTTAGTAGTATATGCTTAACTGTGACTGGTGTTTGACAATGGAGCATATTGGTGTATTTTTATGGTCGGTAGGTAGCCGTAGGTAAGGCGGGTGTGTCCGATCCTTAGTCTGGTTAGGACTGTTTGTCATTTCCTAGAGGCTCGAATTGAGGATTGCCAATGCTTAATTTCTTTTTTGATTTGGAAAAGTTTATTTGCAGTGTGTTGTTCATTCCACTCACCCTCTAATTCTTTCCAAATGATGTTTTTATATGAATCCAGAAATCCTTGTAGGGAACTTTTGTATAGGGAATTCCACACGAAATTAATTCTTTAGCTAACTGATCGGCTTTTTCGTTCCCGTGGATGCCAACGTGACTTGGGATCCACACGAAAATAACTTTAACATTTTGAGTGGAGGGTTCTTTTAGTTCGTAAAGAATATCTTGGATGCTCGGGTTGTAAGAAAAAATATTTTTGATTGACATTAAGGTTGGGAGGGAGTCAGAACAGCATTAGATTTAATTGAAAGGTTGGCTCCTAAAACATTTTTACGAGTAATATTTGAAAAACTAAAGGACAATTTTCGGTGATCTAGATGAGCTGGAAATGGATTTTTACTTTTGGCGGGAAGATGACAGGAACCAAAAAACACCTTTAATTCATAAACTTCAGGTCACGAATGAGAAATGTTTTCCTCGTTTTTAAGAAAAAGTTTTCTAATGCTGTTCCATAGTGTCTTTATTATGATATTCTACTTTAGAAATTTAAAAAAATCAATATATTACTAGTTTATTAATTAAATTTGTTTTATTATTTTTAGTTGATTGATAATGGTATTGGTGAAAAAAAGTGTTTGTGATAACAGAGGGAAATGGATCGTTTCCAATGGCAAACCTGCCCGTCTCCCGCCTAAACCGTCCCGATCGCCGCCAAACTTCTCTCTCCTAGTCCCCTTGTCATCCTCATTCAACAGGTTGATATCCCCGTCTGGCGTTGATCCGTGTACACCCGACTCATTTTCAACAACCAATTTACTGTCAATTTTTCGTATTTAAAACTTTAAAATGGAAGGATTCGACGAAGCTGATGTCTATTATTCGTCAAATCTCGATACGGACCGGTCTTCGAAACCGAATCTGAGGACGGATTTACACGAAATGAAGGCCAAGTTCAAAGAATTTCTGAAGTTTTTCTCACACGGAATCTTCTCTTACAAATACAGGTACGTTTATGTAACGCTGGCATGTGCACTAATGGACAAATTTAACGCCCCACTCAATTTATTTATTTTAAAACTAAATCTATTATCTTTCTACATTATTTTAGTTGCTATCGAAGTCAAAATAAAATGTTTACGTCCTTTATTAACTTTTGAACTGTTTAATCCCATTTGCACAAAAAGCACTATGCCCTTCCATTCTGCTACGCCTAAAGATCGGTTTCAGTTCATGTTGTCCCTTCCGTTTATTTCATTTGATATTATTCTTATTCTTAAGAGTTTTTCAAAGGTTCAGATCAGTCATTTGTGAGTGAGGATGATAGTGTCACGATCATAACATTTTTGGAGAAAGGATACAGCCAGCGTGAAGTTTCCAGGAGAGTAGATATAAATCACTCTACGATAGTAAGGGCTCTTCGGCGTTCAGAGAAACGGGGCTTCACACTAGGTACACAAGGGTCGTTCTAGGTCTACGGACGAGAGAGATGATAGATTCATCTGTCATCAGGCTCTACAAAACTGCAGTATTACAGGAAATGAGATAAGAAATCTGCTAACACAAGTCCAAAATGTTTCGATTTCCTCCTGGATGGGGATAAAAGTGGCAGTCACAAGGCCCTACTGCACCTCCACCTGAATTGATCTATTTTGCGCCCTTGTTATTTTTTTATAACTGGCCAGCTTCAATCTCCCTCCATAGCTTTGCCAGCGGCTCCTTAGTTTAGGATTTTGCTTGTGATTTTTCTTTTCCTAGCAGCAAGAACCTTCACAGAAACATAGAATGTGTTTTGTAGTCTCCTGCTCTTCCTGGCAGTATCTGCACAGTGTTTCTTCTGTCTGTACTCCTTTCCAGTGCATGTGCTTTCTTAAGTGGCAATGCCCTGTTGTCAGGAGTCCAACCAGAATTCTGATTCAGTTGTGGTTGCCTTCCAGTAATTCTTTTGTAAGTCTTGCGGATGGTCCTTTTATGAATTATGGCTTAGAAGATGGCCAGGCTTCAATTCACACGGGAACATGTGAATTGGGCATTAGAAGATTGGGGATGAGTCCTCTTTACAGATGTGGTGAGAGTTAGCCTCAAATTTTCAGATGGGTGTAATTTCATTCCGGAGAAAGGTAAGCCCAATGCTGAATGGTTCCACAAGTGGTATTCCATGGTGGGTCATGATGTTCTGGTGTGGCTTTTCCTTGGACGCCTGGACCGTAATGGTTGTTGTGCGAGGAAGATCTGGAACTTCACACAGGTACAAGACATTCAAAAGTATGACATAATGCAATTCCCCCCCACATTGGTGATCTGCTAATGTAAGGGAATGGCAGGCCACATAGAACATGTATTGTAGAGGACTATCTGAATGAGGTTGGAATTGAGTGCTTGGTGTGGCCAGCTAGAAGTCCAGATTTGAACACAGTTGGGACCAACTTAAGTGATGAGTACAACGGCGAAACCCAGGTCTTAACACCCCAGAAGAGTTGGTAATGGCTGATCTTGGGGAAAGAATTTCTCATGATGATTTTATCAGAAATCTTTTTTAAGGAATGCAAAGACGTTTAACAAACTTGATTCTTGCCAGAGGTGGAAATACTCAGTAATAAAGGGGACAAAAAAGTTTTTATTGGTTTTTGAATTTTTTTTTAAACTCAATAATTGTTTTTTTAGAATTAGCTAATAAACATTTTCTTTTAAAGTGTCTGATTTTCACCACCACTCCTATTTTTGTTATGCAAAATATGAATAAACTTAAATTCACTGTTAGAGTCCTTGGGAATTTTAGGTCTTCAAGGAAATTTGAGATCACCTGGAAAAAAAAAAAAGTCAATCTGTAGACATATTTAAGATTGTTTTACCCTGATGATGACCTTAAAATAGATAGAAAGCTTGGCAGTAACAACAGAATATGCTTTTTTCTTCGCAATTGGTCATGTCAGTTTACCCAACAGGTCGTCCACTAATCGAAAAGAACAATTGGATTCTTAGCTTTAACTCATATAAGGTGAATAGTGTTGATGGATGTTTGAGTATGACACTTGAGTTGTCTTGTGACTTATCGTGCCACTAATTTGTAGTTGTCTAAGTTTTGAGGATCAAAGTTTGCTAATTCAGACCAGTGAAGTGTAGTAGATAGCCGAGTTGGTCAAAGTAGGACTATCCGATAAATAGAGAGACTGTTGTAGCCGGGTGGGTAAGGTAGTCACGGCAATTAGATCCCGTGGTCGTGGGCTCGATTCCCACCATTTTTTTCTGGTGCACAAGGGGTTTTAACAGAGGCATAGAGTAGTGCTCCTGAGAACGATAAAAACTTACTTGAAAGCTCCTACTCACGCCCTCCTAGCTAGCTCCCAGTCCTAGCTTCCGCTCCACCAATTGACATTGTCATACAAAGTAGAATTGCAATCTGACAGCTAAAAGAAGGAAAGGAGCCAATGATAGGAAACTTGGATGCGTCAGATAGGATTGGCTATGAGATGTGCCTAGGAAACAAATCCGGTATTTCTTTACAGCTTAAATAAAAAAACTCAGCAAGAAAGATGGAACAGAAGCACCAAGGGAAGGCTAAACCACAAGTTTCTACCCAGTATTGTGGATTGAGCCAGAGCATCGTGAAATACTGAAAGGACACAGAAGTTTCAAGGCTAACCTGTAACGGTTCTATTGAACCACAGTTCTCTATGTTCTGTCAGTGGAGTGGATGACAGTGTCCAACTAAACTGTTCAATTGTCACCTTTTTGATAGTGCGAGAGAATGTCCTTTTCCACCACTTTTGGCATCCAACGCTCAATGAACTAGTCAAAGAAAAGAGCACCTTTGAGGCCCTCAAACCTGTTAGCCCAGGGGGGTAGTCAATTAAGTACCTGACTAGTTATACATTTTTTAATAATACTTAAGTTACTTGTTGGATTCAAGGGCTACCCTGAACTATTAATTTTGGGCTGGTTACTCCTTGTTCCCCTATTTGTTTGTTATTTATTAAAACATTGTATGTATTGTTTTTATTGTATTTATTTTATTAGAAAATGTATTCAAAATTCAGCAGAAGGGACCTTTTAGATTAATAATAAGAAAAATATTTCCCTACCTTCCTTGGGCCTCCCCTTTTGGGGCAAGGCTGATAGAAGCTAAGTACCGTAAGAATGATTGTTGTATGTGTCCCCTTCCTTCCTTGTTGACTTGTTGATGTCCAACATGTTGAGTTCTTGATGCAGGTTTTTTTTTTAATTTTAAGTCAGATTTTAGAATGCCTGCAAAAAGTTTAGATAATTTGTTTGCAGGGGCTGGCCTATAGTTGACTACTAGTATAATGGATATGTCACGTTTATTGGTCTGGGATTCATGTTTATTTGGTTTTTTATGTTGTATGTTAAGGCTATCCAAAGCCATATAACGTTAATTCATCGAAGGGTTAGGTATGAGGTGAAAAAATAGAATCCTTGGCACAGCAGCCCTTGTGGCTTATCATGCTGCTTCTTATAAGTTCCTAAATGGTTTTTATTCATACATCAGGCATCTAAATATATTCTAAGTTCTTCATACTGAGTGGAAGTAGCGAGTTACCCAATTTAAATGCCAAGACTAGGACTTTCGCAGATTTCCCCTTGTCTATTGTCTTTATTTTCCTCCCCCTCCCACTCTTATAAACATAAATCTTGCATATTTTCATATACAGATCTGTTAGTGAATTATATTTTAAATATGATTTCAGGAATCAATTGAAAAACAACTACAATTTACAAAAATACTATGTTGAAGTTTGTCTCGAGGATATTGCAACTTTTGACGCTGCTGTTTGTGCTCGGTTGATGAAGGAGCCAGCCGAGTATTTGCCAGTGGTAAGTTAAGTTCATATTCATGATTTGAATGATAAAAAAAATCCTTAAATTGGAAATCTTTGTCCCTTTTAGTTTGAAGAGGCTGCAAAAGAAATGGCAGACGAGTTGACGACTCCTAGACCAGAAGGTCATGAAGAAATGGAAGACGTTCAAGTAATGTTGTACTCAGAAAGTGTCCCAGATTCATTAAGGAAGCTGAAGGTAAAATAAATCAATTAAGTTGAGTTAAACATTCTCCATCTGATAACTTTGATAAACGGAATCTACCATAAGGAGTAAATAAAAAAAAATATATATATATAAATTCTTATGAAAGTAAAACAAAATTTGGTGAAGTGAAGGGTATATAAATACTGATTATTTAAGAGGATTCGTATAAAATAAAATAAAAAATCCTAATTGACTTACAAAGGTCCAAATTTCCTAAAACAGACATATCTTCTAAATCGATATTTATAGTAAATTAAAAAATCTTTTACAAGTGGAGAGCAGAATAAAAAAAACAATATCGCTTTTACTTCCCAGTCAGCTCTCAGATTTTGATTGTACGAACCGGTTCAGATATGACCGTGAAAAAGATTCTGTCAGAGTAAGCTGTAAACTTCAAAGTCTTGCAATTCCGCAAGAAAAAGAAAATTAATGCCTGTATACATATGTGCATTTATTGGAATTCAATTAATTTTTTACATTCTCTTGGGGGGGGGGGGAATTTTGGCATAACAAAAAGTCCTTTTGTAAAATTATTATTAAGCTAGATTTTTTTCTGCATTTTTTGGTGTAAAAGATATGGACGTACTAAAAATGTGAACATTTAATCCAAATTTTTTAAACCAGATTTTTTGTGCATTGTTTGGTGTAAAGGATTTGCAATTTTGTGCACTGGAAATTGAATATTTTGACCAATTTTTTTATTATTATTCGTTTTAATCATTAAATTAGATTTTTTGAGCATCGTTGGGTGTAAAGGATTTACAATTTTGAGCACCTTTAGCACTTGATTTAAAAATTGAAAAGGTCTTCACAGATCAGAATGGGTTCTATGACCAGATAAATCCCAATATAACAGGAACCGTGCTATCTAGTGGAAATGTCTCAACATTGTCACTTAAAAAAAATCCCCTGTTGAAAATTCACATTTTTTTTTTTTAATTGGTACATAATTGATAATTGCATTTGTTCTAGTCATCGATGGTTTCACAAATTGTCAAAATTCCTGGGATTGTAATTTCTGCTTCGGGGATAAAAAGTAAGGCAACATCGTTGACCCTGCAATGCTCTTCTTGTGGAAATACCATTCCAAAAATATCCATTAAGCCTGGGTTGGAAGGATATACACTGCCTCGTCGTTGCATATCGTAAACAATTTTCAATTTTCTTCAATGACCTTGTTTACTTAGATTAAGCTTCAATTCATTTTTTATTTTCTAGTGAACAAATTGGACAGTCTCAATGCCCACTTGATCCTTATCAAATTCGGACGACAAATTGTCGGTGTGTGGATTTTCAACTCCTTAAATTGCAAGAGTTGTCAGAATCTGTCCCTCAAGGGGAGCTTCCACGTCATGTTCAACTATACTGTGATAGGTTTGTACGATTATTGAATTTATAAACATTTAAATAAATTTTTTTGAAATTATTATCAAGTTAATCTATATATGTACTTAGTAATCTTAATTGACTATTAATTATTTTAATTAATTACACTTTTTATCTAAGGCCTTAGTTGAGACGAAAAAGCTAGTGTCATGAGCAGGATTAATTTGTGTTATTTTTTCAGATTTTTGTGTGACAGAGTAGTCCCCGGGAATAAAGTACTCGTCGTTGGAATTTATTCAATTAAAAAACAAAAACAATTTAAGGTAAATTTTAACATTTACTGGCCCTTTTTTGGTTGTTAAACCCTTCGTTTTTGTTAATTCAAGAGAGGTGGAGGCCCTAAGGACAAAAATGTCGGCGTACGTTCCACATACATCCGTGTGATCGGTGTCAGTGTTGATAATACTGGACAAGGAAGCCCTGGGTGTATGTCATTTACACCCGAGGAAGAAGACTTCTTTCGAAGGCTAGCTTCTTCGCCCAATGTTTACGATAGAATAACAAAATCCATTGCGCCCAGTATTTTCGGCTTTGAAGATATTAAAAAGGCAATTGCCTGTTTATTGTTTGGTGGTAAATTTTGATTTATATATCGTACATAAATATTTGTAATAATATTGTGAAGGGGTTGAAAAGGCTGTTTTTTGTTAATTACTTTTCACATTATAGGCTCACGTAAAAAACTTCCCGATGGTTTAATCAGAAGGGGTGACATCAACATCCTTCTTTTAGGAGATCCAGGAATTGCAAAATCTCAACTTTTAAAATTTGTAGAACGTGTCAGTCCACTCGGTGTTTATACCTCAGGTAAAGGCTCATCTGCAGCCGGTCTCACAGCATCCGTCGTAAGAGATCCTCACACTGTATGTTGTTATTTGGTTTGAATATTTACCTTTTTCCTCTTTTATAATTTTTTTTTTTTTTGTATTTTTAGAGAAATTTTATAGTTGAGGGTGGGGCTATGGTTTTAGCTGATGGCGGTGTTGTTTGCATTGATGAATTTGATAAAATGAAAGAGGATGACCGTGTCGCTATTCATGAAGCCATGGAACAGCAAACCATTTCCATTGCCAAAGTATTTTTATTTTTTACTTATTCTTTTTCTGTTTCAGCGTCAATTTAAAAAATACAAACTTTCAGTATTAAATTATTTCTTAGCTCAAATATGGACTGTGTATTGCAGGCTGGTGTAACGACAACGCTTAATTCTCGCTGTTCAGTTTTGGCCGCAGCAAATTCAGTATTTGGAAGATGGGATGACTTAAAGGGTTCAGAAAACATTGATTTTATGCCTACTATTTTGTCTCGTTTTGATATGATTTTTATAATAAAGGACACTTGCAATGAAGCAAGAGATATCGTAAGGCATTAATTTGTTTAGATTTATATTAAAATAAAATTACAACGTTATTTAATTTTAGACATTAGCTGAACATATTATGAATGTCCATATGAAAGCATCAGAGATAACTGGAGAACAATCAGATGGTGAATTGTCTCTACAAATGCTTAAAAAGTTCATTAATTATTGTCGAAGGTGTGTAATTTTATCATATTCTGAGCTTTGACTGTTGTTATTGCTTTTTTGTTGTTGCAGGCGATGTGGCCCAAGATTGTCCCAACAAGCTGGTGAAAAGTTAAAAACTAAATATGTTCTTATGAGAAGTGGAACTCATAAACACGAAATGGAAAGTTCTGCTAAAGCTCTTTCTATTCCTATAACTGTCAGGTAGCATTTAATAATTAAATACTACTAAATGCCTATAGTAGGAAATTTATTTACATTAAATTGATTGTTTTTAGACAACTGGAAGCTATAATTCGTATTTCTGAATCGCTTGCAAAACTTGAATTGCAGCCGTTCGCTACAGAAAAGCATGTCAATGAAGCATTAAGGCTGTTCAACGTTTCCACTTTAGATGCTGCACTTTCTGGAACTTTGGCAGGTATGTTTATGTTGAGCATAAAGAATATATATTTTAAAAAAATGGATCTTAGAAGTTGTGGCTACTAAGGCAGTTGTTTTTTTGTGAAAGCCTTTTTTCCCATGAACAGTATCTCGCCTGAATATAAACTTTTATGGTATGTGGCACGTAATTTGAATCACTCCGTCTTCACCGCTGCCAGCGCTGAACTCATTTTTCAGTAGATATGGACAAAGCTGATCTTTTTAAGAGTTAGATCAAAACATTAAGTGAAATGAATCAGCTCTTTTCCATGATTCACCGTTTGTGCTCACCAACTTTATATTTAAACCCCCCCCCCATAATTCCATGGGTAAACTGGTTGGTTTTTTGAATTTTGTGAAATTCAAATCAGTAAGTCAGTGAATTACAGGGTTGTTATATGAAAGAAAATTAGCCTTTTCTTTGATGTTTAACACTTCCACACGTGATTAAAATATTCTGTCAAAATACATATTCATACTATTTAAAAAATGATGTAAATTTGTACTTGTAAGTTTGGCTGTTCCAAACAGTTCTCGATATACTGCTGACCCCACCCCAACAACTACACTAAAATTATGTACAGCCTAAACCTACGGTTTGCCTGGCAAGGTAATTTTCATTGTTGCTAATAATAAATTTCAATAAAAAATGAAGTTCGTTGAACAGTTCATCATTTCATGCACATAATAATTAACAACTCTGTAGTGTGTCTCACTTGTAAAGCAAGTGAATAAAACGAAAATAAAAAACATATAAACAATAATATAAATAACGAAAATAAATATTTTAAAGTTACACAGCTCATTCGTAAACATAGTAATTTCGTGTAACTGAGTATAACCTGTAATTAAATAAGAGTTCAGAGTAATGCTGTAAGCTGGGAAGTGAAATCGCAGAGTGTTGAAACTTGAATGGACGAAAACGCCACACTTTATTTTTAATTAATTAACATTTTTATGTAAGGTTTTGGCTGAAATGAAAAAGTTAATGTCATGAGCGGGATTCATTTCAACCAAAACCTTACATAAAAATGTTAATTAATTGAAAGAAGTAATTTGGTCAATCATACCACTAAATATAATGGATTTATTTTTAATGTTGGAATGTGTCTGTATTAATTACATCTTTCTGTGTCTTATTCCTTTTATTCGTTTTCAGGTTCACCTGAATTTACTTCTTCTGGAGATTATGAAAAAATGGTACAAATAGAGAAACAACTCAAGAAGAGATTCCCCGTCGGAATTCAAGTTTCGGAACAAACTATAATCAATGATTTTCAAAAACAAGTCAGTCCCTTTAATGTATTACACCTCAAAATTCATGAACTTGTAGCAGTGTCTCTTATAAATCACATGTTATTTATTTTTATTTATTTATTTATTTTATTTTTGCAGGATTACAGTGAGCAGTGTATTAGAAAGGTGCTTGAAATCATGATAAGAAGAGGTGAACTAATACACAGAGTACAGAGGAAGTTTCTTTTGCGTCTTCGGTAAATGAATAATTTGTACTATTAATTTTTTAACATTTTCTACTTCGCCCTCTTGTCCAATTTGTTATTAAAAGCAATTTCTCTTTTTCCTGTTACAAAACTGGCTTGTAATATATGCATACAGCTACATTTTCATTGTTTTTAAAGTTTTGTCCTATTAATTAGTCCTATACCTCAGCATTTGTGTCTATTAATTTTTAGGAATATGTGAATTATAATAGAGAAATGGTTGAGTATATCAACAAGATATTCAATCTGCATGATGTTTTTACAGTTGATTTTATAATAGTAAACCAATTAAATGGCCTCGTTGATCATACTGTTAACAAAAGTTAGTTCTGCCTAGATTTTTTTTTTTTTTTTTTTTTTTTTTTTTTTTTTTTTAAGCAACCATCTTATTTGTCTATCTTGTTTGGATTTGTTCTAAAATGATATTTATGCAATTGTCTTTTTATTTAATTCTTGCAAATTCATAGGTGAAGGGTTTTATCAGAACCCTAAATGATAATTATATTTAAACAATAACCTTTTGTTTATTAAAAAAATTAATACTATTTTCCTTAATTATATGTAGTTTTCTGTAAAATAGATAAACAATATAGTTTAAATGGTTTTATAGTTTTCGCCCTAGCCTCTTCATGTACAGTAGATTCTTATGTCATTTTAATAATAATAATAGCAATAGTACTTTATTTGTTATAATACAGTAATATAAAATAACTACACAATACAGCATGGAAAAATGGAAAATTCGGCCTGCTGGAGGTGAATGAAAACATAAATAAAGCAAAAAAACGTGAAAGAAGAGAAAAAATTTAAAAAAACATGAGAGTAAAGCCAAAAAGGGGATCGCAACAGCCTTGTGGTAAGCGTGATAAACTCTCAGCTCTAGATCCTGCGGTTGTTTGTTTGATTCTCACCGTTGCCCCTGGCCCTTTTTTCCATGCAACCCCCCCCCCCCCAAATAAAAATATATATACATACATACATTGCATATGAGATATAATGTTCCTTGACTAATATCAACGTTCATAAGGCCATTAAAAAAATAAATGAATAAAATAATAAAAATTGTACGTAATAAAGGTTAAATATTTATTTCTTTAACATAAATAAATATTGCCATGCATGATTGCAATATTTTACAATTGTGGTTAGTTCAGAATTTAGCCCAGTAATTAATTCATCTTTAGACAGAGAACTTTGGCCTAGGTGGAGCATACAAATTTCTTTTAAAATTGTGCATTCTGCTGAGACATGGTCTCAGCATCACATCTTCTCTGACATTATAGTTACATAGAGAGCTCAGGGCAAAAGGTCCCTCCATCCAAGGGATGCAATTTAACTAAGGTAGCTCACCTCATTTTAAAAACCCACCACAAATCACCCAAATTCACATGCTGATTAGAATCAGACAATAAATGGCAGTGGGAAACTACGATCGAGATCTCTGAAGGAAAAGACAAATTGATGTCAGACAAGCCTCACAGACTCCTCCCGATGACATACACTGATCTGCAAGATTATGTTTCCATGCTAAAATATTATTAATATTTAAGGTATGTGGGATGGAATATTTAGAAAATAAGAGTATGCCAGTGGGAGAACCAGAATGTGTTATTTTATAGGAATTAGGAAGCCGAGAATTTTCAGGGCATACTTGAAGTGAAGCCCCAGTGTAGATATGATCAATAAGTCCATGGATGTATCGAAATACAACAAACAGCTAGGAGTTGATGAGGGTAGTTCAAAAAGCTTTTTGAATATTTCAGAAATTTCTCAACTACGTCATACTGTTGATATCCCCCAGTGGGATGTTGTAATTTAACATTAACCCTGTACATATTCTATTAAATCTTAGCTGTAGTCAACACGTGCTTCAAATGGTATTGAAATGAGAGGTGAGGTGAAGAGGAACTGAAGTAGTGATATACATATTCAACAGGTAATCACTTGTAAGAAAAACTGTCAGTACTGACAAATCTCCCACCCTTTCTAAAACTGGCCACCTTATTGGCAAAGTTATCACAGATTCCATTTCACATTTCCAATATGTTTATGTACCTCTGTAAACTTATTCAATTATCAGCTATGAACAACACATCATCAGGATATGTTTTAATTTTATTTAAAAAGTTTTTTTTTTTTAACATGGACATGTTTGAATCTAATTTGTCTTTTTTAAATATTTTGGTTTTTGTTAAAAAAAATTCCTTTTTTAAGTAGATTCCTTATTTATTTAAACATTTATTTGGATTTTTCGGAATTTAATTAATTTCACGTATTTTCTCCAATCATCAGCATTTCCAGCAAGAAGTCCTTCATTATGACTTATTGATGTGTTTCTTTCCTGGGTAGAATGTTTTTCCAAGTAATCTTTTTTTTTAAGGAGATTTTTACTATAATTAACTTTAGTGTTGCCAATTCGAACACCGCTTTCAATTATAGAAGGAAGGTTACCAATGTAGAGTGAAAAATGGATGGGACTTAAAATGCATCCCTGCCTAACTCCACAATTTATAGGGGGGAAAACCTGAAATTCCCTCTTTGATCCTAATCACAGAAGCAGCATCACCGAATAAACTTCTAAGGCTACTAAATTACTTTAGACGAGTCCCAAATCAAATAATTATTAATGTTAATGTCATTTTGGTTTCTTTATTAAATAGCTTGACTTTTAAGGCACCATTTTTGTTTAATGTCATGCTTTGTTATTGCATCGCTGAATCCTATGGACCTGTAACGACGGTTGACTTTCTTGGTAACATGGTTCTCCAAAATGCCTTCGGCTCATTTTATTTTCATTTGTACAACTGCTTTAGTGTAAAAAGTCATTTGGTAGGTTCTGTTACTTTTCTTTATTTGTAAATATAATATATGAAGATAGTCCTCCTTTTACTTAGTGTCACTGTTTCCATGTATTAAACCTAAACTTTAATCAACAACTTACATCATTTTGTTCTGACATTAAATTTACATTCTATATACGTAGGAGATGGAAATTTTTATTCTGATAAAAGGATCGTCCTATCGATAGTACACAGGCGATAAGTGTTGACCTTGAAGACGATATTTATCATCAGGAGGTTATGTAGCTGTATCAACAGGTATCGCCATGGCATAATAAATTGACATTTCAACTTAATGAAATGTAAAACTTAGAACATTGTTTTGACATGTTCGTATAATATTAAATTTCAAATGTCATGGTGCAATTTGAAAGTTATCGCACGTAAGTAATTACATTTTTGTTCGTTTCACTAGGAATGAAATTACATATAATTGACCCATCGGTGTCAAGTAGTTGTAAACATTATTCAACATACTCAGCATCGCTAAATAAAATGGCCTTCGAGTGGAAAAATCTGGGTTTTAAAGTATAATATGACTATAAAAGAGTTGTCAGTTGAAAAGCTATGATTATGTGGTAGGATGAGTGTGACTTGAGTATCATAGAAAGATATTGAGCATGAGAACTATGCTTATAGAGGTGTTGGTGGCCACAATGGTTTAGGTGTTGATGTGGTACTCGTCACTGTAAGGTAAAGGTCCAGGGTTCGAACCCGACATACTTACAAATGGGCTTTTTTTTTTAAACACCAACTCTCCAAGTGTGATATGAACTCTGTTGTTGCAATTTTTATTAAATCTTTCAATTAATTATTCTTTTTATGTAAGGTATAAGAAGGTCATGGGTAAGTTCACTGTGTACAGCCTGATTCTTTGTCTATTAAGCGCATAAGCTAAATATGGTACTATCCCTTAGTGATAAGCACATAGTGTCAGTGCCTGCTTACAATGGCACAGCAAACTGGAAAAAACATAGATTCACCAGACAGGATTAAAAATAAGTCCTCTGTTCAGTGGGAATGTAATCGAGGATCACGTCAAAGGACCATTGCATAAACTAACAACTAACTAAATTTAGCATGTGCTAGGACTAGAATGATAGTTGGAATGTTGATTGGACAATGCAGACCCCAGAGTATGGGTTGAGTGTGCCCATTTTGTAGATGTTTTCTCAGATGCCAGTGATAGGTTAATAGTCTTGTCACTCCTCTGAATCTGGCCCTCTCCTTTTTGATTTATTTGGATCTATTCATGATCGAGGATTCTGAATTTGCTTTTGTTATCCCAAGAATAGGTTCAGGGCATATGGTCTTGCAGATCCTCCTCTGGCCAGTTCATTACCCAAAATTCCTTTTTGTACAAACACCCAAGACACAAGCATTGATGGCATGTATTTCTTGAAAGACTGAACTATGCTTCCCTAATGAGTTCGATTGCTCATATTTCTGGTTCGTACAAAAATACCGGTAAAAAGCTTAATGAGGAGACAATAATGGAGATGCACCATACCTCAATACTGGTTGTGGTGCGCAGGTTGTAAAAAGGCCAGTTCCTATTCATCGGATAATCTAATTTTCCACTGCCCACTTTGAATACCTCGCCCAGCCCCTTTCTGACCCTCCCTAGGATATTCTCATTAGTAACTCATTTGAGACTTGCTTGGAGAGGTATGTGTATGTGCTTAGTCTGTAGATGAGGTTGGTCATGGGCTTGATCTAAATGCACCTGAGCATTATTTCTATCAAACTATTCTGTGACATTTACTACCTTAAAACAAAGTCAAGTACATCAGAGTACCCCTGCCCCTCTGTTTGTCTGCCACCCAGTCTGATCAACAATAGAATATCAATATTAGAATAAAAGTAAAACAGCTATTACAATGGACTCTCGTTATCCACTGGGGATTCATAACAAATATCACCGAGGATAATACAAAACACCTCAAATTTCATGCTTCGAAGCATTTTCTTCTATCTGCATACCTGACACTTTCTGTATTGTGTGCTATCGTCAAAGTTATGTATGAATGTATGGCAACTTGTATGAAGTTATGAGCAGTATGACAAAGGTTGCAACATGTTAGCTCAGTTGTTTGTGATTTACCACGTTCCCACTCTCCTCTAAAACTCAGAGGGCATCTGTAGATGAGTAAAAGCATGGAGTCTAGTACATGGCTGCCATCTTCAGGGAGCCTTTTTATTTGTCAGCAAAAAAGGTGCAGATTTTATTCCTATGGTTGCCGTACAACAAGTAAATTAGCAAATCCCCTTTGATTTTTATAAACTAAATAAACAAAAAGTAACACTGAAAAAAAAAAGTTCATTACAAAATAAACTAATAAAATAAATTATTTGGAATACATTTAATTTTTTTCAGGTGGGGTATTGTTGATTGGCTCTGGAGGTTTTGGATACCTTCATCGTGTTGCGTTTTACGCCAGACAGAAAAGAAGATACTTGCAAGTATGTCATACTGAAATATAATTGCAAGTTGCTCCTATTTTTAAAATATGTCTTTCTTTGTGTTTATTATTGAGTTACTTATTTGACTGATTCACTTTTGTCCATTAATTCTTAAAAAATTGTATTGCAAGGGTTAGACCATTAATTTTTTTTCTAGGTTTGAAAACATCCTATAAAGGATTTTATGTAGATATAGGACCAGTTGTGGGAAATTGCGACAAAGTATGGACAATAGCTTTAAATTCAAGTTCAACAAGAGTACCATTAGTTTTACTCCATGGACTCGGATCTGGGGTCGCCCTTTGGTGTTTAAACTTAGACTCACTTGCTGGTGACAGGCCTGTTTATGCAATTGATTTACTTGGTAAGAATAGCTATATTTTCTCTTTTGTTGCTTTTGGTTTGGTGTCAATTATTTCCCTATAGAAAACTTTTGAAATATTAATTCTTATGAATAATTATAGTGTGCTTTGGACTGCTTTTTGACAAATGTAACAATTTTTGTATGGTATTTTTGCAGTAAAGTGAAAAATAGTGAGATCAACATATTGAATAGAGTTTATGTGTAAGGTTGCTCATAAATACAAATGTAACAAGTAAAAGTAATGATGAATAAGGCAAAGTTGTAAAATAAGTCCATAGTGATTTTCAGTTGTGGCGTGTACAGTGATGACACTTTGGAAGAAAACACGGAAACTTTGATTTGGAAATGCAAGGCGCTCTGATCCTCATTCAACATTGATGATGACAAAATTCATAGCGATATATGGGATCACATGATGATCCTAAAACACAATGTAAATGACCTATATGCAGGCACTGACTAAGTAATAGCTAAGCAATAGAAGGAAATTTAGCATATGCACTTAACTAGTTTGTGTACGATCACTCTCTACCAGTGGTCTTCGTAGACGTGTTAGAAATCACCTGGGATGTGCTACCCCACCCAGCCTATTCACCTGACATTGCCCCCCCCCACTGAGATTTCCACATATTTTAGGCTCTGAGTTTGCTATCAAAAAACACTATGGTTTGTTTCACAACTGATATTCTGCTCATTTTGATTGACAATTAACCATCTGTTAGCAAATGTTAGGTAATAAAATAAGTTAAAGAGTGAATTAATGTTGAATTTATAAATTACATCTAGACTAGTTTAGTTTAATAGTTATACTTTATATTACATACAAGTGACCATTTTATATTGATACGAGAGTTACCTACATGTCTGCTTTCACCCATTGGATTATAAATAGATTTTTTTTAAGGTTTTGGTCGAAGTTCACGGCCTTTATTTTCATCAGATGGTTTGAAAGCTGAAGAACAATTTATTTTGTCAATTGAAGAATGGAGGAAAGAGATGAGGATAGAAAGAATGATTATATTAGGCCATAATATGGGAGGGTTTTTGGCGATGGTCTATGCTTTAAAGTATCCAGAAAGGTTACCTATTTTTTTTTCATTTGTTATGTGCCATACCGTTTCTAATAGATAATAATTTTCAGGGTAATACACCTAATAGTTGCGGACTTATGGGGTTTCCCAGAAAAACCAAAAAACGATGGAACCATGAATGAATCATTGTTTAACAAGCTTGTAACATACATGTCCATTCCTCTTAATCCTCTTTTCGCTTTGAGAGCAGCAGGTCCATTTGGTAAATTACCTCTGCTGTTATTTCTGCTGTAACATTTCTGAAACAGTATTGTTTCAGGTGATTGGCTTATAAAAAAAGCAAAGCCAGATTTCGTCAAAAGATTTGCATCAGCTCTTGACAACGATCCTGGAGCGATATCGCAGTATATTTTCCAATGTAACGCTCAACCTCCTACGTAAGTAGAAGTACACAATTTTTAAATATTCCAGTGCTACCCAGACATCCTTTACAAACACCTTTATTACCTTATCCTAGAATTTTTAACTGATCCCTGCTTCAGAGTGAAGTGTGATGAATATTCTAATACCAGATACAAGCCGGTGTTCCACAAGGGAGCATTCTTGGTCCCAACATTTATACTGTTGACTTACTTATACATCCCAACACTATCATTCCTACCTATGCTTGTCATTTAACCCGAATCCTATCCAAGCAACCTCCAACATCCAAGAACAATGATTAAAGGCTGAATGAGGAAACATGTATACAAAGTACATGTACTTGTACAAAGACTCTTATGGCACAAATCTGTTTTTACCAGCAAAACTGACTCTATACAAGACATTACTGTGTCTACTTTGAACATATGGAGTTGAACTGTGGCATTCCGCCAAGCCATCCAATATCCCGTGGATCCAATCGTTTCAATTGAAAGTCCTTAGACAAACTGTCAAAGCTTACTGTCACTAACCTTATCTTAAACAACCTCAACATTTCTTTTGTCAATTAGCTGGTCTGATCCTGCATTCAAGTTTCACATCAGGGTTTCGATCCCTCTTAACCCTACTGCTCAAGCCAGAGATGATACCGCAATTCTGTCTTCTAACTTGAATCCTATCCAAGCAACTGCAAACCTCCAAGAACACCTTGAGTATCGAAGATTTCCAAAAGGACAGAATGACAAAAAATATACCCAGTGTTCAAACAGTCTTGCCCTTCTTCGAACATGAATAACAAGGAGCTTTCTTCTACTCAAGATACTTAGTCAAAGTTAGATTCTTAGTACTATACCTGGACAGCAGACTGACTTAGAAACCCCACACAAGACTTAAAATACAAAAACTTGAACAACTGTCAAAACCTTTAAGGTTAAATAGTTTTGATTGTCAAAACTCAACTAACTCTATACAAGATTTTAAACTAAGGTCTTGATTGAGATGAAAAAGCGTCACAAGCAGGATTCAAACCCACAACCTTCGGCTCGATACACCGCTGCTCAAACCACTTGAGCTAACTTTAGCAGATAAGTAGCACTTTTCTATTGTTTTTTCATCTCAACCAAGACCTTAGATTAAAAGTATAATTAATTAAAATAATTATTATGGTTAATAATGACTATTAGTGCATGAATGGATTTATGCCAAGACATTACTGCAACCAAGGATCCAATTATTCCAATCAAAAGTCTTGAGACAAATTTTCAAAGCTGCATATTATTGGGTGTGCGTTTTTTTTTTTTTTTTTTTTTTTCAAATTACGTTATCCTTTTTTATCTGCTGGCCCTCTTAGTTCTAGGGTGGGAAAAGCTCTATGGAAAGATATTGTTAAGAAAGGGGTAGTTGATACCAAAAGCCATGAATTGTCCCTCAGGAATAAGGAAAACTGCATGGCTTGTTGGGTTTAACTCCCGAATAGGAATAAATAAAAAGGGTTTATTTCCTATTTGGTCATTGAGGACAACAAGGCCTTTACAAAAATGTTAAACACCATAGCTGTTTGCAAGAAGAATGAAACGCGCTCTCGTAAGGTTCTATTATCTGTTTGGTGGGATATTCAAAGAATAATTTATAGAGAACTCTTACCACACAAACCCTTACAACATTCTGTGCCAAGCTATCAGGCCAGAGCTTCCAAACAAATTATGTATAAATATAAAGGGAAAAGTTGAACAAAAGTAATCAGGAAAAACATCAATCGATGAGGTAGTGTCATTCAAAAGGTGAGCAATTGTGGACCTTGTATTATCAAGTATGTTGGTCTGGTGAAAATCTATATGGAAAAGTGGGCCGTGGTCCGTTTCTTAAGGTGTGCTGAAGGATCCTTAACCTGAGAGGATATCTGGAGCGTTGTTGTTAAGCATCTTCCAACCAAAGGAGGAGTCCTTCAAAGCTCGAGTGATTGAACTTAAAGTTTGTGTAGAGGGAAGAATGGTCATCATCCGATTCATGACCAGTACTCCTGGAGGAAATAAATTCAAGAGCTCAGTTCTGAATCCTTTCCAGACATCGATGTCTCTTTTATTAGAGAGTGCCCATACAATCCCTGCATATTCCAATTGCGATACAATTAAGGATTGAAATAAGACCTTTAAAGCAAACAGATTAATAAATTCAGCAGTCATTCTCTTAACAAATCCGAGGTTTGCTTTTTTAATAGTAGTATAGATGAGTATTAAATTTGCAGTTGGAGCTAAATGTGACTCCTAAGTCCAATAGTTGCTGTAATACTTAATGTTTCACGATGGCACCAGGCCGAGTAAAATTGCCAAGTTAGGCTGTAGTTAGCAATGATTACCCCACCCTCAATACTCTCCAGATCTCGCACGTTCTGATTTTTACTTGTTTCACTCCCTAGACAAACACTTAAAAGGTAGAGAATTTTTGCATGAAAATGCTCTGAAAATCATTCTTAAGATTTCTTCTCCTTCTAGGTCATCAGACTTTACAAAAAGGGGATATTAATGCTACCATGTTAGCAGTATGTTATAGAAAACTAAGGAAATTATGTTTTGGATTAAAAATGCAAATAAATTTTTATTTTGACTTTTTTCTGAAAATTGAAAAAACTTATGCGAGCACTCAGTACATCACCAAACGCCACTTCCTTCCGTTTGCTGATGAGCTGACCTGTACCCGTTGTCAAAAGTTCCTAATCCTAACCCTACTACCTTCTCATCCTGGGAACCCCTCCATTTGACGGCCTCAAAGCCTACTCGCCTCTTAATCCCTCATATTGAACGCCAGAGTTGACTGGTTTCTCTTAACCTTAGCCTTACAACCTTACCTGAGTTTGTTTATATATATAGTGTATATTTTTTAATATTTGTTATGTGCGAGATCTTTCGATCTTGTGTTCTATTATCTAACATTTTACGTTTAGTGGAGAGGCTGCTTTTAAAACTATGACGCACGACACTGGCTGGGCGAAATACCCGTTGATCAATCGAATCGACAATTTAGATTTAAGAATACCCATTACCATTCTTAACGGATCAAGATCGTGGATTGATTACACGACCGGAGATAAAATCAGGGAGAAAAGAAGCATCTATTCTTGTGTCAATATTCAGGTTAAACATACAATTTCTTCTTGGCATGAGAACAATTTTTACATTGTTTTAAAACTTTTTTTTTTTACTTTTTATTTTACAGGTAATTTCAGGGGCAGGAAATCACTTGTATGCAGATAAAAGTGAGATTTTCAATCGATACGTAATAGAAGCCTGCAATCGTTCAGACTAAAGGCCACAATCGATAAATACATCCAAAATTATTGTATATATTTAATTTATTCATATTAAATAAACCCCTTGATGAATAGTCTGCGCCGACAAACCTATCGGGGAAGCAGGGTAATTAGGATCCCCGGGTATATACATATATATATATATATATATTTTAAATTGTAAAACAAATTAATGCAGTATTATAAACTGTCATTCAATGTGATAACTTTTAGTCATATTAATAATAGAATAAATATGTACCTAAATTGAAATATATAGTAAGTTTTTTTATTTATTTTACTAATTTTTTCTCCATAATAAATCAAGGAATTTTTTTAATGAAAAAATTCATCAATGAAAGAATAAAAGAGACCAGCCATGTTTTAAGCATCTGGTGTGCAAAGTGATAAACTAGGTAGATCGTTCATTACAGTTCATTGATTGGTCTGTGCGTTATGTTCATTTTTGGCCCAACCACTGAAGTATACTTAAGCATTTACCATATGGTTTAACCTACTTTTAAATCCCTTCCTTGGGGGGCCTTTCTTGGTCTGGCACAATTTTGTACAAATATCCTCTACTTAACTATCTATTCTGTCAGAGCTTTCAGGTGTGACAAGATTACTCCGACTGATACTCTCTGGCCATGGGAGTGCCACAGGGCAGTGTGCTTGTACTCCTTTATAGTCCAAGCACTTGTAATTTTACTTCATACTAAAAAGTCAATCTATTTTCTAATTTAATTTAATTACATTTTGATATATAACAACAAAACTATCTGTAATAGCATGAACCAATTCGGCCAATTTTAAATAGGGGAATCTTTGAAACCCCTTGATGAATAATCTGCGCCGACAAACCTATTAGGAGAAGCAGGGTAATTAGGATCCCCGGGTACGGATGTGACCCTGTTTGCCAGTACTCTCCAACCTCCTTTTCTTGTCCAATCCTAAAAAATATGTATAAAATAAGATGGAATGTATTCTATCAGGAATTAAACATGACAATAAAGTTGAAGTATGAAGCAAAATAAATAAAATTATAAAAAACTCACATTGTGATTGTATTTGAAATAATATGCGGTGCAATAAACTGCAAATATAGCCATACAAAATTTTCCGGTAATTTTCCTTGCCAGCAAAGCAGCTTCTTTACCCTGGAATGAAATTTAACGTAACAAATAGTTCGATTTTCTTATTTCCTTGACATGTTTAAATAATTTTGTTTTAGAAACCAGTCTTTTATATAATAAACTGGCAATAAACAAGGCAAAAATTCTTAAAATACACCCTAACAAAAAGAAAGTATCTTCTAGACAAAAGCTAAAAATATCAATATGACAAAAGTATAAATAATCACATAATCTGCCTTTTCATTACCCTCCAAACCAGATCCAGCCCAACGGGAATTTCCATTTCGTTTTAATCACATTTTTACCATCAAGAGGGCTGGATCATGGTTGTTAGAAAGTCCTGACTTTACCTGCCTTTTCATTACCTTACTGATCTATCCATCCAGGTACTCAGACAAAAACCTCAATAACAAATATCAAATTGGGTCACAGAGTTCATGGTATTTACACTGACATCTCCAAGACTTTCAACAGGATTAACTTTCGGCTTCTCAGGAAGCTGTGTGGTATAGATGACCTTCTTCTTTCTTGGCTCGATTCCTTTCTACATGGAAGACCTTACAAGATTCGTGTATAGTGGTTCCATCTGAAATTCTGTCTGGAGTACCTCAGCGCTCTCACCTCGGGCTGATACTTTTTTAAAATTCCGTGGCGGTCGTGAATAAGTAGGTAAGTCGAAATTTTCAATTTTTCAGTAGGACCGTTTTTATGTTTGGCGTTACATTACATACTTGAAGATACCTAAAAATGTACATCTCTATATCCAGGTTTCTATTGGGAATTGAAGTTACCGACTTATACATGACCTAAAGCTACAAGGGAACATTCTGATGCTACTGTTAACTCATTTTCGAGTTAAGTCGACTTACCTACTTATTCATAACCGCCACGGAATTATTTTTCAATGACGTTTCATCAATTTTTTGTTTTTTTCATACTTTTAACTGACGAACTTAAATTATTTTCCAACATTTCTTCCATTACGGATTGTGAATTACATCAATTAGATTAAATGGTTTTGTTACCAAGTGTTGGGATAATGATGTGTACATCAATCAATCAAAATGCAAAAGCAATTATATTCATTGTGTCTTCTAAGCCGAAGGATTGTGATTCTTGGTCGTATCACATTGCTGGTCTTCCCCAGGATGAAGTAGATTAAATAAATGACTTAGGTTTAATTTTAATGTAATTTTGTGATGTCATTTCCAAGATTAGACTTTAAAGAATTCTCCGTTTTGTCAAATATTTTACTTCAGACTTTGGTAACCTTTTTGGTATTAAATTCATTCTTATTTTCACACTGACCAAATCTTTTAATAAATACCCGAATTATAAAAAATAACAGTGTTAATATTATTGGAAAGGCAAGGACATAAAAAATACCAAAATTTCAATGCGCCACTTTTTTTATGTGGAGCAGTGTATATTTTGTTACTTTAATATTATTTATTTTAGCTTAGATCTTACCTGTAGAGCTTATCTTATAAATAAATAATTAAACGAAATTTTCTCACCATAACTGGTTCTAAAGGTTTGAAAAGCCTATCGAGCGGGTACCAATAAGCCCTCCTAAAGGGGTTATACAATTCTTTATACAACTCCGGTACAACTCTGGGCTCTGAAGGGTGCAACTTCTGGTCCTTGATCCACTGTTTTCTCCAGGCCCTTTCTTCAACTGTCATACCCTCGCCATGGAGCCTTTCTCTCTCCCTGTACAGCCTGCCTTGGATGGAAAAAGCTTTTACACCTCCCGTGTTCGAAGCCATCGTAAAGCTTTAAGATAAATTCGTTGTATTGAAAAATTTCTATGACAAACAGGTGAAAAAATCCAAAAGGTCAAAACTGTTAACCCGATGAAAGGTTAGAAATAGCCACAGCCTCGATCTAAAAATATTTCAATTATTTTAAAACAAACAAAAAATGGTTTCACAATGAACAATAAACTTTTTTTTTTAATTAATTATCGTAAAATAGCACTCAGAGGTGATACTTTACATTAAATTTAATTATTTTTCCGGTGACTTCAATGACATGAGGTTTCTTTTTTCATCTGGTTCACCCTAGTTATAACATCTGATCGGTCTGTTTTTGTATATTCTCAGCTCTGTGTTGTTTGGATTTATTTCACTAAAATGAGCGCATTCCGAGTGACTAAAACGGTGAGGGCAAATCCAATTCCTTCCTATTCATTTTCAAACAACTTAATTAATTGCTAAAGAGTTTCTTTGTTATTTATTTAAAATATAACTTTGAGGGTTCTTTTATCTTGTGTATTTCTATGTACGTTCAGACTGTAGGCGTGTTGACAGTACTGCTACCTGAAGAATAACAACTAGGATTCCACGTACAATTATTTAATCATACACAAAACACAGTGTCTGCTTTCTGATGTCTGTAGCATGACTGACTCTATAAGCTTTATGTATCTATAGGCATTATATCACTCGCAGAATTTTTTTCACAAGGTGTGAACTTGGTTCAATCAATTGATCATATCACGGATCCGTGTACCGCATACAGTATATTAGGTAGTTTTGGCACTTTTTATTTTTGATGGAGTTCCCCCTGAGTACTGCAGCTTTACAGTTTCTTGCACTCCAACCTGGTTCCATTTTGTTAGCATGTAACAATACTAAATTGAGCCCCTTGTGTGCCATTTTTCTTCCATCGAAGAAATTCATTCAGGGTCTCTGAGATCTGAACCCGCCAGACCTTCTGTTAATGAGTAGTTGTTTCAACTTTTATTATGCTCAGAAAAAATCCAGACAGTAGCAGTGGGAATCGAACCCACAATCGTAGGATCGATTCCCACCATCGCAGATAATGCAAGGGAAAAGAAGAGACAGTTGAACATGTCCCCTGTTGGACTTGACCTATGTGGGCATTTTTCACGGTCTAAGTTCCGAACTTTAGTTTTGGCACAAGTGTTGGTTTTGCACTAGTCAGACGCCCACATAAGTCTTTCAAGGTCATTACAATGTTAGCGCATTACCATGTGGCCTAGGAGGTGCCCGTTTTCAAAATTTGTCTTTTACATCTTCTTAGATTAGGATTTTGTGGGTAAAACAGACAAAAGAAAGTAAAACAATTTGACTACATTCCACGAGGATTCATGTAATGCTTTTTTTTTTATTTTACTCCCCCTGAGGGGGAATTAATTACTGATTTGACTATATTTGTTTTTGTTTGCGATTGATACATGATCACCTAATTTAGTGAAACCTGTCTTACATGGATAGAAAGGTCAATTGATGTGCCTAATAATGGACAACATATCTTGTTCCATGAGGCTTGCCACCCAAAATTACAATAGATAAAATTATTAGTTATTACCATAACTAATCCATTGTGCATTTCCACTGTTATATAGAGCTCCTAATTAAGCTTTTTGAAGGACTCCTGTAGCCTATATAAGCCTTTGCACCAACAGAGGACATGTTCCGCTGTCTCCTCTTCCTCTGCCACTCTGTCTATATTACTCTGGAGTCTACATTGACCAATGAGCAGACCTATTATTTTAGTCCTAACATGCAGTAGATTTTGTAGTTCTGCTGATAATTTCTGCTTCTGTTCTGAGCTGAATTCACATTGAATGGAGGACTTTGAGCGATGTGGTCCTCGATACCATACCCTGATAAGCCCTAACCATTCTTTTTAAAATTTATGATTAAAATACAATAGATTTTCTGCTAGTGCCCCACAATAGCTAAGAAAAGACAATGAGGAAAATGGAGAACATACTATGCAACTGCCTTACAACAGCTAGGAAAAAGCTGTGGTACATAGAAAAACCATTCTTGGGCAATGTAGAACTCAATACCATACCCCTGATAAACCCCAACCATATATGTAAGTTATAAATTTGAGCAGATGTAACTTATATGAATACATATGAGGAAATATATATGATGAATCAATATATGAAACATTATATGAGGAAAACTGACCACAACCTCTGCAATAGCTAGGAAAAGGCTGTGGTACCTAAGAAAACCATTTTTGAGCAATGTGGATCTCATACCCCTAACAAGCCCTAACCATCCCCCTTGCATAGGACTTATGATTCTTGAGAAAAGCAACAAGTTTTTCCTCCCCCCCTTTTTTTAATAAAAATAGATTGCCTCTTTTATCTTTATATATAATTGTGAACTCCCAAGACGCCGACTAAAATTATGGCCAAATTATGGCTTAAGCAAAAGCCCTGACCTCAATTTTATTTAAAAAATTTCAAAAGCATAAATTACTAATTGTGAGGGCAATAAATAAGTAATTAAAATATGAATTCAAACTACGTAAGTTATCTGTCAGTTGTTTTGTATGACTCTCACCTCGCAATTAGTCACAATAAGTTTTAGTACTAAAAACCAGTACTTTTCAGTACTAATATTGTTGTGCTATTGTGTATTAGATTTTTTAAATTATTATTACAATACTTGTTTTAATCGTGCACTGTATTTTTTATAATATTAATCAGTGTCCTGTGACTAACTATACAATTGCTCTATTTTATTATATTGTTGTATTTATTTATTTTATACTATGTATATTTTTTGTACTGTATTTGTTTGTACTAACCCCTAACCTTAAAAGTTAGAATGAATAATCAAGAAGTGGTGGCCGCCCACCCAAACAAAGGCAGGTTTTCCATTCTGAACAAAAAAAAAAGCAGTCTTTCTTGCTCTGTTATGATTTCCGACAAATTATGTTGAATAAAAACATCATGTGCACTGCAATTCTAAACACTTTGAGGACAGATTCACCAATTCGTATCGCATTTGTTGCCATGTGAGGGTGAAGGTTCGTCATACGGTCAATTATGTTTTGCAGACTCCTTGACAGATGTCAATGTGCATTAAGTTTGCACAAAAATTAAAAGATTAGACTGCCCAATTTTGACAGCTCTTGGTGGTATTTTGACTAAAAAACCTTATGAGCAAACAGGACTGCAGCTCAAACAATGCAACATGAAAGTTTTAACTTCAGTTGCATTTTGTTGATAGTTTACAGATAGATTTAATAAACCTACAGCAGAAGAAATTGCTGTAGTTTTCCATTCGTCAGAAGGAAAACCGCCAGGTAATTGAAACATTGTTGTGCACTATCGTCAAATTGGTCCAAAGTTAATTTGTTTTAAGCCCTCATTATGAACCCATGCGGTAACCACTGATCTATCCCTGTGGTGAGCCAGGATGGACCCCAAAATGGCCCATAATGGCATTTGACAACAAAACCATCATGAACAATTAACATAGTTACAGTTGCTATTTGCAATCCGTTTTCTCACATTCATAAATCATATTGTTCCATGATTTTGACTAAAGAATGTGGCTATTGCCCTGACAGGCAACTAGTTATTTATAATATCTTATTACCTGACTTAGTTTTGAATGTGTGAAAATTGTTATCACGGATAGTGTGAGTCTATGAGTCAAAAGTAATACTGGAGTGAAAGACAGTCACTTAAGAATGAATGATGAATGATAACATTCAGTTCTTTTATTTTTTCAGGCTACTGGCCTGACAGGCCTGCCAGTTTCAAAGACTCCTCAACATACGCTGAGTGTGCTGTATGGGAAGATTTTAAATGTGCTTGACAGTATGCCAAAGGATGCTGCTTATCGAAAATATACAGAGGAGATCGTCAAAAGTAGAGCTGCCATCGTTAGTCAGGTATTCCATTTTTGCAACATTAGTAATACTTGTTTTTAACAATAGCTTTTCCATATAGGCAAAAACAAGTGAGGAAATCGAACAAAAGATTGAATGTGGTCAAGTAGAAGAACTTATCATCCAAGCAGACAACGAACTAGCCTTAGCAAGACAGTTTGCTCGTTGCAAGCCTTGGGAACCCCTGATGACCAGTGCACCGAAGGACCAATGGGTTTGGCCTCATACAAAATAAAATTTCACTTCTTTTCTTCAAGAATAGGGCTATTAGAATAATTTGAGCTGTTGTAATTTAAATAAATTATTATTATTCAATAAACTTTTGTTTATTAAAACCTTTCTATTTTTAATCATATTTAATTTTAAATTGTTCAAAAAACAACATACTCTTTTCTTCATGAGGAAAAAGTTAATAAGAATGTCTATGTAATTAGCCCAAATTGAAAGTTTGACAAATTACAACAGCTATTATACATTAAATAGACAACTCCGATCTTACGATCATCAATCGTATCAGCCAGGCAGCTTTAAAGGCTCAACAAGCTTATGATATCAAATAAAAACTAGTCTAGAACTGCCTGAATACCCTAAAAAACAGATCTATTTACAAATAGTCTGGTTGCGTCCCAGGTCTAGAGGGAATTTCAGGCAACAAGGCAGCAGAATTTCTAGCCCTAGCTGAAAAGGGAGCATTGGAAGAACACATAGGCCCAAATTTATTTTGTGGCATAAACTATGGCCACATTAAAAAAGAATTGGAATATTGGGTAACTAAAGAACAGCAAATACTGGGAGTAGTGTAAAGCCAGGCATGTGGCAAGCAAAAAGATTATGAACTTGTGTGGTGATTACGCAGAAAACAAACACTGAGTGAGTAAAAAAACTTTGATTGAATATAAAAAATATATTTTTTTTGCATTTTATAAATTCACTTTTTTCATCATCCTACATGTATCTGTTAAATTTAAACCATGTTTATAAATCCCAGGCCCTTAAGATGATCTCAATAAAGATTGAAACGTTGGCACGATAAATAAAATGTTTTTCTGAAACCTACGTCACACCAGACCGCATCTCACGATTTCCGAATAATTATGAACTTGCAAAAACAACCCAATGGGAGAGAGAAGTTCTTAAAAGAAATTACAATAAACAATTACTTTATGTAAAAATAAAATTATATAAATGAAAAAAAATTACATTAAAGGCCTAATAAGCCTGTAATTATGGTAAAAAAGAAGCATGAAACAACAATTCAAGTGACATCTACAAAGAAAAGAAAACTATAAACAAGTTAGTAAAATAAAAATATACAAATAATATAATATATAAGAACAATATATGTGTAAGGAAAAATAACATTTGCGTATGAATAATAAGTGCAACGTGTAGAGGTTAGTGACCGTTAATCGATAGTTATTCAGATATCGTGAGATGCGGTCGGGTGTGATGTAGGTTTCAGAAAAACATTTTCTTTATCGTGCCAACATTTCGATCTTTTATTGAGATAGAAACGTTGGCACGATAAAGAAAATGTTTTTCTGATACATCACACCCGACCGCATCTCACAATATCTGAATAAATAAGTGCAACGTTGTTTAGTATCAAAGAGATTGATTTTGGTAAGTATATGAGATAATAAAAATCAGGTTTTATTAGACATTAACATTTTGACAAGTTTGTCAATGATGGCAAGAAATCATGGGATAAAAAGGATGTGCCTATTCGACAGAAAGGAGTTAAAAATTCCCCTTGTATATTTATGGGAAATACTCCAGTCAAATACCACTTTTAAAAAAAGGGACTATCAACAGATGACCACTGTCAATTATTTCTAGAAGAGATGAAAGAACACATCCTATGCAACTGCCCTGCAATAGCTATGAAAAGGCTGTAGTACCTAGAAAACCATTCTTGTATAATATAGACCTAGATATAATATATACCTCTGAGAAGCCCTAACATCCCATTTAAACTATATGAGGAAAGTAGACCACATCTTATGTAACTGCCCAGTAATTGTTAAGAAAAGATCACAGTACCTAGGAAAGCAAATGTAGACCTCTATACCATACCTCTGAGAGCTCCGATTTAAAATATGAGGAAAAAGGAAAAGAATCCTTGCAATAGCTAATAAAAGTCTATGGTACCTAGGAAAGCCATTCTTGAGTAATGTTCCTAGGTGTCATACCCCTGAGAAGCCCTAACGTTACTTTTTATATATGAAGAAAACAGATCACGATCTCTGCAAAAGTGGGAAAAAGGCTATAGTACCTAGGAAACTAAGCAATGCAAACCTCAATACCTCACCCCTGAGAAGTCCTAATCATCTCATTTAAAAAATACGAGGAAAACAGTACAGATTGTCTACAACAGCCCTGCAAATGCTGCAATAGCTTAGAAAAGGCTATGTTACCTAAGAATGCCATTCTTGGACAATATAGACCTAGATACCGAATACACGGAAAATATTCGGTAGTTCAATAAGGAAAGGAAAATATTCCACAAAATCTATTAGCAGATATCGGTCACAATAGACAAAAGTACCAAACAGTGAAATCCTTATGACTCTAAATGGGAAATGAAAAAAGAAAAATAGAATTTTATTTCATATAATTTTCTACATGTCTCAGTTTGTATGGGTAATAGGTCTTAGTTGCGCTCTTTTTCGTGTTTGTTTTATTTATTTATTGTTTTTGTATGTCCATATTTAAATTTTCTGTATAAAAAAACATTGATATAAATTATAATTCTGGAACGACCGAAGAGGGAGAATATAGTTCAATCAGTTAACGATTCGGTTCATTTTCCGATTCGTTCAGTGAAACCTCTCAGATTCGGAAACGACTCATCGCCTGGCATTTGGTAAGTCGCCGTTGAAATATCCAACGTCACCAGTTTTCACCGTTCCAATCCGGACAAATTTTCCAAAATGTTGAGCACGGTAGTCAAAAAATTTTACAATGAATATTCCACAAACACGTCCAAAAAGTTGAAAATCATAGACGCTTATTTATTATATGTCCTCTTGACCGGCATCGTCGAGTTTGTTTATTGTTGTCTTGTCGGAACGTTTCCTTTCAATTCATTTCTAAGTGGATTTATTTCATGCGTCAGCTCTTTCGTCTTGGCAGGTAATTAGAACATTAATTTCGTAAATTCATTTTATTTTTAATTTAATTTTTTTTTTAATCTGCCTTTTCAGTCTGCTTGCGTCTCCAGGCGAACCCACAGAATAAGCTGCAGTTCGCGAAAATAAGCCCCGAAAGAGGATTCGGAGACTTCATATTTGCTCATATAATTCTTCACCTTGTCGTCATCAATTTCATCGGCTGATTTTGATCTGGTAAGCCAAACTTTACATATGTGAAAATCCAATTTGCTAATTTAATGGCTTCAATGAGACACCCTAAGAAATTTGGTAATATTTTATATCTGAACAAACTTTTTATATTAGTCGAAGGTCAGTCTCGGGGCATGGCAGCGCAGGTACCTCAGGACTATAGGGATATTTAACTATCAAATGGTACAGTGGTTTGAGATGAGATACACGGTGTCCGACCCTACCTCTTTTTGATTTTGGTACACCTAAGTCCACAATAATCGTTTTTATTGTATAATAACATCTATAGATATAATATCTTACATGAATAAAACCTTTTTATTCTTTTTAGACATTTTGTTGTCTTAGGGATAGGGATAAAAGAGGCAGCCACAAGGACTTCTGCTCCTCGACCTGAGTTGATATCTCTCTCTCTCTCTCTCTCTCTCTCTCTCTCTCTCTCTCTCTTTTTTTTTTACCCAACTCATTAGCCATCTTCAGGTTGTTAATCAACCTCATAGCCTTGCCAGTGGCTCCTTAATGTAGGATCTTGCTTGTGGCTTTTCCTGTTCTTGTTGCAAGAATCTGCACCTGAATAGACCTTCACAAAAACATAAATTGTGTTTTGCAGTCTCCTCCTCTTCCTGGCACTATCTGCACAGGGTTTCTTGTGTCTACTCCTATCCGGTGCATGTGCCTTCTTAGGTGGAAGTGCTCTGTTAGGAGTCCAACCAGAATTCTGGTTCTGTTGCAGTTACCTTCCAATAATTTCTTTGTAAGTCTTGCAGATGGTACTTCTTTGAATCTCTTCGTCTCATACCTGGTGTATTGTTCTACCAGGTTTTGGACTCCTGGTTTTTAATGTGTATCCTCTTGTGTAGCAAGATGCTATGCCACAGAAGGTTTCAGAATCTAGAGAGTCCATGTTGGCCTTCTCTTTGGCCAACATGTCAACCTTTTCGTTGCCTCTATGTCATGATTGCCCGGGGACACGTGCCAGGTTCAGGACATTGGTGTCACTGACTTCTGCCAGGGCCTCCATGCATTATTTGGAGATCGTGAAATGCGGTCTGGTAAGTTTTAGAAAAACATTTTCTTTATCGTGCCAACGTTTCGGTCTTTATTGAGATCATTGTCAGGTCCTGAGATTTATAAACACTGTTTAAATTATACAAATATATGTAGGATGTGAAAAAAGTGCTAGAGATTTTAGACTCAATTTGTATTTGTACTCACTCAAAATATTTGTTTTCCCCCCCAGTTAAATTGGGTGTTGTGTTGAGATTGCCAGTGAAATATTGATATTTTATGTTTATATATGTTGCATTTTGGAGGGGTGGGGAAGCAAGTTAGGACAGAAAACATTTTTATATGAGGAGTTGGCTTCTTTGAGGTAAAAGGAGCTGACAGTGGGAAAGAATGGGTAATGGCTCGGCTCGGCCTGGAAGTCAGTGATTCCTGGGCAGTGTCCATGGGCATTCAGGACATAGAGACAATGAGCAAGTAGACATGGTGGCGCAAAAAGGAGCCAACATGAATTTTCTAGGCCCTGAACCCCATTGTGGCATAGCACTTGGCCACAGAAAAGGATACTTCCAAAAATAGATCCTTACTGAGTTCAAAACATGATGGAGCAATAACCCAGGCATGAGGTGAAGAAAGCCAAAGAAGAGCCATCCATAAGATTTACAAAGGAATTATTGGAAAGTAATCGCAACAGAACCAGGATTCTGGTTAGATTCCTGCCAGGGCACTGCTGCCTAAGAAGGTGTACGCACCGATTAGGAGTATAGACAGAAAACCACTGTGCAGGTACTGCCAGGAAGAAGTCTACTTCTTGATTATCCTCCCTGCCCATTTGGCTAGATGTAGACTTGCAATCCTCCTTTCAGCATGGTTTGGTTCTTAGTTCGGGTCCGTTGAGTGCAAATACAGCTCTTTCTTATGGTAGTTTGTCAGCTATTTTATTTACCTTAAACCTTCCCATACTTACATGCTAAAGCTCGAAGTGTTAAACAATAGCAGTTGAATTTTAGTCAACATATTTATATAAATATATTTTCTTTGTACATGCCTTATTCATGTGTAATTTGTTTTCAGGAGTTTCAGTTTGAAGAATATGGACTTTTTTAAGCATCATTTTTAGAAACATTATGTCAACATCTGCAATTATTATGTTCAATAGTTATATTTTTAAAGAAAATATTATAAAAGTTAAATTCATGTTTATAAGATGTAAAGTGTAATTTTTAAATACATTTTTTCTGTAATTATTATTACATTATTTACTAATATTATTGTTTATTTATAAATTGAATCCTTTCTTCGATGGTTTTGTAAATTGATTTGAATAAATATAATATATTTATTATACTAATATATCATGAATATACAATTTAGTAATTTTTCAAATATCCTCGTCTGTGGAGGTTGGGTCTAGATTCGAGAAAGGAAAAAATCATACCAGGTTGGACATAGGCCACACCAGGACCACACACAGGCTCCTTCTAGCAGGACTGAGTGAAATAAAGAACTTCATCATTCCGCATGATCTTATGGCACAGCAGCGGGGCAGGTATCGATCACTGATCCAATACTTCACAGCCAAAAATATTTTTAACTGTATATAAATATTTGTGTTTGTTATTTATTGAAATAAATTATTTATTAGTGAGAATAGAGGGGCCCCGAGGAATGAGATGTATGTAGTACAGGTGATACTATAGCACCAAAGTTTTCCAGTCAACTATCCACAATATTATTTAATTTTAAGAGCTCAGGTTAACATCAAAATCATAAAAAAAAAGTAAATAGGAATGGCGTTTATTTTGTTTGTTTATCTGTAAAATGTTTATAAACAAAAGAAAAATCTTTATGGCCTAGTTGTTGAGTGATGATATTTTCATAAATTTCCAGTGTCTTCTTTCCTACTTCTAACGTCAACCCAATTTCTTTTGCAGCATTTTCAGCTATTTTTAAGTCTTTAGCAAGCATTTCGGTTGTAAAGCCAGCCTAAAATTAAAACAAAAATAAAATAAAATAAAAATAGATTTGACTCTAAATGTAATTTTACTTTAGTTATTATATACCTTGTAATCCTTCGAACTGGGTACATTTTCCATGACCCCAGGAACTGGATTGTATGTGTCTGATGACCAACAGCGTCCGGAACTGCTGTTAATTACCGAGGCTAATAGTTTCGGATCAAGGCCTAATTTTACACCAAGATTCATGGCTTCCGAAACGGCTGCCATTGATATTCCAAGTATCAAATTGTTGCAAGTCTTCGCTACTTGTCCACTGCTTACGGCACCGCAGTAGATAACCCTGGATCCCATAGCCAATAACACTGGTTTAGCTGTTTCAACGACACTTGGATCACCTCCTACCATAAAAGTCAAAGTACCATCTTCTGCTGCTTTTATGCCTAAAAAATCCTTTAGGTAATGTTTGTTTTTTTTTCTTTTTTTTTCCCCCCCCCATACCTCCTGATACTGGGGCATCAATAAATTTGGCACCTACTGTTTCAAAATGCTTAGCCAGTTCTTTTGAAACTGATGGATCGATTGTACTCATGTCTATGATGAATTTATTTTTATCCAGAAATCTGAAATTAAATTGAAACATTCATATGTTAATTAATTTTTATATGGTTCATAAACTGATAAAAACATCTAGTCTATTGCTGTTATTTACACTTATACTGTAATAAAAAGTATAGTAATTATTATATTGGGTGGCTACATGCTTTCTATATGGAGCCAAGGCACCCTTCAATTAAGTAGGACAAATGGAATGACCTTTCTCAACATGCCAGACACCGAGTAAGATGTCCAAGGTCTATCCTTAAAAGGATGAGGATGACCCCTCTTCTATGAGTCAAATCTTACGGGCTTGTCTACTGATCCAGCCCACCAATGCTGTCACTTTCTTTAATCATCATTTTAGTGTCAGAGGGCCGGATCACGGTTAATCCTGAGGTCATAGCCTTAGCTGCCTCGTCCAGCTTCTTTCTTAAAAATTTTTGCATATTACATATATGATTTTTTTTTTTTTTTGTATTGTGTGCTTTAAATTTGCCATTTTTGAGAATATATGTGAAGAATATATATATTATATATATAAGAATATATAGTGAATATATATAATAGAATATATATAAGAATATATATTGAAGAATACATGTGAGATTGCACGATTCATTTTCACTTACTTCGATAATCCATCATCTTCTAAATAGAGAGATTTCAGATGAGGACTGGCAGGAAGCATAGTTAATATGAATTCGACATTTTGTGCCAGTTCTTGGGTAGATCCGGCTACTTTGGCACCAACTTTTGAAACTCTTTCACATGCCGCTTTGTTGATATCAAAAACCGTCACATCAAACCCCTAGAATAAACAAATTTTTTTGAATATAAGTTTATATAGAAGGAATAAAATAAAGACAAGGTATTTTATTGACTTAGAGATAATAATTTTGATTATATGTATATTATTATCTTAAGTCTTAATGCTTGATCTCGGAATATTTTTTTAGGGTGTTATCCTGGTAAACTTATTAAGTTAAAATTATTTACAATGATACTTAGGTAAAGTATACCTTTTTCACTAAATTCATGCTCATTGATGCTCCCATGTTTCCCAATCCTATGAAACCGAGTTTCTTTAATGGAGTTCCATCTAAAAATAAATAAATAATCATTATAATACATATTATATATTTCAAAAATATTAAATTAATCCATATTTGCTCAATGGTCATAAGTGACCATATTAATTATGTTTTTAATTAAATTTTGTAGTTTTGTGTTTTAAATTTTAATTATTTGAAAACTACTGTTTGCTGGCAAAATATGAGTAATGAGTCAAGGACATAACTTAGGAGATAATTTAAAAATGTGGGTTCACTCTTGCTTTCTGCTCTTCTCTTGCTTAAAAGATATCAACTTGTGTTTGTTGATAATGACCGTTTAATACAGTTATATAAAAATAATTATTACAAAGAAAGAAAACAAATAAATCAAGTTTGTAAATTTTGACCAAAAGAAAAACTACTAACTTTTTTATTTTAACCAATACCTTGCATAAAGATTAATTAATTGAAACATTAAGTTATTTGGTCAATCGGACCACGAAATCCAATGGATTCAAACGAAAAACGTTGAAATTTATACTATTATAAAAAATACCCCTGGCTGCAGATTTAAAAAAAAAAAGCTCAAAGAGCTGGCGATGACCTTAGGTGTTTGACGGCCCATAAATTTTACACATTATATAAAATCACATCATCAATGGTGGTTTATGTAACACGGGTGACAGATTGACAAACGAGCATGATTGGTAACCCAAAAGTACAACCCCTCAGAGCTCAATAAATCATCTCACAAAAATCCATCCGCTCTCATATTTTCATTGTAAATCCTGAATTCAAAATCATGATCGATTATTAATGTTTTTGACCTTAAATAACAAAAAAAATCTGACAGATTGAAACGGTGAGGAAGGCCTTAAAGAAGTAAAATAATTGAAAGATTAGACAGCGATACATCAATCACAGTTTTGAATGGTAAATAAATTAAACAATTTAATAAATTAATAGTTATTAATTGCTCTAAAAATCATGATTTTATGCCATACCAGACTTGGTAGGGAAGTTTCTAAAAACAGTGTGGGACCTACAAAATTGATATTACTGTAGCCTGCATAAATTATTACCCCTCCTGTCAGAAGACAGTTGGTCTACCTATAAAAGTTTAAAAAGCATTCCCAATTAGAAACTCAAATAAATTCAGGATTCATAACAACGATCCTAAAAGAAAGTTAGGAAAAAGGAAGAAAATAAGAATAACTATAATGAAAGAGATATGACTCTTCAGTACCATTTTGGTCTTAATTAAATATAAAAACGTGGGGCTGAATAAAGGCTTTTTTTCAACTGCTAAACTTAATAACATTATTTTCCATATTTTACAATATTAGCATGCGTTGTCAATGGGACGAGCATTACCTAAGCTGGTGCTTTGAAGCCTAATTTGTTGACAAGATGTTTTCAAGCCGACGAAAACGGCACGTACAGAGTGAAGCATGGACATTGTACTCTTCCTATGTTGTATGCTAAACTGATGAAAAGTGATAGGGCATGGGCGAGTTTCTCATTAGATAATTCAACCCCATTTATAATAGTTTAGGAATCAAGGTCGGCCCGTTATCTAAACGCCTTGGCCATGTTGGCTAAGTAAAGGATTAGAGAATAGAGATGGGCAAAAGAATCGACCATCCAATCGATTCCTTTAAGTGAGTTGCGGTTCAGTTCAGGAAACGGATTACGTCACACGATTCCCGACGATTATTTTTTCTGTAACAATTCCTTTTGATTCTTCTAAGAAACTCTTCGATTCTTTTTCCTGTAACAACTCCTTTTGATTCTTCTAAGAAAATCTTCAACTCCCGGAGTCGGATTTCGACTCTTCAATTCTTTTGGCGACTCATCAACTCTGCGATTCCTTTGATTCTTTCGATTCCTCAACTCCCGGACTCACAGTTTGATTCTTTCCAAGATCCAAAAGCTTCTGCTATTGTGGAAGTTGATAAATATATAGCAGAACCTCTTGTGAACTATCGCACTGACCCTATGGTTTGGTGGAACGATAGAAAAAGTCTATTTCCTAATTTGTATAATCTAGCCTTGAAAATATTGTGCATTCCTGCAACCTCTGTTCCCTGTGAGAGAAGTTTATCTAAAGGGGGTCAGAAATGTACCCAAAAAAGGTCCCGTCTGACTTCATCAAAAATTGCACAAATGCACTTAATCAAAATAAAGATATGCTTTAGAGTAAATAATAGTTAAAACTCTGAAGGTACAAAGTTGGTTTACTAATTTGATTGGAACATGTAGATTTCATAAACATACTGAACAACCAAATTATGTTGAACTTTCTTGGTGTTTTTTTATTAAGTTAAAGTTGTGAAATAAATTTTGCCAAAGATAAAAATGTGAATTACTAGATTAACTCCACTTTCCTTTTTTTTTCACTTTTCTTATTGGCTTCACTTTTTTCCCATTTAACATAGAATTTTTGTATTTTGTTTCGATACAATAAAATGAAAGTGTACACTGCTAGAAAGCTTTCTAAACGAAGAAGTTATTATGAAATTTTCCAAACTCTACCATGAATTTCCAATTAAGTTGCAAAGTTTAGTAATTAGTTTTTTAATAAATTTTAAATTTAGTAGTTTTGAAAGATTTAGTGTTTTTTAATCAAAAGTTAAATTTAAAGTTCTAGAAGGCAGTCTTATTAAAGTAAATTTGACACTATTTTCAATGTTTTTGTTGGATTTACCCAAAAATGAATAGGCTAAGAGCAATACAAGTAGATTTATGTCGACAACCATAGGTCGTTAAAAAAGTTGAATATCTGCCAAGCATTGAACCAAGTTTTTGTTGCATTTGAGCTGTAGAAGCACCTGACCAAATTTGTTATACGAATAACGAATCACCTTGTATAATTTAGAGTTTGTTTTATTATCTTGCAACCAGAAAAATCAATATTTGATTCAGTTCTAATTAGATAGAACAGCTAATGCCGGCAGGCGAAGCAAAAAAAATTAGAAGAGTGAATTTTTATTTAAGGAAAATAGTTTTTTTTGTAGAAGCTAAGATAAGCTTTTTGAATGATTTTATAAAACCTGTAACTGCATAAATAAATTGAAATTCACCAATTTAAATTTCCATTCTGGTGACGTTTCAACGTCCTTGATGTCATAAATTTTGTTGTAATGTTTGAACTTGTTTACCGTTGTAGGAAGCGTTTAGAAGGTTGCAAACAGGTTGGGGAATGTACATTTTTTGAGTCGAATTCCCTTTTTGTATATTTTATTAATATTAATTATGACCCGTTTCAAGATGTAAACGTCGGGAAAATTATTTTAAAATAACCATTTTATGAATTGATTCCACTGCAGTTTTATATGCCACTTGTTAAAAATTGAGCGTCCAACAAATAAAGGTGAGCGTGAATGTACACCTCTAGCATTTGTTTTAAGTTCGGCCCGTACACAATTATTCGGAAATATGTTAATTCCTGCCTTAAAATACAAAAGTTAGTTACTGTTATTTTGATCCTTTGTTTAATTTATCTCATCTAAACGCTAAAAAAAATTTCTACTTAATTTACATCCTTATAATTTTTTTCCCCACCCCAGGACAGCAGTACTTAACGGAGTAACTACCATTGTTTAACCATATTTTGTCTAAACTTTTAGATTTTAGGTTTCTTTAAAGCAGCGTTTATAACTTTTATGTCTCTGCATGTTTATCAAGTCTAAACATACCGAATCATTCGCTATTAAAAAGAGCCATTGTTTGACCCTGATATTTGTTTGGATTTCGATTTTGGATGTATATAAGCTCAATTGTGCACATGTACAGAGTTGAACCTATCACTTCGGCAGTTCCAAATTTTGTAATTAATTACATAATTAATTAAACAGTAAATTACCGGCAGGCCTCATGGATCACCCACCTTGGGTGTTGGCAGTCTGTAGTCAGACCTTGGCCTTATCCATCCAGTAACGAGGTTCTCCAGGTGCTATAAACAGATAGGTCATTTCAGCCCCCAACGTAATACGTCTGTAGAGCCAAACCCATTCATTCAGGGTGGTGGAGTACTCCATATTCTTTTATCATCCTTTATACCTATAATATAATTAACCTAATTGAGGGTCGATGGGTACTCAATATTCCGCCTTTGGCCCTCACTATACATTCATGCTAATAAATACATTCAATCTCAATACATGCTAGGGACTCAAAACTATCAGTACTATATACAGTAAAATGACCCTGTTTTCTCGAAGAATCGGAACAGGGGATCCAAATATTCGCTACTGTACTCATGTATAATTCTCATTTGGGTGGATTTCTATGCGCTCTCTACACGGAGCCAAAGATTTGGACACCTCAAGTAGGTGGACACATTGAACGACCTTTTCCTACATGCTGGGCATATATGGGCTTTGGCCCAAAATAATTATCTGTGTGTTAACCTCGCATGGCCTGTCGTTAATCAAATAAGTACGACTTCTATTACGTGTCAGATACCGTGAGGACCACCTATCGACAGTACTTTTGATATGCGAGAGCTTGGTGGATTGGAAGCGAAAATAACTAGATAAATTTATTATTTGCCAATCGCCTACTAAAAAATTTATTCATGTTACACTAATACAAAATAGTTAATTCCTAAATTACACTGGGAATTTTTCTTTTTTAAATAATTAAATAAAAATCAAGTTTATAATGTACACATTTATAGAATAGAGAATAGCTTTGATTTTTTTTTTTTTACTTTTTAGAAATAGTTATGTAATAGCATTTTTTAGACTGATAACGTTTGCATAGAAAATGAGCAATTTGATTTTTTAACTTAAGAAAGCTTTTTTTTATTTATTTTTTCTTACTACGTGCTATCAATTGCACTATCTTAATTAGTTCTAAAGATAAGATTGAACACTTTTTATTCCTGATAAAGGTTGAATATAATTTATATAGTACATGTAAGAAAAGATATTGCACAGTGAGATAAAAAATTTATTTTATAATAGATTCTGTTAGTAAAATGTGCATCGCATGACTGTTTATAGTGTTTTGCATTTCATGATATTTGTTCAAATCAGGTTTTGAATAGAAAAAGTACGTTTGCCAGGTTTAATAAATTTTTGATATCTCATTTAAAATTAAAAAATATGCTTAATCAAATCTGACATAATTTCTTAAATAACTTTTTAATTAATTATATTTTTAATCTAAAGTCTTGGTTGAGATGATAAAGCAAGTGTCATGAGTGGGATTCGAACCCACGACCTACGGCTCAATACACCGCTGCTCTAACCAAGTCATGTAGCTCAAGTTGTTAGAGCAGCAGCATATTGAGCCAAAGGTGACACTTTTTCATCTCAACCAAGAGTGTAGATAAAGTATAAGTAATTAAAATAATTAATATGGTGAATTATGCCTGATAAATATATTTATATTTATATATGGATTAATTCTTAAATAACCTTCACTCGAAGAAATTATATTCAAAGATTCTTTGGTGATTAAAATTAGCAAATTTTGTGGTTGAAAAGTTTGCCATCAGGTTAAATTTTATCATTACATTGTTTCAAATTACCTTACAAATTTCTTGTTACGTTTTTCCAGAGGCACAAGCCATGCCTGCAGTGGTGGCCTGCCGCCCTCAGAGCAGTGAGCAGATGTTCCAGGCCTTAAAGCAATATATACTGAAAGAACGACAAAAAAAGAAACAGGGTAAGATATTATAATAAGTTTTTACTCAATGAATATTGATGTTACCACGTCCAAATGAGAAATCTAGGCACACTCCACATCATTTTTTCCTATTTACATGCTGTTAACTCAAGTGGGATGCTGGTGTACTCAATATTCTTTCATCACCCTTTGCACATACTATATAACTAAATGAAGGTCGATATTGTAGATGTAGATGTCGGTGTGTACATTATATAGTGCCATTTAGAAACTATTGTATCCCCTGTTTCTTGTTACGTTTTTCCAGAGGCACAAGCCATGCCTGCAGTGGTGGCCTGCCACATCATTTTTTCCTATTTACATGCTGTTAACTCAAGTGGGATGCTGGTGTACTCAATATTCTTTCTTATTGCTTATTTCTTCGTGCTTATTGCACACCAGTGAGTCCTAAGAACGACTTACTTTCATTAAGAAGTTCTTATAATATCCCCCATATGAAAGTATTAAAATATCCAAGAATATACTGTTAAATTTGAACAATCTTTCTTTAGTCATGCCTGACACATAGTTATGCATAGGAATTGCAGCTTTGGAATAATTTTATTTTATTTCTTATATCTTACAAAAAAATATCGATTAAAAGCCAATACCTTACATAAAAATTAATTAATTGAAAAAAGTTAATTGGTCAATCGGACCACGAACTCTAATGGATTTAATAATTAAAATGAAGTATATCTTCACTAAAGCTCTGCGTGGCCAATTCATTTGTCGCTGAGAGTCAAATAGATTACATGACATTTGAAAAATGGCAAAAAGGAGGGAAAATTCGAAAGGTAGGTTGAGATGGGAAGTTAGTGTCCGAGTGGATGGAAGTCACGATAGCTCAAGTGGAAGAGCAACAGCGTATTTAGCCGAAGGTCGTGGGTTCGAATCCTGCTCGTGACACTGATTTTTTTTTTTATCTCAACCAATACCTTACATAAAAATTGATTAATTGAAAAAAGTTAATAGGTCAATCGGACCATGAATTCTAATGGAATTGACTAAAAAAATTAATTAATTGAACTTTGAAATGGCTCTAAAATTGACTTTGTTTGAGGCACTCTTTGTCTTGTAATTACTCCCACAATTAAAGAACTATCTTAATTTTCTAATTTTTGCTTTTTGTAATTCAAAGATTCAAATGAAAAACATGGTTTGTGATTAAAATTCACACAAGAATACTGTTTATCAATCTTAGGTTACTGTATTTTTAAAAGGAATTACAAACTTATTGTCGTTTTATTCTGTTAATAGAACAGGAGGCAGATGCAGAAGTAGAAAGGCAACGGAAAGAACGGGAACTGCAACAGAAACAGGATGTTATGACTTTAGAGGAAAACAGAGAACAGATTGCACAGCTAGAGCAAACACTAAATCAACTTAAGGATGAGAAACATCAGCTCTTTTTACAACTTAAAAAGGTATTAAACGAAGATGAACGGAGACGACAGCAGGAAACTAGGTGAGATTTCAAAAATACAAACTTTTATCTATAGTATATTGAAAATTGATTTAATTTTAGCAATGAGGTCGTGGACATGTATGGCGGCTTGTATACAGGCGTTTCTCCCATGCCTGGACAGCTTTCGCAGCTTGTTATTCAACAGCCTAATTATGTTCCTATGCCTGATCGTCCAATGTACAAGGTGCCACCAACGCATTCATTTCTTTCACCAGTAAGTTTTAAACATCTCTAAGGGTAAAAGTTGAAATTGTGTTTAAATTTTTTTTCTTTGTAATTTTAGCCATCTTTGAAGCGCCCGAGAAGTCCTTCTCCCCCGCCGCACAAACCCCATTATAGCCAACATTATCCACAGAAACCGGCTCCACCTCCACCACAACGTGTTGTTACATATCAAAGTGAGTATTGTAAAACTGTTTGTTTATTATTATTATTATTTTTTGTTTAAAGCTGGAAAAATAAAATAAAGACATTATTAACTTATTTCCTATTCAATTTCATTAATTAATGATTCAAAATCTTTGTTACAAATATAATAATTCAGATTTGTCTAAAATCAAATATCAATCATATTGCCATTGTAAAAGTTTTATTTATCATGCATTCACATTCTCACTTTAATGCTGGAAAAGCCATTTTTCTTCACAACTGTTTGAAAGAAAAAAATTCAAAAACTAATAGCTTTTCTTTATTTGTTTAATTGGCTACCAGCGGAAGCTTTTTTTTTTTTTTTTTTCCAATGTATCGTAACAGTTGTCAATTTAATATTAATTTGATTTAATAATTATTTAGCAACCATGATTGAAAGTCAAACTATTGGTAAGTAGTAATATTTAAGACTGATATGAGAGTAGTAGTCAATTAAAATAATATTTAGTTATAATAAATTGTAATTAATTAAATTTGGTTAATGCTTAATTCGTGCAAAGATGTGAAGTTTTGGAAATGCTCACTGAGTTATGTGAAGACGAATAACAATGAAAAAAATGACAAAAAATTAATGTTTTTAGGTCTAACATTTTTGCATATTAGTTTATACATCCATTAAAAAATGAAATGTTAGACTTGTTTAGTAATTGTGTGTTTTTTTGTTATATTATATCCTAACAGTTAGATTTATTGGTACATAAAGATATGGATACCTAAAATAAGGGAGGGATTTTTATTTTAAAAGAAATTTGTCTTAAAAAATAATTTAACGATATGTTATTACACTATTTTTTAGAAGGAAGCTACAGTTATTATCACCATGGACCAGGTCCACCTCCTGCTCAACCTGCTTTTGGCTATCCCGGTCAACAGTTTGGGCCTTCTTCAAGTCGAACTGAAGTTTCTCATCCTGACTCTCAAAGCTCTAAACATCACATATATATGACTCAACCAATGCCCCATCCAGTAACATGTAATTATTTTATTATATATTTTATTTAACAAAAAAATAATTTGTTAGGCATGGAGATATCTGAAAGGCTGGAGAACATGGTTTAGTTTTTGCTGGTCATCCCTAATGGTCGCTGAGATGCGTTTCAGAACCTCCCCAGATTCACTGGTTGGTTTGCGGAATTGGCAAATCTAGCAGACTAAAGTAGTCGTAAATAATCAATCACTACAGTATTTCACAACCAGGGACAGTTTATACTGAAGAAAGTATAAAGCTGGTTGGGGCGTTGCTATCCACAATGGTTTAGGTGTCAACATGGCCTCATCACTATAAGTTAAAGGTTCCTGTGACCCTGCATTCAAACCCGATATATGTACAATTTTTTCCCCCAAAAATGCATATTTACAAATGGGCTTTTTTTTTTTTTTTTTCAAAAACACCGACACCCTGAGGGTTCATTAATCTCGTAGTTAAAATACCGTTGTTTAAAAAAGAAGAAGAAAACAAAAAGTATAAAGCCAAAATGCGCCTGACAAACCATGGTGATTGGAGAATCACAAAACTACAAAAATTGATTTGTTAATTTCAAATTATCTACTATTTATTTATTTCATTTGCTGCTTTTCTTCATTTTTGTTGTCCTTTTTTCTTTTTATAGTTGGTTTTTATTTATTTATTTATTTTTTTGTAGCCCTTATTATGTAAAGGTGCTTTAAATTATAGTTTATTTCCAGGAAAAGTTCTAATTATAGTTTTATTTTGTTATTATTTTTTTTTATAGGTAAAAAATTTCTTTTTAACAGGCCTATTTGTTGAATGTGTTTTTAAATAACATTACACTTTCCAGACCTTTTGGCATCCATAAATAAAATACACCTAGCTCTTGAAAATGGCACAGGATGCCGAAATGTCAGAAAACTAATTTTATTTAAAAACACCTTACCTATTTCCTTAAATTTTGATTCAATTTGATTGACTACTTCTTTCAGGTAAACTAGGAATATCCTTTTCTATAACCACTATCCTGTTAAAACTGGAGTCCCACAGGGCAGTATCCTTGGGCCTATTTTATATTCAACATATACGGCCGACTAACCTACCCATCCCGAAACATTGATTTACACTTTTTTACACAGATGATACTGTCATGTTCCTCAATAAAGATCTTGTCCTTTCACATCGCTCTCTACAGGCTCACCTTGGATGAAAAAGCGGCGGATAAAAATAAATGTTAACCAATGCATAATCTTTACCCTCCGACATGGAATATATATAACTATGTATATATATAATATCCCTTCCTATAGTTAACCATGTCAAAGAAAGACTAACATAGAATCCACATACAAGACTAAAAAACGAGGAACTGTCTAGCCCTTATAAAAAAATTTAATGACTCTTAGATAAATGATCAGAACTGATACTTCAAAGCAAACAACTGATATCCAAAACTATAATGGACATATGGCATCAGACTGTGGGGGTTCAACCAAACATTCGAACTATAATCGCATAATTAATAATAAATTTCCACAAAATTCTCTGAAAAAACAGTAAATGCTCCCTTATCCGTATCCAATCACATGATGGACAATTAAAATTCCTTTAGTAGAAGATATCATAAAATCCTGATACATAAAAGCGGCAGTGGCCTTACAACTTGTAGGGAAGCGAGACGTGTGAAATGTCACCACTGGGTGATTCTTCACCCCCTATTGAGAGATTTTGCTTTATTTTACACTGCTAGCTTTTGTTTTACTTTGTTTAAATTTGTACGTATTAACAATTTTACAGTATATAAAAATAAACTGTTGTAAAAAAATAATTAAATAAATAAAAATCTAGTTAATAATCTTTCAGCGTGGCATACTCCATTGGATAAATTCAGTTTGAATGAGGACAAGTACTATCCTGTGGCTGTGGCTTCTATTCGACCAGCAACTCATGTACCAGTGCATGGTGGTGCGATTCCAATTCAGCAACCTGCCCAGGTAATTCAAATCAGTTTGTAATTATCAGGTTATGGTAAATTAAAAGAATATTAATGATGATTTTTTTTTCTAACTCTAGGGAACAAAGACTGGTGGAATAACATCAGGATATCCTATTAGACCTCCGTCTTCAGCGCCTCCTCAACCACATTTGGTAGTACCGTCTTCTAACACCACGCATGTAAGTGTAAATTCAAATATCAAAGTGTAATTATATGGATTCTTGGCAATATATTAACCACGAAATTGGATATTAGCAAAGAAAGAGAGAATTATAAAAAATTGTAGGTTATGATGATGAGTTGGTGAGTCGAAGTCATGATAGCTGGTAAAGCACCAGGACCCTTTTGTTTGTTCGACTCCTGCTCGTGATGCTAGTTTTTATCTAATAATTTGAAAATAAAAATACTTTGGTTAAGAAGACCAAGAAAAACGTATATAATTATCTTGTGTATAATAATTTTCCTAGTCAAAATTTCTATATGTTTCGTGTTGTTATTGTTGCAGGGCGTGTATCCAAGTCAACCGTCAAGCAGTAGACTTGTATACAGTCAGGCACCGCACTACCTGCCAAGGGACTTGTAATCTTTTCCTGTTACAAAAGCAAACAACAAACTACAAAAGTGTAGTTATTTGTAAACACTGTATAAATTTTCATTTTTATGAATTGATGGTATTTTTTCTCGCAGTAGGGTTTGACATTGAAACACTTAAATACTATGAAATGTAATACTATTTTCCAAATTTATAATAACCACAGTACATTATTAATTATAAACAAACAAGGATTTAATTGTAATAAAGACAAGATGAATTATGTTTTCTTTATTCACTTCTTCCTTCTTTTATGGTTTTATTTTCTTTCAGATGCCCTTTCAATATAACACACAAATTTCTTATTCTTTCTGACTAATCTTTATTCTGAACTCTTGAACATTTTTAAATGTAAATAAATTGCGGGGGAAAACCTTTTTAAGTGTAATAAAAGAACTATGTGTCCTTATATTTTATTTTTAGTTAACTTTAATGCAAATGCTCATTTAGCTGATAATTTTCTAGATAATTTCTCAATTGATTTTAATTTTATATGATTCTGAAATTGGTAAATGGGTAATAATTGTTATTGATTAAATGCTAATTACCAAATATTCTGTTCTGATTTCAATAGTTACATATATACATAATGTATTTTTATTATTTATTATTTATTTTATATTACAATACAATGTAAATTTTAAATTTCAGCTATATTATCTCACACGATTGACAATACATTGATCAGAGGAGGTGGTTCCCACATAAGCATAATTAAATGGTGTTTAATTCTTCTTAGTCTTCAATCCATATTTATTTATTTCACAATGTCTTTTTATATGCATAATGATTTTTTTTTACTTGTTTGTTTGACAGCTATCAGAAAAACAAATTTATTATTACTATAAAATATTTGGTAATTAATTTAATAGATTTCACTAAACTGCATCGTAAGTTTATTGAATTAAGACAAAATGGGATTGGAAAAGTTGTAATGATCGTTATACATATAATAAATGCTAAATATTTTGTTACAATATATTTTTCATTAGTACCTGTGTGATTAGGAATGAAAATAATACTATAAAAAAAAGTTTCTCTGGTGAATATGATTTTTCAATGTAAGTTGTCAATAATTGTGTTTTTATTGTCTTTAAGTTTTTTTATGTTACAAGGAGCTTCCAGAATCACAATCTTCTCTTCTGAAAATGACTAGGGAAGGATTAAGGTAACATATGCAGTGCAACAGTTTCTTCTATCTTTGCAAGGGCATAAGCATATGCATTTACATTATTCCTGTATGTCCTGAAACACTGAGGAATGTGGGTGTTTTTATATTTCAAGTTTATGTCGGTAATTGTGTTACTGAGCTGTTATATTCATTGGACTTTTTTCATTTCGAAATGTGAATCTCAAACGATTTATGTCCCATCTGCCAGCAATTCCAGACATATGAGTAAGAACGGACACAAAAATCTAGTAGGTATCAAAATATTGCCAGGATCAGCAGGGTGACCCTACAGACCCCGAAAACCTATGGCTTAATGACTTCATAATTTGTACCAAATTCACATATCTGATTGCACCCTAATCCAATATCTTGTTCATAATGTTGATAATACGATCATCGACTCTGAGTTGTGCATCTTGCCTTCTATCCTATCTATTTTTATTAAATCCATTATTTATTATGGTGGTGGATTGACCAAATTACTTCTTTCAATTAATTAATCTTTTTATGTAAGGTTTTTGGTTGAAATGAGCTGTTTTTATTATTATTATCTTTTATTTGGTAGTATATCAGTCAATACTTTCTACAAACGAACAAGCTTCCTGATAAATAAGTGCTTGATGGCCCAACCATCTCTGATACATTGAGAGAATGTTAGGGCCTAATGTACTGAAAATGTAAAAAGCTTAACTATCTCCTACATGATTTAGAGTTTGTAACAGGTCAGATTATGTCAGAAATATTTAGAGAATGTAACAGGCCTGATCATCCCTTAAATATTGAGAGAATGTAAAAGACCTCACCATATCTGATACAATAAGAGAAAGTAACAGACCAAACCACCTCTGATGTATTCAGAGAATGTAAAAGACCTAACGATATCTGGTGTATGTAGAGATTGTAACAGTCCTGATCGTCCCTGCAAAATTTAGAGATTGTAACAAACCCAACCACCTCTGATGTATAATACAATAATAATAATTGCTTTATTAAAACTTTTTGTTATATTAAAGAACGATGCATTATGGACATGGATCGTCTGATCCGTCTGCCAGAGGTCATTGGTTTACAAATATATATGCAGTTTAGAGAAGAGAGAGAGAGAGAGAGAGAGAGAGAGAGAGAGAGAANTATACAAAAAATAAAATACAAAGTATACCTAAAAAATAGAAAAAAAAAAAATAAATAAACAAGTGAACTAGTATTAACAATGAAGTCTATACCCAAAATTTTGATGGATTAATAATAATGAAAGAATAAAACTTAAAAATTAAATTCTTGAATCAATTCGTATCTGTAGCTCCAAGCATGTTTAGCATACTGAATCAAGCACCGAGAATTTGAGCCACTCAAGAACCGCAATAGCTCAGTTCTTGGGAGAGTAAAATAACCAAGGTGTAAGAACCGAATCTCACCCAAAATCGAGCACTCTGCCAAAAAGTAAAACACAGTCTCGACAGAATGAGAATTGCATAGAGAGAATATACCCAACCACATCTGATATATTGAGAAATTGTAAAAGGCCTATTTCTCATTTAATTTAGAGTATGTAACACGTCTGACATCTCTGCATTATTTAGGGATGGAAAATTTTTTAGTTAGGGAATGTAACAGACCCAACCATCTCTGATATATTAAGAGAATATAAAAGACCTCACCATATCTGGTAGATTTAGAGAATGTCCACCCATCTCTGAAATAGTTACAGAATGTAACAGACTACTTCTGATGTGTTCAGAGAATATAACAGACCGAACCACGTCTGTTATATTGAGAAAATGTAAAAGGCTATTTCTCATATAATTCAGAGTATGAACAGATCCGATCATCTCTGTAATAGTTAGAGAATGTAACAGACCCAAACATCCTTCATATATTTAGAGGAAGTAACAGACCTAACCATCTCTCCTACAGTTAGAGTTTGTAACAGGTCCGATCATCTCTGAAATAGTTAGAGTATATAAAGTCCCAATTATCTCTGATAAATTGAGAGGATGTAAAAGACCTAACCATATCTTTAGTGCTGATGATGGGCCATTGAGCCCGAACGCAAATATAATTCAAAAAATTGAAATAAATTTTCAACCACGGAAAACTTGGAGCTTCTTTTTATACCCATCCAGATAGAAGACAGATAGATGAGACGGACCGTGGATTCAATATAAATAAAGTAAGATAACCATACCTAGTACATTTAGCGAATGTAACAGACCCATCCACCTCTGATATTCGATCATCTATGAAATATTAACATTTCTGATATATTTAGAAAATGAGAATTCGTTGTCTTTATTAGATGATTCTTTTAGAACTTGTTGAATTTAATTCTTTCTGTTAATGTCATAAAACACGAGTAGGTTTTGGAAAAAATTTTCTCTGCTGTCTGTTGTAGTTATTTTTCTCTTTCTGATCACCCTTTTGCGTCATGACGTGAGTTGAGTCGCTTTCACTTTTGCCGTCTTTTTCCGCCGAAGCGCTTTGACGCACCAACTTCGGTGAATAATTGTGACGACATCCGATTGTGGAAATAAATTGAGCCTGGACGAAACTTGAAACGTGAAATCTTCACTTTGTCGCATTTCTGTCGAGGCTGCTATGGATGGAAACACAATCGGCCACCGGCCACAGCAGCAACCATTCAAAAGGCAAAGCAGATCCAGTTGTCATTGAGGGTTCGGAATGACAGGAAGGGTAGAAGGGGGTTTCGGTCTGGGACAAGGCTACAACTGACGTTAGGCCGTTTTGTTATGTTGTCCATTCGTTCTGAAATGTCTCACGTCCACCAGGATTTATCCTCACAGTGATATTGGCAGAATGAAATTTTACTTTTTCGAGTCGTGCAACGTTCAAAATTACCTTGCTCGGGCCAGATAACAGACGTTAATTCTTTTACTTTTCCCCCTCGGCGATTATTTTTTTACTTGCGCTAGCGATGGATTCTTCAGTCACGATTCTCGAGTTGAAGCAGGAAGTGGAAAGACTCACGAGGGAGTTGGACCAGGCGAGCAGCGAGAAAATCCAGTCTGCCCAGTATGGCCTGGGACTCTTGGAAGAGAAGGAAAACCTTCTTCAACGATGCGAAGAACTAGAAAGCCTATACGAAAATACAAAAAATGAACTGGACATTACTCAGGAGGTAATGTATTGAATAGAATCTTTATTCCAAATATTTACAACAGTTTACACATATTTACACAGGAGAGCCGAGAGTTTACACACAGGAGAGTTTACACGATAACCTCCTAATTAAGATTTAATTTTTAAAAAGTGTTTATCAACACAACAAAGCAAAAGTTAATTTAAGGGTAAAATACGTATGAAAAAGAAATAGGCGAGATTTAAACTAAAAAGTTCTTCACTCTCCTATGCCTGATCACAACGTTTAAAGAAATTCTTTATAAGGCGTTTTATGTGGTGTAAATACCACTAAAGGCAAACTCCTATTGGTATACTGATGGCTCCAAAACAGACGAGGGCACGGGAGCTGGAGTCTTCGGGATGAACCCAAAGACTGAACTGATGGTAAAATTAGGTAAATATGTGACAGTTTTCCAGTCTGAAATCATAGCGATTGAACAATGCACCAGGAAAATAAAAAGGCTAGGAATATATTCCCAAAGATAGCCATTTTCTCTACAGCCAGGCAACACTTAGGGCCCTAGCCTGATGCGAGGCGAAGGCAAGGAGTGTTTGGAACTGCATGGAGGTCCTGATGGAAGTCAGTGAATCTAAGGACTTGTTCCTGGCATGCCTGGACATTCGGGGCATAGAGGCAACGAAAAGGTTGACATGTTGGCCAAAAATGGGGCCAACATGGATTCTTTGGGCCCTGAACCCTACTGTGGCTTAGCAGCCTGCCACAAAAGAGGATACATTTTAAAATGGATCCTTAATGAGTCCAAAACCTGGTGGAACAATACCACAGGTATGAGGCAAGTGAAGAAATTCATATAAGGACCATCTGCAAAACTTACAAAAGAATTCCTGGAAGGCAACTGCAACCGGACCAGGATTATAGTTGGACTCCTGACAGGGTCTGCCACCTAACAAGGCACGAGTACTGGATAGGATACCGACAGAAGAAACACTATGCAGATACTGTCAGGAAAAGGAGACCGCAGAACACATTCTATGTTACTGTAAAGGTCTAAAGGTTTGTGCAGGTTCTTGCAACTAGCACAAGAAAAACCACAAGCAAGATCCAACACTAAGGAGCCGCTGGCAAAGCTGTGGAGGCTGGTTAATAACCTGAAGCTGGCCAGTTAGTTATAAATAACAAAGGAGCACAATAGATCTGTTTAGGTTGAGGTGCAGTAGGCCTTGTGGCCGCCTCTTTTATCCCTATTCTGTGGTGTAAAACCATCCATGTCTTGTGTTATTGTGGATGTCAAGAATGCAAGTGTAGTGGGGTGATGAGGCCACAAGCTGATGTGTGTTTTTTCTATCTGGATTAAAAAAATGTAGTGAGGCAATGTGATATGATATGGGTGGCAGGCCTACATGAGCATTGATCTTACTACTATTCATAGAGGACAAGTTTGTTTACTGGGGACTGTTTAGTGTATCTGCACAGTAAGGTAAAAAAAGCCCTAAATTGCAGCTTTGCCTTTATTCACTCTATCCCTTACATGTGTAGAAAAAGATAGCTTACTGTCAATTACTACCCCAAGGTACTTATGAAAAAATATTATTCAGGGTGTGCGACCAAGACCCGAGGGGATAAATGCCTGGGTAGACTCGTACCCCATCCCTAAAAGGTCCGGGACTTGGTCGGCTCACGTGTCCTGCATAAATCTCTTGGACTCGTTCACAAACCCCAAGATTTTGGACCATTTTATCTCGAGGAGTGATTTGGTGATGTCCGCTCCTTCAAAGATTTCAAATCTAGTCCTAGCGTACCTATCATACTCTGCAAGGTAGTGCCTTGCCGTTTCTTCTTTTATTTCACAAAAACGGCAAAAAGGATCTGGTAGAATACCCATTATGGAGAGGTGTCGTCTCATTGGGCTGTGACCCGTCAGGATACCTATCAGCCTCCTAATTCCCTTCCTTGAGATAGAGAATAGCCATTTTGATTCTGCTGGTTTGATCACCTTAACAAACTGTTTCAATTGCCTGTGTCCAGGGGATAGATTCCACTCCTTAAGGAATTGTTTCATGCCCCAGTTTTTAGTACTCTCTTTCACTGTGCTCATAAAGTGAGGTAATACCAGTTGTGGCCCGACAAACGCAGTATTAGAGCCTTCTTTGGCCAGGCTATCCGCCTCTTCATTGCCATGGTGTTCTTTATGTGCTGGTATCCAAATAATGGTTACCTTGTACCCCCAAGGTACTTAACAGTAGCAGACCAAGGTAGTACAACACAGGCCTGCACTTTGTAAAGAGGGTAGCCTCTGTTTTTGTGGGATTTATTTTAATCCTCCACTTGTTACAGAACCTGCCAATACTACATGGTCTTTGTATCCACTCTCCAGGAGACAATGGCATCAGCGTAAAAGGCCAGGCTGCAATTGTTAGGTTTTGGCATTTTATTGAAAAATGTAAGATAAAAAATAGGTCCTATTATATAGATCTCTGTGGGACACCAGACTTGAGACAACATAGAGTTGAAAGAGATTCGATTACATAAATATGGGTGAATTATTTTAGTGAGGTATGGAGAAAAGTTGTAGTCTTATCAGCCTGTTTATCACTCCAGCATACCAAACTGTGTCAAACATCTTCTGGATGTCCATCAAAACCAAGCCAATGTGCTTTCGGTGGTTAAACACCCCAGTTACATCATCAACAACTCTAGCTAATTGGATGGTAGTGGAGAGCCCTGACAGGAACCCAAACTGCTCATACAGGATAATGTGGTGAACATCCAAATGACCACCCTAGCTAACAGTAGTCTTTCGAACTTAAGTTACTTTTACTTAGCGGGCGAAGCAGACCAATCGGCCCGTAGTCGTTTGGATCATTGAGTAATTTGGCAGGCCTCAGAATCAGAAACACTTTAGAAGTTTTCTAGAGAATGGGGAAGTAACCTAGTGTGTGAGATTTGAAGTAATGTAATAATTCAACTTGTTTCACGCACATTAATTAATAGAAATTCACTAATTAACACTGGTTAAAAAACCGAAAAAACAACATTTTCATTCACTGAACATTCATGTAGAAGCACTACGATCACTGGAAATCCTAGTTGCTTTTGAAGGTCTTTCATGATAAACTGGGTTGCTTATCAACAAAGATAGGACTGCCTGTGATAGTGGTAATCTATCTGATGCATGTGGTTCTATTTGTTTTTCTTTTCAAAGGATCTCTTATCCTTTACCCCTACTTTGCTCAGAAAGAGTTTGAGTAATTTTTTTAAAATATAAAAAATATAATATTTATTTGTATTCTGTACATGATACAGATTACAAATTGTTCTTAATGGTATAAAATTTGGGGTAAACACCCTACTGGGTAGTAGAATATATGTCAGGGATGATGATCGACTGGCTGTGTAATATGTATGTTTTGTTATCAGGGATGTGGTTCGCAAAAAGTATGCTCTCAACGAACACCAAAAACAAAAAATGAATACCCATAACGCTGTGCCCCCAAAAATTCACGAAGCAGGAATTCTTCTAGGCCTATTGTGGCAAGTGTCAATAGCCCAGGCTTCGTCTCGTCCAAAGTTATTGGCAACATTTTACGGAAACTTTAAGAGGATAGAGAATATGTTGGAAATTCTTATGCATTTAAAGAAATTGTAAATAATATCACAATAGAAGCTGATGAAGCACTCATCTCCTTTTTTTCTTTCTTTATTTTATGGCCTTATCAATTGATATCCAGCCAACGTAAGTGTAAGTGATGCTTAATGAGGCACCATGATTGCCCAGGACCCATTTTGAGACATGTCTAAGACTGCACCTGAGCAGTATTAAAGTATTAAGTATTAAATGTTTAGATTATTTGGAGATCGTGAGATGCAGTCTGGTGTAATGTAGGTTTTAGAAAAACATTTTCTTTATCGTGCAAACGTTTCGATCTTTAGGGCTGAAATCATCTTCAGGGCTCAAAGTGTTTGTTTTCTGTGTACATGTGTTATTCTTGTGTCGCGTTGAGAGTGCCTTGGCAAAAAAAAAAAAAAAAAATTTGCATTCCTTGGAAAAGTTTTATGATAAGATCCTGAGGAATTCTTTCCCATTCGATTTAATTACTATTGAATTAAAATTTCATCTTATGATTTAACATTAATTTTGCTTAATACATAATTTCTTTTTTTTCTTTCTCTCTCCAGGCATTGGCTAAATTCCAGACAACCCACAAGGTTACTAAAGAATCTGGTATTGAACAGGAACAATCACTGTTAACTGAATCTGCAGCTATGGAAACATCGTTAAACTCTACTATTTTAGACTTAGAAAACGACTTGAGACAGGTAAAAATTTTTATTTATTTAAATAATATTTTCATTGTATTGATTTTTAAAACTATTTTACTAAAACTAGATAAGACAAGAATTGGACCGAGCCGTTGAAGAAAGAGACAGGGTTATACAGGAGTACAATGATTTGAATAAAGTGAAACAAGAAGCTGAAAAAGAGCGGAAACAACTAAGATCAGAGTTAAGAGAACTAAAGCTTAGAGAAACACGCCTTTTAACTGATAACTCAGAGCTCGAGGAAGAAAATATAAGCTTACAAAAGCAAGTGTCAGGATTAAAGTCCTCTCAGGTAATTAATGTATATATGTTATCGGTTTCCTGTTTACTACGGTTTCACCAAAAAGTTTTGTAAAAAAAATGTTTTATGATACAGGTTGAGTTTGAAGGTGCAAAACATGAAATAAACAGGCTCCACGAAGAGCTTGAAGTTTATCAACAGCAAGTAGACGAACTAACCAAATTAAAAAAGATCGCTGAAAAACAAATGGAGGAAGCTTTGGAATCTTTGCAGGTAAATGGTGAAATTTTATGTACCAATAATTTCAATACTAATTTTAATGATTTTTTATTAAATAGGCCGAGAGAGAAGCCAAGTATGCTATGAAAAAAGAATTAGATCAACGTTTAAATAGTGAATCGATGTATAATCTGAGTAACCTAGCCTTCAGTATAAGGAGTAAGTAAATATTTTCTTTGGAAAATATATATATATATTTTTTTTAAACAAGGGTTTGTAACAGCAGAGGTCATATCAATCACCTAGGGGTGTCGGTGTTTTGGAAAAAAAGGCCAGTTGTAAGTGTCGGGTTCAAATACAGTGTCACTGGATTTGAACCTGGGACTTTACCATACAGCGATGAGCACCATGTCAACAACTTAACTGTTGTAGCCACTGTCGCCTCTCGGAAAGCAATTAGTAAAATATTTTAGTAGTGAATGATGCATACATTTTTTTGTAATACAGTGCACCTTCCCTATAATGGACATCGGTGAATGAAATATTATCTGTTTTTGGGATAAGAGTGCAAAAAAATATGTTTATTATTACAAGATTCAGAATGGGGATGAAAACATATTGACATCTTTGAAACACCGAGGATTTTTATCCTTTCCTAAGTCCAAACTCTTTTCAAAAAATTTTTTTAAATGTTTTCTTCTAAGGGCTTTTCTCAGATAAGTGGACCAGACAGTAGCATGTTACAAGCCCAATAGGGAAAATGCAAATGCATTCTGTAGCCAAGCCAGTCTTTTAAGAAAAATTCTGCGGTATTTCCGTGTTTGTCAAATTTATCTAAAAGTTTCTTTTTTTCTTTAGAATTTTACCTGCCTGGGCCTTTTCAATGGAAAACTTTGCCTCAAAATCTCACACACTTAGTTTTTACTTTTACTCACTTTAGTAAGGTATATTAATTTTTTTCTTTAAGTGCCAAACACATATATTATATTAGAAATATTGACCACTTTTTCACTCACGAACACTCTGGATCAAGGCATGGTCTTGAAGAAGAAAGCAAATTCAGTTGTTATTGCCAAGCTTTTGACTTCATCATCAGGGCAAAACAATCTTGAATATGTCTACAGATACATATTTAAGTTTTTTACAGGCAATCTCAAATTTCCTTGAAGACCGATTCAATCCTAACATTGCCAAGAAATTCAGTTGTTTACTACCAAGCTTTTAACTTATTTTAAGATGTGGCAATGTTGGGACTGAGTCGGCCTTCAAGGAAATTTAAGATTACATGTAAAAACTAAATATGTCAACCTGTAGACATTGTTTTGTTCGACCCTAAAAAGAGGTCGAAACTTGGCAGTAACAACTGAATTTGCTTTCTTCTTCAATACCACACCTTGATCCACAATATTTGATATTATCGCATTGAAATTCAGAGTCAAATTAAAGAAGTACATAAAGATGTTTGCAAACTGTGTTGGATTCCACGATAACAGATCCAAGATAATTATGGATGCCTGAAGCTTGGGGGAAAAGTTTGTCCTGGTTTTGATAAAACAAACAAAAAATAAATAATTCGGGCACCACACTATTTTGCTGGGAATAATGAACCTTTGAAAATATACTTTGTGCTTTAAAAAAAACAGAAAAAAAAAAACGGAGTCCTTTGGTGTCTTCCTCTTTTCGTTTCTAAGGAGCGTGCTCCCTCAAAGTCCCGTACAACAAGAAAAAACTGCCAAACTTCAGGAAACCAACTTGTTTTTCTGCTTGTACCCAGCGTCCGTCCCCTGTGTCCTGCTGTGACTGTAGCCTGCCAGTCCCTCTCTTCTCAATTGCCCCAGTGTGGCCTGAGATAATAACCTCACTGTCCTTTCTTTTGCTTTTTTTACCCCTTCCACCATCATCGTCCAGCTTTCTGGTGGTCTCCGTTTTGAGCAGACCCTCCTTTATCTCTGTTGCGAAATTTTTTTTCTTTCTTTCATTTTCTTGTTACAAATGGCAAATCTTGTAATTAGAGACAAAGGATTACACTAGATAGTGGATGAAACATATAGAGAACGAGATGTTCCTTAGAAAACGTTAATTTTCGGGAGGCTGCTGTCCTTTAAAAACTGTCCATGTCTGTTATTGGGAGTTATGCTTTATAGAAGATTTTAATATGAAGATACTGGGGAATGAGAATTTGTCCGTTCAAGGGTGGTGTCTGCTTTTTAGAGGTATCCATTAAGGGAAGTTTCACTGTAACTCTGTTTATTTATATTTATTATTTATGACATTGAGCCATTTTGTGTTAGCCGTTTATGCTTTGGCCTAAAATTTTTGCATGGAACATTCTAGGTATGGGAGAAGAGGGTGCTCTTGGCAGTGATGATGATGATCTTCCTGTGCTTAAGAGATTCGAAGCAGACCTTAACAACACCGAATTAGCTTCTCCAGAAGCTAAACACGTCGATTTATTCAGTGAAATCCATTTGAATGAATTAAAGAAACTTGAAAAGCAACTTGAACAGGTAATTCATCATAAAAAACAAAATTGACACATGCGAAGAAAATTAAATGAGAAATTTCTTAGGTCGAAGGTGAAAAAGTTGCATTAGTTCAGACTTTGAGAGAATCTCAAACGAGCGCAGAGAGATACCAGTCAGATTTGCAAAGTCTTAGAGGACGGATAATCAAATTGGCTTGTAATATTGATACTTTACATAATTTGGCTCATCCTCAAAAGGTGGTTACTAGTGAAGCCTTGTTTGAATTTACAATCTAACTGAATTTTACGTTTCAGGATACAAGCACCTTTAATAATTCTCAAAATTGGTTTAAATTGGCCCAAGCTGAAATTGACATATGTAAACAAGAAATAGACTTAATAGATAAGAATCTTAATGTGTCGGATATTACTGCCACATTGCGACAAGAGCTTACATCATACAAAAATAAGGTAATAAACTAGAATTTATTTTGTTTCCAACTTAAAATTTAAAGAGGAAACATTTGATAAAACAATATTCTACATATAGAAAAACAGATTGCAGTTTGTCAAGTGTGACTAATATTTTTTGTCTCTACTCCTGTTTGATGATTTCCTCAGTTAACTTATTTAATTGAGGTAGTTTATTAGTCCCCAAGTTGTATATCTTTTTTAATTTAGTCTTAAATGTAAATTTTAAATGGAGCAATTAATTAATTATACATTTTATGTTTCAGCTTATTTTAACCGACCAGAAACTCATGGAGTCCCAAGCTGAGATTAACCACTTAACAAATATTACATCGGATGCAAATACTTGCTTGGAACAAGCTCATAATGATCTTACGAATATATCTGATGAGCTGGCACAGATGTACCATCATGTTTGTACCGTTAATGGAGAAACTCCAAACCGTGTGTTGTTAGATCATGAAAAACATTTGAATACAGGTATTTAGAAAGTGTTTATTAAAATTGCTGGGTATTCAGAATATATTATAATTTAAGGAGGAGAAAATAAACTGACTGAACAGAAGGAAGAGACAGCTGAAGATACATTACCAGATGCCGCTGCACTGTCACGAAAGGTTGAAACTATCTTGGACCAAATCAAACATCTTAAAACAGCCGTTCATCGCACCATCGGAAGAGCCAAAGCAGGCGGACAAAATTGCTCAGACAGTATGTTTCATTTTATTATTACATCAATGATGATATTTTAAATGGTATTTTTCAGTTTCCTTCAGCAGCCTCGGTCCGGACGAAGTCAGTGAACTTCAGGAGCAAGTTATAAAATTGAAATCACTCCTGAGCACCAAGCGAGAACAGATCGCAACACTTAGAACAGTGTTGAAATCGAATAAAAATACAGCTGAGTTCGCTCTATGCAATTTGAAATCAAAGTACGACAATGAGAAAGCAGTTGTATCAGAAACAATGATGAAACTCAGAAATGAATTACATATGCTAAAAGAAGAAGCTGCCACATTTTCAAGTAAGTGACAAAACTCAAAAAAAAAAAAAAAAAATGGGTGAGGTGAGAATAGAGAGCCCTGACAATTTACAAATATTTTTTTACAGGTTTACGAGCTATGTTTGCTGCCCGATGTGAAGAATACGTCACTCAGGTTGATGAACTTCAACGCCAATTGACTGCTGCAGAAGAGGAAAAGAAAACGTTGAACCAATTGCTTAGATTGGCCGTTCAGCAAAAATTAGTCTTGACCCAGAAATTAGAAGATTTGGAGGTGGACCGTGAAATCAGGAATGCAAGAAGACCCATTTCAAACAGTACTAATCGTGGAAATTTAAAACCGCGATTTTCTCAGTCATCAAGAGCTAGGGACTACTTCTAGTTTTTATGTAATGTTTATAAGGCAGTTAAGTATTTTTCGATACTTTTTATACTGAATAGTAATATTAGACTCAGATAAGTTAACACCAGTCAGCTATCATGAGCTGTGACTATTTCCAATTTTTAAACATAAAAATGATTAACTTTTATTTATAGACTGTTTTACTAATAAAGACAAAATGGGGTATCTCAATTTCCCTGTACTTTTCTACTGGTTATAGAATTGTATTTGTTTTTATTAATATACTTTCATAAGACTAATTAATTTATTCATGACTTCCAAATAAAAGTCAATTTTTTCTTATTGCCAGTAAACCAGTGGATTATAACTTGAAGTCACACATTTGTATATATTCTTGTATATAGAATTCATTAGAAATGACACACTGAGCTCGTGTGTATAGAAGAATATGAAGTTTTATCAATTTGTAAAATAATTTATGAATAATAGTTTGTTTGAATATGTTTGAAAATTCTTATTCCATTTTAATACAACCGTTAGTTCACTCGTATTTAGAGTGTAAGATACTTTGCTATAAAAATTTCCCAATTACGCTTATTTATCAGTGGAATCACTAAATTTTGAACATGAGTGTTGTGATAGAAAAGTCGATGTCTCTGGGATCGAAGCCACAGTTGCCCAGTAGGCTAGTGTAGGGTACTGTTCCGAAGACCATGGATTCAAAACCCACATTTTTATCTCAAATCTCATGTCAAAAATTAGTAAATGCAGTTTTCTGTCATTTTTCTCCCTGGTACTTGCAGCAACGAACATCAATAAAAAAAATTCTATATACGTTGTATTTCGTGTTATGTAATTAATCTAGGTTGGAAATTACACAAATTAAATTCTGTCCGGACTTCTCGCATGTGACATGCACTACAGCAACTGTGGTGCAATTAATTATTTATTCCATCAAAACAACTGTTAACTGTAATTAGAAGTTCAACATTATTTTTCTTAATCTGTAGAATTTATTATCCCTTTCAGGATGGTAAGTGTGATAGTGCTCTTGCTTCCCCGAGTGAGGTACGGAGAGCCAGTCATCACGCTCTTGCTTCCTCCAGTGAGGTACCTAAGTACTTAGAGACTTACCTAAATTCTTTAGAACCTGCCTCAGTACCTGCATAGAGATAAGGATGAGCACATATCATCTCTCAGTATCTCACTTGGGGGATGCAGTGTGCTCTGACCATCCTGAAAGGGTTATGTAATAAAAAACCTAACTATCTTTACCTCTATGGTAGTGATAAAATGTTAAAGAAAATAATAAAACCTAAAAATTAGCTTAACTAAAGATGACCATAATGTCCAATCTTCAAAAGCTTAACATTTTAATTTCTAATGGAAAAAGAATTTTTGAACAGTCATTATTGAAAATGTTTTATAAGCTCAATTTTTTTATTGGTGTAGATAAAACAAAAACATCAAAAATTATAGGAATTAAATTTTTAAAATCTAGTATCAATTTTATGTTTGTGTAATATAATTAACTATACGATTAATTTCATAGTACTTAAATTGTTCTAACCATCAATCAGTGTGACTGTAGTTGCAAAATTTTTTTTTCTTTTTTCTTATAAAAATAAATTATATTATTTTTAAAGAAAGTTTTAACAACTCAAGAAAATCCATGTAATGGATTCTTTCATCGGCTTGTTGAATAACGCAGCTACTGCTAGCTCCATATTTAAACTCAAGCCAATTTGACTCTTGTAATTTTAGATTATATTTAAACAGATGTTTGAATTAGAAAAAAGGAGAATACTGTTTTCTTTTTTAAAAATTTATTTACAAATGTTTTCTTTTATATAGCTTGACATGTAGGTACAAGACTTTTCTTTTTAAAATAATTTGCACACTAATTTCTTTCTATTTTTCAAACTTGAAATTAAGTTTAACTACAAAAGTGTTAAATATTGGTATAGATCTAGAAATGTAATGGATGTTTTTTCATCATAGTCCATGCTTGCTAAAATTTGTTCGTTAACGTTAAATCACTTGTAATGTCGATAATTTTTGAAAAAAAATTATATAGGTTTTGTTAGTCTTGGAAATATTCATTCAAGTACAAGAAAGAATCTATCAGCAAATAACGTATTTTATTAATGGAAAATATTTTGACATGGAAATATTTCTAGGTGTTAGTTATGTTGCAAAAACAAAAACAAAACTAACATAGCATCGGTGCGATTTCGTTTTTAATTTTAACAGTATTACTTTGATATATAAATGGAAGACTGTATCGGTGTATCAAACTGTACTGACAGCTAGTTGAAATATTTATAATTATGGGCTAATGTTTCTATTTATTTTTATTAATATTTTCATTTCTGGGCTCTGGTGTTAATGGAATTTTAAAATTGGCTTAATTTATTTATTTTATTTTTTAAATGCCTTCCAATTTCAGTAAACAAGAAATCATAATTTAGAATAATTTATTTAAGTTTTACGTACTTTGTTTCTAACTCTCCAAAAGCTCTCAAAGTTAACAGTCATGTCCAATGAAAGGAGAAAGTATCAAAAATTGAAAAAAAAAAAAAAATCAATTTGATACTTGTGACATAATAAATATTGGATTATTCATTAGATTTACAATTTATATATTGGTGGGTTTAATCATATGTAAATGTATGTTGAATGTTAATCATAAATGAAATGCCTATTTTATTTAATGCCGAGGCATTTATTTTTACACTTTTGTTTGTTTTTCTGGGTGCTCTATTTGTTACTTAAGAGCAATTTTTTAATCCTACTAAAAACTGTAATATTACACCATGGTGGATTGAAGTTAGAATTATTTATTAAAAATGTTATTGGTGATATAATTTAAATCAACTGGTAATTTAATTTGATTATAATTTGTCGTTTTATTTCCTACATAAACTAACATGTTGGTTGTAGTCAAATTAATTGTTTTTAAGGACTTAATCACTGTTGCATTGTAATATAAGATTTTGAGATAGTTAAAATGGGTAGGCTTTTTAATGTACACCTTTAAGAAAAAGTGCAATAAACATGCATCAGCATGCTTTAAAGAAAAAATGTTACTTATCCTAATTTATAAAAATATTCCTTGTTATTTTATTTATGTTGTCTCATTCTTGTAGAGTTCACTATGTCTGTATATTATGTTTTGTTTTGTACATTTTAGACAAATTATTTATTAAAAAATGTTTTAATATTTTTCACTTAAATTTAAAAAAATCGTTTATTACTATTTCAACAATAGTCAATTGATGTTATATGAGTTTTAAACAATTTTTACTTCTCAGTTCATGTTTGTTTGATGTAAAACATTATAATTGATTTTATGATGCAAAATAGCATTGAACGGACTTCGATCAAGCTGCTCTCGTCCGTCCCAAATTCTTCTAAAATGCCGTCCCTAAATTACACAACTTGCCCAACAATATTTGTTATAAAATAACATCTTTTCTCTATGATAAAATTTAGCCCAAGTTGAATGTTAAAAAATGTCTGCAACTTTTCACAAGGAGAAAAAAAAGTGCTTATATATAGGGCCAGTTATTTTTTATCTTGGCTTTTGTTAATTGTTTTTAACTTCAATGTTTAACCGTTATTTTATGTTGATTGGTACAAAGTTGTTCATGTACTACGGAAAATACAGTATAATACAAAAAACAACATGTGTATTTTTTAACCTGAAAGTTGTCTCTCCGAAGAGAGTGCTCCCATTTGTAAACGGTGTGGAAACTATACACATGTAACATGCCTTAGAAAGAGATGCTCCAAAAAAATAGAATAAATTAAAAATGATAATAAATTAGTAGTAATATAATATTGATTAATTAAATAGTAAATAAATAAAAAGGTGTAAAAAAATAAAATTAGAGCAAATGTAATTAAATTTAAGTAACTAATAGGGAATTTAATCAAAAATTAAAACACAACCTGGATGGAGCATGATGGGACAGAAATAAATACCCAAGAAGAAAGGCTGTTATTTCAAAAGGTATTTTACATTTTACATTTATGGTTGGTTATTAGTTTTAAAAAAAATATTTTCTTGTTAATTATATTTTTATTTTTATATGAGTGAAATTTATTTTATGTTCCAATAATTGCATTGTAAAGTAAAAACATTGAAATAAAAAAAAAAATTATATAAATTAAATTATTATTAATTCAGATATCGTGAGATGCGGTCGGGTGTGATGTAGGTTTCAGAAAAACATTTTCTTTATCGTGCCAACGTTTCGATCTTTTATTGAGATCATCTTCAGGGCTTAATGGAATTAACGGTCACTAATCTCTACACATTAAATTATTATTTTGATGTCTTTTCCATAAAAAATTAAATTAAATAAATAATTAAAAATACTATTAATTCTTATTTCTATCATATATTATTATTTAGAGGCATTGATTATAACATTTATACCAATTAATATTTTCATTTAAAAAAATACTAATGAGTAAGTATAAAATTGTTCCTTTAATACCTCTGGGGCAAGTAATATTTTACTTGTAGAGCCACAGCACGAATTGGAACACTTAATTTGGTGAAACACATGTCGCTAAGCGAGGTGAGGTCATGTAGCATATGCACTTGTTTATTTTTTGTGTCGAAGGAAAAAAATTAAAAATTACAAAAACGAGAGATTAGAAGATTCATAAACATTGCAAGACTTCTGCAAGTCTCTCTCTCTCTCTCTCTCATTTTCTTTTTCTCCCTCTTTCACTGTCATGTGTGAAAGAGAAAAAGTGTGTGTGTGAGATTTTGATTTGATTTGTTAAACAATTTGATTTACAAATCTCGTAGATGTGGCCAATTTGACCTTTCTTACATTCAACGAGAAATGAACAATTTTTACAATTTGAACTTACATAAATGCACTTCTAGGGGATCTTATGTATATAATAATAAAAAATTTAAGCTAAATGTGAAGAGAGAGAGAGAGAGAGAGAGAGAGAGAGAGAGAGAGAGAGAGAGAAAGAGAGAGAGAGTGAGTGACTGAGAGAGAGACTAAGTTTTGTCTGATGTCACCAGATTTCTATGCTTATTCCTTCAAAAACATCTCATGAAATATATAAAATTCTAATAACAAGAATAACAATGAAAAATAGAAAAAAATTTGAAAATCCCTCAGTTCTGCCTTTTTGATATCTGCAGATTTCTGTGCTTATTCCTTCAGACTGGAGGCTTTCGTATGACCTAGATTTCAAGCAATGCACGTGGTTTATCTTTGGACTTTTTGTCCGCACCTTTATCTATTTTAATTTTTTCCTTTTATTACTTTTCTTTAATATGAACATAAATTAAAGTTAATTATTGTCAGATAAATTAATGTATTCTTTATCAAATAGTACAAAGTTCGAACTTTATAAATTCTTTCACCAGGGGAATTGAAAATTAAAAATGGTGTATATTGTATAAATGACATTTAATTTTACGCTTCCGTTGTAATATACCTGGTGAGATAGGTGTGTCCTATTAGTTCTGGATTCTTGGAGAATAAAATGAGGCGAACCGGTCCGTTGGTCTAGGGGTATGATTCTCGCTTAGGGTGCGAGAGGTCCCGGGTTCAAATCCCGGACGGACCCGTTAATTTTTTTCTCAACGGTACAATTTAAACAATAATTTCTCATTTTTCTTTTCTTTTTCATTTGTTATATTTTCTATTTTACACCACGCTTTTATTGTTAAATTGTAGGATACAAAAAAAAAAAATCTCAAAAGTTTGAAATTATACTTTATTCGCAGATAATCGTACATCTTGTTTGAAAGATTGAATTTCTTGGACGAGCTGTTCTATGATCTTGTGGTTGTTTCCTCCTTCTGTCCATCTTTTGGTCTCCGATCCTGAAATTTTATGGATAGCCACTGGCAAAACGGCTAATGGATTGACAAATAATTAACAATGGCTATGTACAATGATAGGATAAAAAAAGTGATAAAGCTCACCGTTTTCGTTTGCCCGTGGATCGCTGGCCTGCTGTAACAAAAGCCATATTAAATTTTCATTTTTTCCACGTTATGGATGGACATGAAACATGAAAATTTTGTTCATTTTTCAGCGAATAAATTTATTATTGATTTATATTTTAGTTACGTGTCTTATCTTCAACTGTCAGATGATGGACAATGCCATTCTAGAAATATTGGAGAAATATTGGCATACTAGTACTGACGATATAAGTACAAAATGAAATTTTTAGCAGAGATTATAAAATATTCGTTGAATTAAACCATTTTTAATTTGAAATTAACTCTTTTTCGCACCAAATTATCCCTTTTTAACTTGCATTAACCCCTTTTAATTTCAAAACGTTTTATAAAGCATTAAAAAACTTTGGAGATGACATGAAATATCAGCACGGCCAACTTCTCTATGGGAACTTGAAAATTGATTAAAATTAAAATTAAAGATTATGCAAAATTAATATAAGAATAAAAACCTTAATTGAAAAATAATAATTGGTCAAGCGGACCACGAAAACTAGTGAATTTTATAAGAATAAAGTAGACTTCTTTTAATTTGAGGTTTTTTAAATATAAAATAATTGGGATGTTGAAAACTGTGTGAACATTAATTACAATATTTTTCAATTAATTAATCTTTAAGTAAGGTATTGGTTGAGATAAAAAAGTCAGTGTCACGAGCGGGATTCGAACCGTCGGCTAAATACGCCGCTGCTCTAATCATTCTAATAAATAATAAATCTAACCCAATCGAATTAATTACAATTTAAATTACAAACATTTTAATATAAAATATAAAAACAAAGGATTCTACTTTTAATTTGAAAAATGTGAGAAATTGCGGTTTTTAAAAGCTCAATTATTTTATCTTTAAAAAATTCAAATTAAAAGAAAAATTATTTGTTTTTCTACTTTATTTTATATAATTTTTAATTTTAACATGGTCTTCTAAGAGACAAATTATTTTATATTTAATATTTTTATACTCTATATGCTTACATTTCATATTTCCTAGGTTTTCTTGGCTTAAAAAATGGATTAAATTGTAGTTAAAAACGATTAATATTATGTTTAAAATGGCCAATTTGATAATAAAATAAAGTGTCATTAGAAATTAAAAAAAGCTTAATTTGATGCAAAAAAGTTCATTTGAAATTAAAAAGGGTTATTTGGTGCAACAAAGTGCTAATCTGATATTAAAAAGCGTTAATTTGGTGCGGAAAAGTTTAATCCGAAATTAAAAAGGGTTAATTTGATGAAAAATGGTTAATTTAATGCGGAATAGGGTTCATATGAAATTGAAAAGCGTTAATTTGATGCGGAAAAGGTTAATATGAAATTATAAAGGGTTAATTTGACGCAGAAAAAGTTAATTTGAAATTAAAAAGGGCTATTTGGTGCGACAAAGTGTTAATCTGATATTAAAAAGAGTTAATTTGATGCAGAAAAGTTTAATCTGAAATTAAAAGGGGTTAATTTGATGAAAAATGGTTAATGTTGTGCGGAAAGGTTAATCTGAAATTAAAAAGGTTAATTTTAATATAAAATAGGGTTAATCCTAAATTAAAAAGCGTTAATATGATGATTGAAAAACTGTTAATTGGACTGGAAAAAGATTAATTTGTAGAGGAAAAGCTCTATTATTACATTAGTTATTGAACAGACCTTTGTTTTATCAATTTCCCGAGAAGGAACAAGTAAATAAAAATATGTTTACCTCTGTTAATAGGTCAATATCTGCAATTTCTTCCAGAGCAATTTCCTTGCAAATATTACGAAAGGAAGAAAGCAACGTTTGCTCCTCTTGAGCCAAACGGGTAATTCTGAAAAAAGTGACTAGTAGAAATTAATATGGAAAGGACAAAAAGCCTAATATAAGTGACAAATCAAATGATAAACTGTACATTCCAAATTCAAATAATGAAAAACGTAAACAATTTTCGGCAATTATGTTAGACTGTTGTTCCATCTTGTACTTACTTTATTTTCAAACTACTTTGCAACTGTTTAATTTTATGCTCCATATTTCTCAGCCTTAGTTGAAGCAAGATTAAATCTGAAACATTGGTTAAAAAAAAAAATTTGTTGTATCGTCGAGGTTTGGATTTAATCGGGCATGTAAATTAATAATTAGCAAATACATTCTGAAATAATTTATAAAGATACAAACTGTTCTTCAGAATCAAAATCCGATCAACACTTGGGCCATGAGTTTAAATTCCAGGATATGTCCCGCACCACGCTTTCCCAACTTCCAACTGAAATGGCCCATCAATAATTCAAAACAATCGAGGTTTCGAATAATCTGTTGGAAAGTTCATAAAATGTTGAAGTTTTTAGCTAGTTTGACATTTTTAAAAATGTAATGTAAGGAGCCGCGATGTAAAGACGTTGATACAGAATTACCATTTCGCAAATTTCATGAATGTCGTGCGGTTATTTTGTAAGTAGACTAGCAATTTTTAGAACAAAAGTGGACTAATCTAAAAGGAAATTCGATGTTACGTCTAAAAATGGGGTCTCAAGTTGAGAAAAGTTACGTTAGAGAGAAGAAAATTCAGGTTTTATGTAAAGATACGTGTTTTCTTAAATAAAGACTAAAACAACGAACGGGTTGAGATAAAACCATGAGGTTTACGGTATTCTATTTCATTTTAGATGTTCTGTCACCGAAGAATTTTTTTGAAACACGACGAGCTGACCAAACCACCCTCAGGCAAAAAATGTCGTACTTAAATCATCCGTGTTTCTAAACTGCTTGGACGGCTAAAAAATCATAATTTGGTGACATTTTAAGTCAAAGATTTTTTTTTGTAAAATTTAAGATGTGACATCTTTTGTAACTGCATTTCAATCAAAGCTAAGTTGTAAAGTTACCGGCTGACTTTAGCTGTTCGGCATCATTCATTTCCTCCTGCTGGCTTTTAATCGACTGAAGGATGCTACTCGCTTTTTGAAAATATCGCTTTAGCTTTTCATTCCTGAAACCAACACATTTTACTCCAATGACGGTCTGTTTTGATGGCATTTTTCCATTTATTTTCATACCTTTGGAATTCCACCCTTTGATTCGTCACCATTAAATTGTCCAAACATTCGTCTTTCATCGAGGAAGAGATTTTGGTCAAAACTGATGTCCCAATGTCTGTGTTTAATTGGTCTGCCTTGCTTCCCCTGTAGAATTATTATTTTTTTTTATTATTCTTGTGAAATTTAATTTAAAATTTGACCAAAACTTACTTCATATTATAAATAAATTGAACTGTGAAATTCTCGATAGTTGACCGTGCACGTTTGAGCCCTTTATGCCAGTGGAGGGACTTATAAACAAAGTGCGCATGGGTTCATTTATCATCAACCGTGACATGTTATGATCGTAACTAAGTAGGGCTTCTGCTTATTTCCGGCCTGGGGTGGTTGGGGACTTCGTCAACGGTTACAGACGAGGTGATTCACTCCCTAGGATAATCATAGCTCGAACAAGAAGAAGTTGAAGTTTTCATTATACAGCTAACATGTTTTAACATTCCCAGATATATAGGTATAAAGTTGATTCAAAGAATCTTATTTTTACATAGCATTTTACATCAAGGCTCATCAAGAGACTTTATACACTGGCAGAAATAATGTATAATATGAAATTTTCAATCTGAAAGTAAAGAAAGAGAAAAAGAAAGAAGTAGTAAAAGACAAGGGGTCAATACTGATCGTTCACGTCTTCCTCACATTTACATTACTAACATTTTTAGTAATTTTTTAGCATTGCTAAAAAGTGAGTTCTTGATAGTAAGTGACTTTTTATAAAATAGAACTTCCAGGGGAATCTGATAAAAAAAATCTCAGCGGTTTTTCGACGGAGTCGACGTGTTGAAAAGTTTACAATTTGACCAGCATTACAAAACAAAGCTCGGTACTTCGTAAAGAATTAAGCAGTGACCAAAGCGTTAAACTTTGCTACCGTTTGAGGTGATTATTGAGGGAAAACAGGAATTTAATAAAACACTCAAGTATTCGTTATAACCTTAACGAACCATTTTCAGCTTCAGAAAAACCCTAACTTTTGGCTTATTAAGGTTACGTGATATTGTTCACATACCTCACAAGGACACAATTTCTTTGGAGGGGGATAGGAAAGATGTGATAAGAGTATCTACTACTGCACTACTCGAATTAAGAGCTAAAGATAGTCTAAAACAAGAAAAATATAATAGGATGATTATGAATATACTTTGAAGTTGGGGTTTTTGTTTCCCAAGCTTTCTGGCTATACTTTTCCTAATGTTCGGTGCAATTGACCTGCACCTGCATCGATCCTTCTCTTAAGAATTACTAGGTCATTGACTGCTGTTGCTACAATTTCTTGGGTTTTCTTTGAAAGGCAGTTATGGCTGCATTGAGTGGTTGGTTCATATGGTTATTTCAAGAATAGTTTCAGCGTCTATGCATGATCTTGCATATCATTCTCTGGCCAGTTTGCCTGCCTTTTCATTACCTAAATTTTCTTTGTATCCTGGTACCTAAAATAGTTGTGTTGCCTAGGTTTTTGATGTGATTTTTTGTGTGCTAATGCTTTAATAGCTACTTGGCTATCCGTTCTTATGAGGATTTTTGTTCAATGTACCCTCTTTTGTGCTCAACCTACCCCTTCAGAAAAACCCTGACATTTGGCTTATTAAGGTCAACAGATATTATTCACAATACCTCACAAGGACACAATTTCTTTGAAGGGGGATAGGAAAGCCTTGATAAGAGTATCCACTTACTACCCGAATCACGAGCTAAAGATCATCTATAAAAAAATAATAATAGGATGATGAAGAATTTAGAAGTAGGGGTTTTACGTCCCCAAGCTTTCTGGCTGTACTTTTCCTAGTGTTTAATGCAATTGACCTGCACCTGCATCGATCTTTGTCTTAAGAAATACTAGGTCATTGACTGCTGTTGCTACAATTTCCTGGGTTTTCTTTGAATCCCAGGTCATTGCTGCATTGAGTAGTTGGTTCGCATCGAAGATGTGGGTGGCAGTTTCTTCTTCCTCATTGTATACCCTACGGTATAGGTTTAAGGTCTATGTGTGATCTTGCAGATCCTCTTGTCTTCCTTTTCAGTTCCCAAAATTCCTTTGTGTCTTAGTACCCAAGATAGTTGTTTCCCAGGTTTTGGATGCATTCACCGTCTATTTTGATTTTGGATGTAATATTGTTACATGTTACTTGGGTATCCGACCTTATGAGTATTTTTTGTCAATGTAACTGAGGGGTACTTCCCTAAAGATTATTCATATTTTGGGCTTGGGGATTAAACTGTCAATGCACTTTTTATTCTAATTACCAAAATGTCATTTATATAAATCAATAATACAACAGGTCCTAACACAGGGCCTTGAGGAAACCGTACCAGTGGATAAACAGAAGCAACACTGTGTGCAACCTGTTGTTTCATAATTTGTTGAAGTCGTGTGGAGCAGTCAAGAATGAGGTAGTAAAAAACACCTTTTTTATTTTCTTTGCCGACCTTAATTTGGATCATCTTCAGGGCCTGGGTAAATTACAAAACATATATTAATTGGGAAAAATAGCAGAGCCATGGGCAGCAATCTAGTCCCTATACTAGTAGATATAGTGATGACACAACTACCTTTCATTTTACCCTTTCTCATCAAATACATTGACATTCTAACATCAGTACCCTCAGATCAAATATAAACAACATTAAACGCATTTACCAACGTTCATCCTCGCTTACAATTCACACATAAAGTCGAAACAGAAAACAAAATACCATTCTTAGACACACTCGTAATAAGACAAACAGATGGCACACTAATTACTGATTGGTATCAAAAACCAATGAACACTGATCGCTACCTCAATTATACTTCACACTGCCCCATACACACAATATTAAACACGGCGAAATGATTATTACACAGAATCATATCTCTAAGTCATTAATCCTTTCACCAAAAAATATTCAAACATACAATAAACACAACTTTATTTTAGAAATTTGCCTTTATTTAGTTATAGATCACAGTTATTGATTTGACCTTCCTTACAAATTAGATTAATTTGACATTCCTTACAGATTAGATTATGAATATGGAACAATTTTACAACCCAACAACCCCTTTCCCGTCCATATTTTTGGTCTTACATTGACTCGTTTTAAATTGTTGCCTCTCATAACAAGCACTTTTATATATAAATCAATATTTGTATTGACTTCTTGTGCTATATCTTCAATTGACTTGAAATTAAGCGATGTCACTGTGCCAAATTGCATTATAATGTCTCCTTCCATTAAGCCCTGAAAAATATTAGTGATAAGTAACAAATAAAAAGAAAATCATAAAAGTTTGTTACGCTTAGTTCAACTGGTGATCCTTTTTGCACGTCTTTAATAACTGCCAACTGTTTTGAACACTCGTCTGTCTTCACTGGAGGATAAACACCCCAATCACGCTCACCGTCTGGGTATGATGGCATCAGTTTTTCTAATAACTCCTTGAGCCTTTCATTAATATGAATAAGATCATTTCTTGTCACTGTAAAAAAGAAGTTAAATGGAGAAAATCTCTTATAACTAGCTAAACTGGAAAAGAATGATCTCAGTATACCATTGGATATGGAGTATACTGACTGGAAAATAACGAATTTAGGATGTGGGGGTATTTTTTAAGGAAGATTCTTGCTACTTTTGCAGGGGAAAGGAAGAAAACCTGCTTTGCTTACTTGCATATGGGGGAAACTATTTATCTTCAAAATTTACTACTTTAAATTTGACATAGGTTTTGAGTGGCAGAGGCCCAACATTTGTCTACTTACATTGATTATAACAAATGAACATTATTACATAAATAGTTACTTTTTAAAATTAAAATATTTTAATTTCAAATTAATAATTAAATGAATGGAGTGCTTACTTATGATAGTTCGGCGGGCTTTCCTTACGTTATAAACGTCAATGTCTGCACGTGGATAGCCTTCTGTATCTACAAGAGGGTCTTCCATTCCTACATTTTGCTGAAATAAATTAAAACATACTTTAATAACAAATGAAGGAATTGTAAGCCGATCCCCATCTTAGCATAAGTTAGGAATAGTTGTTAACGTAAGATAAAAATAGTAAGGAATTTTAAAAATATGTTGGAAATAAGGTCATAAATCTGACAGATCGCCCACCCAATAGGGGGAAAATAGACATTTCCCACAAGCCTGGATCAAATAGAAACATGGCAGGCCGCAAGTCTATCGACATAGGACTAATAGGCTACTTACTGCAAACTAATGAGAATTACGAGTTATTGCGCAGCTGTCCAGGTCATGACCAACCCTTGTATATCGAATAGCGTCGACTGTCAAGGATTTATTTATATATGGATACTATCTTTGTACACGACTACTGGTACACTGACGGCTCCAAAACCAACAAGGGCAAGGGAGCTGGAATTTTTAGGATAAACCAAAGGACCAAACTGACGGTAAACCAAGGTAAATAAAAAGGCTAGGAATACATTTCCGGAAGATAGCCATCTTCTCTGACAGTCAGGCAGCACTAAAGATCCTGCCCTCATGCGAGGTGAAGGCAAAGAGTGTTTGAACCTGCATAGAGGCCCTGGAGGAAGTCAGCGATATTAATGACCTGACCCTGGCATGGGTCCCTGGGCATGTGGGGCATAGAGGCAACGAAAAGTTTGTCATGTTGGCCAAAGAGGAGGCACATAGACTCTGGGTCCTGAACTCTACTGTGGCTTAGCAGCCTGCCACAAAAGAGGATACATTTTAAAATGGATCCTTAATGAGTCCAAAACCTGGTGGAACAATACCACAGTTATATGAGGCAAGCGAAGAGATTCATATAAGGACCATCTGCAAAACTTACAAAAGAATTACTGGAAGGCAACTGCGACCGAACCAGGATTCTGGTTGGACTCCTGACAGGGCCCTGCCACCTAACAAGGCACGAACACGGGATAGGAGTACACAGACAGAAGAAACACTGTGCAGATACTGTCATGAAGAGGAGGAGACCGCAGAACACATTCTATGTTTCTGTAAAGGTCTATGTTCGTGCAGGTTCTTGCAACTAGGACAAGAAAAACCACAAGCAAGATCCAACACTAAGGACCCGCTGGCAAAGCTGTGGAGGCTGATTAACAACCTGAAGCTGTCCAGTGAGTTATAAAAACAAGGGAACACAATAGATCTACTCAGGTCAAGGTGCAGAAGGCCTTGGTGTCAGCCTCTTTTATCCCTAACCCTTATCCCCTCCCCTATCATTGTTCAAAATTACATAAATGGAAAAATTAAAAAAAGAGTCAGGTTGCAATCTATATATGTAAATATTTAGTAAAATATACTAGTTTTCCAAAATTATATAAATGTATTACAAGTAATTACACATAGTATGGTGTTATTTACAATAATATTCATGTGCATAGAAGATAAAGGCAATTTTTTTAAAATGTAAATACAATGAATATTCCTGTCTAGTGGTCAAGATTTGTTTAGCAAATTGTGAAGTTGGTTCAGAAAAATTTTAATAGAGGAATTAAATAATTATATGTGAGGGTTTTCATGTGCAGTGCACATTATTCTGACTGGAAGTGAGTTTTTGCCATAGTATTGTGGCTATAATTAGTAAAGAAGGTCCTATGCTGTCTAAGCTGATAAGGAGTGGTGAAGTTAATATTGCTTAGAAGTTGAGGACAGTCAATGTATGAATAAATAACTGTAAAAAGAGATAATGAGTTGAAGTGTAATCTGGTGTTTTTAATGGGATTAAGTTTAACTTTGAGTGAAACTGGTTATAATAGGAAAGGTTTATTCCCAGCTTAAAGGCAACCATTCTTAAAAATTTATTCAGTGAACTAGAAAAAGCTGCAGGTAGATCATTATAGAATTTACTAAAGGATGTGGAAGCTGGTGTTGGCGAGCATCGTTTGGGGTAAGTCCTCTTTTAAATAAGCTGATTTGCCTTGTTTGACTGTTGGTTGGTTACAATTTAAAGATGGCCCAGTGTGGAAATAAATATTACTTAATACTATTTTTAAACCTAACTCCCCCCCCCCTACATGCACAGTAATTAAGCGAGTATGCTCAATGTTCTATTATCACCAAGTGTTAACCACCTCAGCGCCCGCTTAATAAAAAAAAGTAAAATATTAAAATTATAGTTTGACCATTTCTTATCATCCTGGTCTGCCTATCTGTTTTGGACTGTTAAAAGCGTCATTTCTATGGTCATTTCCATTTTTTATGGTTTTCATTGTTGAATTGGATGCCTACTTTATTAAGGTTTCTCTTGGTAATTTTTAATTTATTTTATTATTAATCTGGAACGGATCAGTTTGTTGACAAGAGTTCAGGTTGTGGATAGTGAGATTAGTCAAAGAAATTTGACAAATTGTTTGTGAACGAGTGATTAAAAGATCAACGTGCTGGTTATAGGACAGCTAGGCAGAAACCCTTCAGCTTAAAGTGGTCACAATATTGTATTGGAGTCTGTTCAGTTTTAAGCCTTAAAGTCTTTTAAGTCAGCCTCCTGTCTAAGTATAGTCCTGAGTATTTATTTGACTTGAATGGAGTCTGGTATCTAGGTATAGGCCTATCTACTGGTTTTTATGAGCATACAGTGGAGGGCAAGATTGTTTTTTCAATGTAAATGTACTGTTTGTCACATTGTCTCGAGGTTGTGGCTTCTTGGGGTCTGCAGGGTTATGAGCCAGTTGTTTGATCGTTTTATATCGTTTTCATCAGTTTAAACACAACTAAGAATCAATTAAAATTTAATGACATCTTTATAAACAGAAAAATTGATGTTTGACCTAATAGATTGGTTAGGGAATTTACCATTTTTTATGGTTTTCATTGTTGAATTGGTTGCCTACTTTATAAAGGTTTCTCTTATTAATTTTTTATTTATGTTTATTATTAATTTATAAAATACCTCGGCAAGTATTTCGCTCATTTCTTTCATCACTTTTTCAAGGGAATCCCTTTTTTCTCTCAATTCCAAGATTGTTCGCTTTGTCTCAGACGACGATGACGGTTCCATTTCGGTCTAAAAAAGAAATTCTCATGTTTAAAAAAGTGACTGCATTTCCCTGGCAACGAAGCCGTTTAAAATCTTTTAAACTAATTTTCCCTCACCTCGAGGTTTTCTTTCCTTTCCACTGGATCAACTGAAATAAAAAGAAACTAAGACAAATCCGCGGGTTGTCTCTCACATATAAGACAAAGTTGCAGCAAGTCGGAAGTCCTAAGACTGTGACAAGGCGCGGTACACAGGCGGCAGGCCTAACAAGTGCACAACCTACCCAACAGTTTTCCCCTCAGAAGTTCCAGTCATTCCTGATTAACTGGCTAAAAATGATGTTTTCCCCCTTGTTTTGTCAATACTCCTAAACCTGAATTAAATTCTTCCACATTTATTTAATTTTATTATTGATTAAAGTTTATGAACTTAAAGTTGCTACTTTGTGAAAATTGTTCCCTATGTGGGAAGGGGGTCTTCCATTCTGTTAATTTTCTTTTTTTCCCATTTATTTATGCACGGATACTTTTACATTATATATTGAGGGGTAACAGAGAAAGATAAAAAAAATATATATATAAAAGATAAAAATATGTTATTTCCAAAGTACAAGTTCTTTAACAATATACAATTTTTGGTTTTTCTTCTTCTATCACTAATCTTATCTTCCCACTATTTCTTTGAAAAAAAAAAAAAAAAAAAAAAAACCAGAGTTAAAAAAGCTTCAAATGCTATTTCCTCTAATCTTAATCCCAGCGGTGTGCCTCAAGGCTCTATTTTTGGACCTTTACTTTTTTTTGGCCAATTAACAAAATTTACAATTTTACAGATATGGTATTTATACAACATTATATTATAAACAATAGATTTGTATTATATAACAATGGCATTCACCCAAAAGCTTAATGGCTTGTGCTGGGTTGAGATGATCAGTCATTCTTTCAAAATAACAACACAGTGAACTACATATTGTTATTTAAAGTTCAAATTGTTACACAAATATTATTTATATTTTTTTTAAATGATTTTAGTACATTTAACTACATATTATTATTTAAAGTTCTTATTGTTGCATAAAATATTATTTATAATATGTTTTTTGAATGATTTTTGGTCAGCAAAACTATTTATATTAATTTTGTTGGTATAACAGAATTCAATAGCAATATTAAATGGGTTTTTCTTGCAAAAGGTTATTCTATATCTTTGTAGGCTGATGGAGAAATCAATTTTGGTTCTAGTGGAGAAGTTGTGGGCGATTGATAATTTATTATTCCAATATTTATACAATTAAATAAGTAAATTTAATAAATATATCTGATTGAAATTATGAACTTTAAAACTCTTTATACAAAAGAATGGTGGTAAGTAAAAAAAGGTTTTTAAAAATTATTTTAATTATTGTATTAATTGTTATAAGTAATCGTCTTTTAGTAGATAAATTTGCATTACTTCAAGCTACCATACCATAAGAGAAAATCGACTGCACAAGTGCTAGATAAACTCGTTTTATGGTATTTATATCAATTATATCTCATAATAATCGAAATTTATAAAATAATGATCGGATTCTTTTTATTATAGATGTTATATGCTCTTCACATCTTAGGATTTTGTCTATGATTAATCCTAAATATTTAATTGAACAAACTTGTTTAATTTCAAAGCAGTTAGAGCAATTTTTAAACATGCAATCGCCGTTATGTACTATTAAATTATTATTATTTATATTGCTCTCGTTTTGGATACTAAATATAATTAATTTAGTTTTTTCTGTGTTCAATAAAAGTTTATTTGTATGATACCAGCTTTGTATTTTATTTCTATTTCCAGAGGCTTTTATCATTAATTGTTCATTTGTTTCATCCTCAATTAGTAAGACGGTGTCATCAGTGAATCCAGTAATTGTGCAGTCTACGTCAAGGTCAAAAATATCGTTTATATAGATCAGAAAAAATAATGGTCCCAGACTGTGCCCTGGGGAATACCATGGTTTGTTTTAATTTTGGGGGGATAATGTAGTATTTATTTAAACTATTTGTATTCTATCCATAAAATAACTTCTGATCAATTTTAAATCTAAACCTCTTATGTCTTTTTTATCAAGTTTGTTGAATAATATTTCATGGTCTACTGAATCTTGCTAGTTGAAGCCTTGCTAATATTCACAAAAACTCCCATCAATTTTTTTGCTTTATCCAGTTTTTCATAAATATTATTTATTACAAAGTATATTGCATCTGAAGTACTTTTTTATGTGTGAAACCAAATTGGTATTCTGCGAAAAAGTTTTGCTGATCTAAGAAGCCTTTAATTCTTATGTACAGACACATTTCTAATAACTTTGAAAGAGATAACGTTAAAGAGATAGGTCGATAGTTTTCAATACATTTTTTATTACCACTTTTGAAAATCGGCACAATTAATGATTTTTTGAAAATTGTAGGATAAACCCCTTGATTAATGCTCAGATTGAATATATATTCAAGGGGGTTGACTATGAATAAACTATACATTTCAATTATTTTGTTGTTCACATTGCTAACATAAAATGTATTGGATGGCTTTAATTCGTTAATATATTTTTGAATTTATGTTTTTGTTACTGGTGTTAAGAAAATTGAGTTTTTAATGTATATAATTTTTTTAAATAATTTAATGGTGTAGTAAATGTTTTTTTAAAAATCTTTTATTAATTTGTTTACCAATATTGGCAAAGTATTGATTGAAAATAACACTCTGCTATTTCAGGTGACAAATTTAGTCCAGTTCCCACATAATAAAATAATTTCTTTTATTTCTTTATCATATTTTTTAATCTTAGAGTCGTTAGATATTTCATTTATAGTTTGCCATAATAATTTGATGCCATTATTACTTTCGTTGATTTTGTCCTTATAGTAAAATGTTTTAGTCAATTTTATTAGTTTTTGCAATAAATTTTTGTATTTTTTGAAATATGTTTCTAACACCTTATTTTTAGGTTGTTTTTTAAGTTTAGCATACAATTCTTCTTTTCTTCTAATTGATACAAGTCCTTGTGTAATTCATAACTGATATAACATAATTCGTAACTGCTAAGGTCATTGTCGGCTCCTCACATAATTTTCCATCATGTGTTTTTTACTTAATACTAGTATAAGGGATGCCATTTTATATTCAACCCTTCCACATGTGGTGATATGTTCCTAATTTAATATTACAAAATAGCCTAAACCCTAAAACTAATATAAAAAATACAATATATTATTTACAAATCTACAGTTGGGAAGCCAGCAGAATGTTTGTTCATAACTTGAATTCCTCCCATCATTCACGCTAATAAATACATTCATACAGAGTAGAATCTTTGGAGCCGTGCAAGTAAAGGTTGGGTAGATGCTATGGACTACGTAACTCACCTTTCACCCTCCATTTAGTCACACGATACTAACTAATGGGTCGACAGGTCTATGTGATACTCTACATTCCGCCATAGACCCCCACACACATGCGCGCGCGCACGCACACACACGCACGCACACACACGCACGCACGCACGCACGCACACACACACACTGACTCTTTTTCCACTAGTAGGTACCACTTTATATTTCTTTGCCAATAAGGAGGTGCCCATGGGTTAACTGGTTGTGGTCAAACCTCAGGCGGGTCAGTACTATTCTATCTCTTGTTTTAGATTCTCTATGGCCCATGATTTAACTGTGCATTTGTTATATTTTAGCTTTTTTATCTTAGTCATCCAGCAAGTTGGCCATCCCAACTGATTCTTTTCATCCCTTGTTTTATCTCTTCAATGAGCTCTTTTCTTTCAGTATGATTACTTTTTCATGTATTTCCTGGATCAATAGGTTTATGGACAATTTATTACTGATCGCTGAGATTCGCGCGAATCCATGCAGATAACAGACATTTTCCCAGGAGATGCTCTACCTTGCTTAGTGGTACATTATTAAAATAGGACTGCTATTATTTCTTTCATTTATTAACTTCTTCCTCCATTTCTTCTGTTAATTTTCTTCTTTTTGCAGATGATCTTAAAATTTATCGTGAAATTTCGAGGGTCAGAGCACTGAGACTATACTGGTGGACTGTGCCAATTTACTAAAATTTTGGTTGTGTGAAGGGGGCTAAACTCCTCAGATGCGGTTTGAGGAAGGTAAGGATTTTTTAAATGTTTGTTTCCATGATTAAATTACTATCCTAAATGAAATATTTACAATAACGCAAAGGTCACTAGCCTTAAGCGTATGGGTATATTTAAAACTTGACAACTGCTGCTGTCATAACAATTTTATTTAATTACAATATTAACAAATTATTAACAATACAAAAGTACAAGAATATACACATTTTAACATGTAATTAAAAATTGAAAATCGGGTGACAAATTAAACACACTCAAAAAAACTTTGTACAATTTTGTTGATGTCACTCACACAAATGATAACATTTTAGTAACTACAATAAACATGGATAGTGGTAAACTACATTTTTTCCTTCTAAAACATTAAATTCTGACGGTGGCATTTTTTCCCTAAAAGAGGTAAAAGTGGTAATGAAAATGGTAGACAATATGGTTAAATGATAAACAATAGATTTTGTTTGTTATTAACTTCTAAAGGTGGGGAAAAAAAGGAGAGACAAAAGTTTTAAATATGTTCATATACTACATTGCTTTTAGATTCACTGGTCTGCACCTTGCTCCGAGATGTTTTCTTAATGATTCTGTCGGTGGATGTTCAGTTGGCCGTAGAAGTTTACGGAAGTTATACGGACCTTCATTGTCATCGTTTATCTGAAGCTCAGGTTTAATGTATTTATTCCGGTACCTTAAACAATTAGTTTATACTAATTAGAAGCACAGCGATGAGATAATATGAAAATATTCATTAATGTGTACTAAATCATTAAATATAAGTTGTACTCATTAATACCTGAGCAAGACACCTTCTATTGCCATGCATTAAACAAAAATACAAAATTTACAAAAAAACAATCAATTATTAATCATAAAAAATATAAAAGGAAACATATTTTAGCAACTCAATGTGATGTGTATGTCAAATTTGCATTTTACTATGGCATTATCAATTTTGGAACAGAAGATTCAAAGATTCCTAGTTTTTAGTTTCATTCTAATTTATATTTTAACATAGGCAGTAATTTCTAATTAAATTACCATCTTTATAAATAAAATAAAGTGAAACTACTAAAAATTTATAATTAAAGTGAACAAACGAAAGTAGGTCATAAAGTTTATTGCTTTTTTAATCTCCAGGGGTCCAGTCAATTGTCAATTGTATTTGATGACCTAATAGAAATAAGTTAAGTAATATCTGTCATGGAGGAGGTCCTAATGCTTAACTATCTATCGGATGCTGTGGATAAGGGGTTGGAAATGCTTTACAACACTTTTTACAAATCCCAAAGGCTAGGCCTGGATTCAAACACAGAACCATTATGAGACAGACACCCATTCGCGAATTTTATTATACTGATAAGGAAAATAAAATAAGTTATTGAAATTACCTCCATGATCCGGAAACTTTCTCTTTGTCAGAAGATGAGCTGAAAGAAGAAGGTGAAACCGATTTCGATGATTGCTCCACCTATAAGAATAAATTATTGATGTGTTACTGTTAGTGCAATTAAACATTCGAAATTAAAGATTATAACAGTAAAATAAATCATATGAAAAATTAAATTATAATTTTAAAGATGTGCCTTCTCATGGTAAGCAATTGAAACTTTATCATTATTGATCACCTCCCTTGAATGGGCCAATTCTGATTTCCCAGTGTTTTTCCATTAGTTTCTCCACATTAAAATCTATAAAGTGAATACTCTCAATAATAAAGAGGACAGCCTTTTCTTCTATAATCTGACTCTAAAACTATAGCAAAAGCAGACGGCAGCTTCCAGAAAATTATCCGTTATCTGAGAAACGCCTTTTTTACCTTCCAATATTTGTAGATTTTTATTATGCCACTTTGCAAACATGTTTAAATACTTCTTTAGTGCGTTCAACACTTGAAGAAAAAAATTAATATAATTAAAGTGATTGAAAGTGAAAAACTAAGTGTGCGAGACTTGGCTGTGAAGACTTCTATTGGAAAGACCCACTCAAATAAAATTCTATAGAATAAAAAAGAAATTTTAGATAAATTTTGCTAACACAGAAATGACTAATCCCGCGGATTTTTTTCCATTAAAACATCTGGTTCAGCCTGGACATATTTGAATGAGTTTGCCGAGGTCGGGCTTGCAAAATACCACTATCTGGTCTACTTCTCCAAGAAAAAGCCTAATTAGTATTTAGGGCAAATAAATTTTACACAATCTTCAGGTTGGTTAGACAAATTTAGAACACAGCATAAGATTTCTTTTAAGACTATTAATGGAGCGAAGGGCCAAGTTGTACAAAACTGGATGGAAAAAAGATTGCGCCGATTTTGAATAAAAAAATTTAATTGTGATGAGACAGCCTTATTTTTTAAAGCATTTCCAGATAAAACTATGCCATTAAAAAATGAGCGTTGTCAAAGAGGAAACATTTCAAAAGAAGGTTTAATTTCGCACTTATGCAAAAGTATGCTCGGTGAATTTGAAAAACCCTTAGTTATCGAAAAGGATAAAAATCCTTGGTGTTTCAAATGTGTCAATATCTTGTAATACTAAACATTTTTTTCAATCGTATCTCAAAAGCAGACAATATTTCATTCCTAAGAGTGTCCGTTATAGAGAAGTTTGATTTATATGCATTTCAGCTCTATTTTATCTTCATTTACCATATACTTTTCTGACCAATATTACTCATATGTATGAAATTATATTGTAAAAAGCATTTTTATACCTCATTGTTTAATACGTCATTGCTGATTTGCCTTAGATGAACTTCAGATGCATTCTGGCGAACATAATTTTGTACCTGCTTATTTTTTGAATGGATCTGAAAATAAACATCGTATGAATGTAATTAATATACATTGTAGAGAATATTAGTTTAAATTGTTGTCCTTTTTCTCTCTTAAGACTCAAGAACTAATAAGCTAATAAATTAATTGTTTAATATCAATTATATAATTATATTTTGAAGCCAATGTTCTTAATGACAATAACAAAATTGTCAAGAGTGGTAAAAGCTGGGCAGAGATCTTAAAAATTATTTAAATTTATTAAACATATTAATAGCACTAAAGGATAGGGCTTACATCGTTACATAAAGCATTAAGTTCATGTTGCTTATTTGAATCATTTTTTAAAGGTCCAACAACCGCTTTCTGAAATAGAAATTGAACAATTGAAAAAAGCCTTGTTTATGTAAAATTTAATTTCAATATATATAATTAATTACACACTTGAAGACATTGAGGTTTTCTACTTTTTGTGACAACCTGTTTATGATTTAAGTTGACATCTCTTTCCGCTGAAAACAATCGACTCATAAAAATAAAACATACAATATGGACAAACTGTAAAAGTGGTCAAAGTGTGATTTGGTGAAGTTACTTTCTCAATTGATACAATACTTACAATAAACATCATTTTTCAGGTGATTGATTCTTCTCATTTTGACATTTCCCCAAGGCGTTGAAAGTTCTTCTTCGTTATCAGTTTGCTGTTTTGTCGGCTGTTGTTGCCTGATCATGTATTTGAATTCATTGTTCACTTTCTGTTTCCCATTTGATTTTGTAGTGCTCTTTCTTGCCAACCATCCTCGTATGTAACGCTGCAGAGTGACTGCACTATACATCAATTGTCTCCTCAGTTTATGACACCTCTGCCTCGCTAACCACCCTCGAATGCAACTCTGAATAATAATAATTTTTCGTATCTGAAATTTTAAAAAATGGTGAATTTTTGTCACAAATATTTTGTGGAAATGTAATGTTTTTGTAACGACCTTATCTTCATAAAGTTTGGTGAGGTATTCAACATGAAAATATTTGAGAAAAACTTTCGTCTTTCCAACAGCCCACCCGTTCATCTTCAATCGTAAGAGCAATAGCCTGCAGTGATCTTTGGTAGGTAGAACATGTTCGTTGTATCTAAATGCTAGAAAACCATAACTGAAACAATACATATTATTATTTTACAAATTCATCAGGGAAAGATATAAGCGTGAGTAAATCACCTGTTTAATAAATCATTAAAACTGATTCGATGAGAAAATCCTTGTTGACGTATCCTAATCGTTTCCATAACTCCAATGTATCGCAATTGCTGATTAACTCTTGCTGAATCGAAGACATGCGGTAACCTTCTATCATTTGGCTTTATGCAGCGTACAAACTGAGGGGAACCTATCACCATTTTCTGAAGTAATTCCATTAATGAATACCTAAAGTACGTTGCAGCTGTCTGCTGAGATCTTGAATGCGATTGGAGAACATTTTCATAATAGTTGTTCTATAATATAAAAGAGCATTATTATACCAAAACTAACTACAAATATTGGATTCAATACCTTTGCACATTTGGTAGGATGGTCTTTAGATGCAGAGTATAAATTTCCAGTTTTTGAAATTGGCCCATCAAAGAGGCATTTAACAATTTCTAGGTTCGAGGACCTCAATAGTTTTGTAGCTCTGGGAGCCAGAAAATGTCTATTTTTATTTAAAAAGCCTTCTGCTTGATAAAGCACACCACCAGCATAATGAATTATTGCAAAACACGGAGCATTCGATTTCGGTTTAACATAAAACTTGCTCTTGATATTACTATGAAATTTATCTAAAATAATAAATTTCATATTAGTATAAAAATATTTCCCAATAGAATTCATAATTTGTACACTTAAAAATTCTTCAATCTGTTTGATTTTTATATTTGAAAAATAAACTTTACCATGGGACTTTCCTCATATAACTAACTACATCAGTACTACTGATACAAAGATACATATACAAAGATTCAAGTCTGATAAGGCTATACAATATGTCTATTCACTAAAAATGAAAATACTCTACAATAAATTAAAAAGGGACAATTAATTTTTTTGTGGCTTTGTAATAGTGTATAGCTGGCCATGTATGTTACTTGGTGCTGACAGCCCTTGAGACCAGACCGATAGGACATCCGAACTCTTCAATTAAAACGGAAATTACTACCCTTGTTTCCTTACTACGGACTACTCCCTATGGCAGTGGATAAAAACCTTACATGGTATGGTGTATCCTGGAAAAGTCCACCACCATTCTGCAGTCCGGGGCATAACACACCCAGAGAGGGCAGAGATGTCCTCACCAGTAACTCAGGAGAATATGGTGCAGCGAGTGCCTCGAAGAGAACACCAATTGGAATGCTGTTATGTTTACTGATGAGTCAAGTTTCTGCCTGTATATGATACGAGGAGCTGAAGAGTCTACCGAGAACAGGGGATGCGTACAATGCCCCAGTTCATGCTCTCTTCATTGCAGTTTGGAAGAGGCGGTTTAATGGTCTGGGAATACACCCCTTAAACCAGGGATCTAATCTGCAGGGATTTTCGATTTCTGGATGACAACGCCAGGCCTCATAGAGGCAGAGTTGTTCATCAAAACCTCAATCCCATTGAGCACATGTGGGATGCATTGCAGAGAAGGCTTTTCAATCACCATCCGCAGCCAGTTGACCTGCAAAACTGAGTGCAGCGTTGCAACATCTATGAAGTGAAATTCCTTATGAAATTAGTGCCAACCGTATTAACAGTATGCCTAACAGGTGCACAGAGGTTTAACTAACAGAGACATTGTACACGGTATTAATTGTTTAAAAAAAATTATTGTGTCCAATAAACAAAACAAGTAAGGAGAACGTCCTGGCTAATTCATTGTGGTAATCCCTACATCCTCCTACCTACAATGGGTAACAACTTGAGCAACATACAGTCGAGCATTATCATGCATTAACATGAAGTTGTCCCAAATAAGTGGATCGCATGAGACCACAGCTTCCAAAAGAACTTTCTTAATGTACTTTAGTGCATTCATTCTGTATGATAATCAATTTTGTATAGGCATAGACATTGATTCCACTCCATACCATAACTGTCTTTAAAAAGGCTGTGGAGCAAATCGTTCTCCACACACGGTCCTGGCCATCTGATTGCCACAAACCAAACTGGCACTCATCTGTGAAGAGAATAGACCCCTAATATTCAAGTGCCCAAGTAAGACGCTTATTTGTGAATAGTTGCCTTTCTACTCAATAGCTCTACAGTAGTAGAGAACCTGAAGCTGGATATCTAGAGTCCAGGCTATTCTCACAAAGCCTTCTGATGACTGTTTTAGAGCTCGCCTTTACATTGCGGATTGTTTGGAGTTGACTACCTATCAAGGAAGGAAGCTGTTAAATGATAGTTCCTTAGTGCGTCAAGAGCAATAAAATGATTGTCTCTAGCTGTCGTACATCTTGGTCACTAGCTTCTCTTCGATCGAGATTTCCGGTGGCCCTAAACTGCTGTAAACCATTGTGGATGGTAGAGCGGGGCACACCCAGGACTTGGGCTATGTAATGGATTCTATGTATAATTATCATTATAAGGGCTGATATAAAAATTAATGATATCTGATAAATTTATCAGTAGAAATTCAATTTTCTGACTAAGGCGGTAAGCAAGTTGCCAAACATAACAACAACAACCAGCCAAACATAAATCTAGATTTATATAAATGAGACGGAATGGTAATAAATGAGAACTACTTGCCTATTAATGATTTGTCTGTTGCCCTTGGGAATCTACTTTCTTCATCAAGTAGTGCTAACAAGCCCAACGGACGAGATAGCAGCATATCAAGTACAGGCCTGTTGTCTGTAAACTCTACCAGATCAATGGGTATACCTTCAGCCATGTACTCCTATTGCAATAAAAATATAAATAAAAAATATGCACATTTATATTTGAAATATTAAAAAAAGTTTATTAATTTACCTGTTGTTCCCATGTGAAAACATGTTGGTTAAAGTAATACTGTATTTGCTCATTTGCTATATTTATGCACAATTGCTCAAAGGAATTTCGTTCAAAATTTTCAAAGCCAAAAATATCTAGTATTCCAATAGATAATTGTTCATTTCTAAAATATTTTATAAAACCAATAAGTATAATAGTGTTGAACATAATTTTCAAGTGTATTATAATGCGCGTCTGTATGTTCAATGTTTGTTTTGTGTTTGTTCACAGCATCCTTGTGGGACATAGATGCAAAGACTTGTATGACAATTAATTGTTGTGCTATTAAGAAGAGAATATGAAGAAAATACGTCTAAATTATTCAATTATTATTATTCCTTGGTTCCTGGCCTACGGAGGCTTGAACTAGAAGGGAAAAGGTCATACTTACCACATTCCTACGTGTTCTTATATGGAGCAAAGGATTGGCACCTTTCAGTTTGGTAAGATACAACCTTTCTCTGAATGCCGGACACTTTGGCCTGAAGCCTTGCATGGCCTATCCTTAATCAGGTGAGCATAACTTTCTTATATGAGTCAGGTCCTCTGTTGGCCAACTATCAAAAGTGCTTTTGATATGCTAGAGCTTCTCTGCCGATCCATCCTACCGATGCTGCCACTTTCTTTTAATCGTGTTTTTTATTGCGTTTTTAGCATCAGTGGATTGCAGTGGTTGAGTCCGGAGGTTGGGATGTCCTCGCCTTAGTCGCCTCATCCACATGTTCATTACCCTCCAGTCCGGGTACTAAGATACAACCACTAATTTGTCGCGACACCCAGCTTGTGGTATTTCTCCAACAAGAACACAAAACGGACCGTTCATAGATAGCAGTAACTGCACTGAGAGAGTCTGTGCAAATCAGGTAAGTAGAGCTACAATCATCCCGAATCTCCTCAAGTGTGTGCCAAAACGTATACAATTCCTCTGTATAAACGCTATAGGTGAAGTAGATGCACCCTCACAATGCACGGCGCATGGTCTTAGACCCATCTCTGAAGATGAGACATAAACCGTGATCTAAGTTCCAAGAATTTAGCTCGGTAAAGGTATGCAGAGAAGATGACTTGGCTAACACAGCGAGATCATCCCGGACAAGTACAGCTGCAAGGACCCAGACAAAGCATATCGATTGAATATTCTTCTGTGCACAAATTTCTTTTTGTAATGACCTAAGACTAGCCTGACTGTCAGAAAAAATTCTAATATTCTTTCCCTTAATTTTATTTTCCAAAAGTGTTCTATAACACACATCAATGGCCCAGATTTTCATCTGAAAAACGGAGGTGTAGTGCCCAGAGGGGAGGAGATGCTGATTCCTAATTTAGGTATGTAGATTCCTGCACCACTCCCTCTACCTTTGATAAGTGAACCATCTATGTAGCAGTCTATGTTGCGATGGTCATCATCCAAACTATAATTATATTCACAAGGGGTGACTACCTGAAAGTACTTTTTCTATGAAGGGGTTTTAATCTTTTTATCACTAACGCTTAATAATTGGCCGTTAACCTTACTCAAGAGTTGTCAGATTTTCGAGTGATTTATGTTATTGCACTTATGATTCCAGCTGCCTTTGCTAATTAATCTGTAGCAGCTGATTAGTGCTCTGACTTTAACCTCAATGTGTAGAGGTGTGGTTTGGTTATGATTTCAAGTGCTAGGGTGGGTGTAGTCGAAAATGCTCCTGTCATCATCAAACAACCTAGTCTCTGAAATGACCTTAATTTATTACTGTTCCCTTTATTTTCTAGACCTTTCCACCATACTAGAACAGTGATAAATAATCTAGGTGGAATAATTGCAGTGCATAGCCATTTGGCTACCCATGGTTTGGTACCCCATGTTTTACCGACAATTCTCCTACATTGTGCCTTTCCTGTATATGTCATTAATATGAACTTTCCAATCAAGTTTCCTGTCAAGCGTCACACCAAGGAATTTGATTGAATCCACTAACTTTAATTCTATGCCCTGAAATTCAGGGTTTTTAATGTTCAATATGTGCAAGAAAATCAAGAATCTTTGACAAAAGTCTCTTCCTGGAAAGAGTATGATCAAATTGTGACAATTATTCAAAAATGTTTCCCTGCATTTTGACATAAAATTATATAGAAAATATCGTTCACACTAAGAATAATTAGTGATTGAAGGAAATGCCTACGAATTCAGCATAGCCAATGTATCACAAATAATTTGGATCTTGGTTGCAAAAATCATCATCATAGGAAAACAATCTTAAAGATGTCTACAAATTGACATAATTTTCAACAGATGGTTTATCAATTTGTCAATATCTTTAAGATTGTTTTGCCCTAATGATAACCTTAAAATAGGTCAATAGCTTGGCAGTAACAATTTTTTTTTTATCCAGACCAAACCGCGATCTAGATTATTCATGAGTAAATAAATGGTTGATACATTTATCACTTTAGTCAATTTATGCTGATTTGAAGGATGTCATACTTACAACTAATCAAACTTGTAGTCTGACAGTATATAATGCAATTGGTTGCTGGGTATCCAGGCCAACTTTTTACAGTATTATACTGTATGCAGTGCTTTATTAACATGGATTTTTAGGATGGATTTTCGTGACCTGCGTGGCTGTTTTTACAGTGTTAGGTTAGGATGAGTTTGATTAGGGTTAGGTTAGGCAATGAAGAGTTAGATTACATATTCTATGCTCTTCTGTGCACAAGTTTTCTTTAAGCAAGTCTTTTATTTTTCTTGTTTGCTTTTTGTAAGTCTAATTGTTTTCCAATTATTTTACTTTTTGTATGAAGTGTGTTATTTGTGTATAGCAGAGACTTGAAGTTAAAACACACAAATTAAATAACCTTGTGTTGAATGACAAGAGGCCGTTGATCCTATTGACAATCCAATCAAACAGTCGGCTGTACAGCGCTTTCACTATGGAATCCCTAGATGCGCTTGCATCGATAACTGAATTATTCCTGACGATCGTTTCACCGCGAGTGCTCACGATGTTCTCTAATAAGCATTCCATAATGTCATTCGGGTCTAAGCCGAGTAAGTTTGCAGCTGAAATAAAAATGTGTTTTGTAATATAATCATTGAGATAATATAATTAATCCATACCTCTGTAAAGTGGTTTGAGTTCCATGATTTTGCTTTTATTGTCAGTATTATCCTGAGAAATCACTTCACCAAACCGTATGTCTCCAAAATGCAGAATGGCAAATATTATACAGTAAACTGAATCAATCTCCCCTTTGTGAAAGCCAACCCTTTGAAACGCTAGTTTCATTTCATTGTACATTTTTACATTTTTCTGCAAATTATAATACAAAATAGAAATAATGAAGTACATTAGACTCTTGCTTTCACTCATCTGCAGTGCCCCCCCCCCCAAGTTTAGCTCTAGAGGAGAGTGAGAATGAATATGAATCAAGTTCACCTGAGAAGAGGATAAAGAAGAGAAGAAAATAGAAGAAAAACAGAAATGAATGATAGAAAAACTTGGAGAAATCTTTCAATTAGCTCAAAAGTTGAAAGACAAAATCATAGAATATGATCCAATAGTGGAGCAAAAAATTTCCACCAGTTGAAACTTCCTTCTATCTGTGGAACTTATCGATCTTCTTTATAAATTTTATCTTTTTTAGGTCCCTAATAATTTTTTCTCATTTGTTTCAATGTCTGCATAGGGGCATACCTATTGATGTATGTATGTACACATAGTTTTCCCGAGTGGAATAAATTTTATGTATGATACATTGTATTTTTCTTATTGGAAAAAAAACCCTGAAATATATATACATAAGTTCATACATAACATTGACGATAAGCACATGCAGTACAGCAAGTGTCTGACTGGTATGCAGATAGAAAAAAATGCCTCAAAGTCTGAAATTCAAGGTGTTTCATATTATCTGAGGTTCTCGTTATCCATGGTGTTGCTTGGTAAGCATCACCCACAGATAACGAAAGTATACTGTAATTGCAATGAAAGCAATTGTTAAATTAGTACTGACCATTTTTGTATCGTAATCTTCCCTGTGGGAACTGAGGTAACGGTGTGTTTTATGTACATCTACATCTAAGTAAAATTCCTGGTGCCTTTTTTCATTAATTATTCCTTCATACAAATAATAAAACACGTGGAAATTATGCTCCTGTCTGAAAATCAAAATATCGAGACGAGATATTTAAAATACCATTTTATCTCAATGTCTCACCTTGATTGCTGTGCTACTCTTGACTGTTCTAGAAGGTATACGTTAACCCTAGCTCCAGAAACTTTACCCGATGGTGATAAACTCAGTTCTAAGAACTTGCCAAATCTAGATGAATTAGCATTTATTCCTGTCTGCGCATTACCAAAAGCTTCTAAAAGTGGATTTACCTGAAGGATCCGCTCTTCTAAATTTCCATTAGGAGCCTTAAAAATAAAAATAAAAATAAAAATAAAATAAGTACACTTTTTTTAGATTATTGCTATAGTTAATATACCTTGCCCAGGAAGACAAGTTGTTTCAATAAGAGGTTCCCACTTTCAGTTTTGCCTGCTCCACTCTCTCCACTTATAACTATGCTTTGGTTTTTCTTTTGATGTACAAGAGCTTGGTAAGCAGCATCGGCCACAGCAAAAATGTGAGGTGGTTTACTTCTTCTAGACTGTTTACAGTATAATCTTTGTTTCTGTAAAATTATAGTTTCTTCTGCAGTCATTTTAATACTTAATACTTAGTCCATACAAGCCAATTTAGCTAATATTTTCTTCTGTGACATGTGATAGTAAGATAATTTATTATAATAATATTTTGTTATCTAATATTTTATCCTAGATGTTATCACAGAAATAATACAAAATGTACAAATGCTCGAAATACGCAAAAAATATCCAACAGTTAATCAAAACATAGTAACAATCTTGTAAAAGACTGGAATTTCCTTAAATTAAGATAATTAATTGAGTAACATCAAATCCCATGATTGCAGACCCAGTGCTGGTTCCACATATATTCACCAACTCATAGACCAACAACCACTATCAGCTTCAAGGTAATTTGTCACATATCCAATTAGAACAATTTATTATTGAATATTAAATATATAAATTATTAACAGTACTCACTGATGCTGTGTACAATCCAAGAGAAGCATAAGGGTTAATACCAATCAAGATATCTCCGATGTAAGTATAGATTTGATCAATTTCAAAGCGAGCTTTCAATTGTTCAACAATTATATCCTAAAAAACATTAATTAAAATTGTTTTTTAATAAGGTTTAATATATTAAATAAGTAGGATTTCATTACGTACTTCTGTGAGCACACTAAGACAGACTAAATCTTCCACATTTATATCACTCTTGACATATCTTTTGTGAGATTTTAATTTCCCGTGCTTTGTAGTTATTTCAGGCTGTCTACTATATCTACCATAAATCCGTTGCCTTTGAATTTCCTTTTCCAATTCAATACGGGCCTGTGTGAGGATAGTAAAATCAGTAAAGATTACATTATTGAAAATGTATTTGATCATTTTGTCTAATTTTTATATTTATTTAGAACCTTGTAACTATATTCCACCCCTTTTCTAATTAGGGGGTGGCTTCGAAGCTGTTTGGCATATGGCCGCCGTTCCATGTCTTTTACTAGTAGGTCAGATACAAATTCACTTAGTAGATGGCAGTCTTTTCTTTGAAGAGTTGGTGGTGGGTTGCGTGGTATTTGAAAAAGAGCTCTCATTGGATGAAGATTTGAAAGTGGTGGATCGCCTTCGGCTAATTCGATTGCAGTGATTCCAAGAGACCATATGTCACATCTCGTATCGTACCAAGAATCTGTCTGTTGCTCGCAAGCAATTACCTATGAAACATGCCATGTTATTTCATGAATAACTACGTTAAAAGGTAACAGAACAAGTATAAACCTCAGGGGCCATCCAATACGGTGTTCCTACTGAAGTGTTTTTATGACCGTGTGTACGTTCAAGATGAGATGATACACCAAAGTCAACAAGCTTCACTTGGGCATTTTCCGTAAGCAGTATATTATGGCCTTTTACATCTCTGTGCATACAGTGGTTTGCATGTAGGTACACCAAAGCCTGTGCATAAAATTCAAGAAATAACACTGCTTAGATAACACAAAAGCAATATACATACCTCTATAGTTTCTGCCAAAATATATGCTATCTGATATTCCAAAAGGGATTCTTTATATTTCATCAAACCTTGTACTAAATCTGTCACAGATCCTCCACTACAAAGCTATACATATAAACTATTAATATTATCGTTTAATAACACATTTATATGAATGTAAATTGCTAACCTCCATCACAAACCATAACTGATCTTCTTCGAGTACTGGGAACCTTCGTAAAAACATCCCGTAGAACAATGGGAGATTGGGGTGATGACATAGGTCTTTCAAGATTTTGTACTCTTCCAGTATTTCTTCTATGTTCTCAGAAACATTTTCCAAAATTTTGACTGCAACCCTCTCTCCTTTAAAAATAATATATATGTTAAATATTGTACACATTTTTGAATGAACGTAAATATCAAATTATGAAATTATTTCAACATGTGTGGGATTTGCGTACAAACTAACAAGAAGTATTTTTAGTTTTAGCAGTATCAAATCCCACCTAGTTCTGAGTATAACAATAAACATTAAATAATTAATGCACTGTAAACTTTATTTATAGCACACTGAGAAGAATTATTTGTTATAGTTAATAATAATTTAAAATAAGTCATACATTCATATTATTAAAATATGCAAAATATAATTCCAATTTATCGCTCTACAGCTTCTATTTTAACCAAATTTAAAAAAAAGACTGGGAATAAAAAGAAAAGAAAATTTTATAAATATGTGCTACCTGTGGCGGCGTATCTGGCAGTGTAAACTTCACCGTAAGTGCCTTCGCCGATGAGCAGTTCAAGGACAAGGCGATTTCCAGGCTCTGGTATCAAATCCAAATCCATTATGGAAGCAAGCTGCTTGTACACCGCCATAACACCACCACCTGCAAAAATATAAATCACATTTATTACAATTATGGTTGTTCTAATAATAAACAGTCATCATCATTGTTGAATATAGTAAATTTTTCCAATTTTATAACAACAAAACACAAAATTACTTCACTTGGGGACTTAGCTACTCAATAAGTCATAGAACCTCAAAATTTTCATTAAACAATTTAAATGCATATAAAGTTTTAGTTTTGTTTAGAGGTTTACTCTTTATGACATTGCACACCACAACCAATTCTGGTATAGTGTGCAATTTCCATCATTGTCTAGAGCACTTCATTAAGATTTTTACCAGAGCACAAAGTTTTTAAGGGATCCCACGTTTATTCTTCAGGCCTATGCAATTCCTCTTCAAGAGTAGGACTGCCTAGGCCTTCGTACCAACAGAAGATTTGTTCCGTTATTCTTCTTCTCATAGGCCATACGTCTAGTAGTTCTGCTATTATTTTCTGCAATACATCACCATAGTATGGAATTTTTATTCTTAGCCCATGTCAAGGGAGATTGATGTTTATGGCAATTTGGTAAGCCACAAAAAGGTTAGAGGGCTGATATGAGTACTGAACAAATTTTACTTGACCAGTTTATCACCTTCCTAGTTGCCTCTCTGCCGTAGGAATCCTGCAGGAAAGGATTCCAGTGTGTATCCTTCAGGCCTTGGCTTTACCTCTCAGAGGAATAACTAACTCTTAGTCAAGTTAGGTTGCACCAACGGATGACATGTTCCAGTGTTTCTTCTTCTTGGCAGTATCTGCACATCCTTGTTTAACGGTTTGTTGATCGTTTGAACGTTTACATATCTAGTGAAACTTCTCAAACTAGAAAGATAACGCCCACACACACATTCACCACTGTATAGGCAAAATGCTGAAACGCGTCTTACAGACCAAAGCAGCGAGGGTAGGCGGACCTGGGCAAATTAAAACAACAAATAGACCTCGAAGGTCAAATGGCCTGCTTGAAAAGGGTTTATGTTGAAGTTGAAGAAAGCTCACATCTAAAATAATTTGTCTAACGATTAGAGAGACGTAAAGGGCCAAGGTATTTGAATTGGTTTGACACTCTGTCCCTGTCATCCTGGTTCTTCTCGTCTGGTCCATCGGAACGAGTATGACTCAAACACTTGAGAGCAGACGGGTCAGGACGATCAAACAAATGAAGATAATCCATTATTCCAATCTGGTATGTGAATAAATAAAAGACATTCTTTAGTGAAAGCTGATATCGGTCGGTATTTCAACTCTATTTATTAATCTATAATCAGTTAAATGTAATGTACATCGGTGCATTTGTTTTCACTAATCCTCCAAAGTTTGTCCTATTTGGCTATTCGTTGGACGTGTGCCTGAAGCTCCTCCGAGATGATTGCATGATCGGATCAGAGGAAAGCACGGCTGTGTCGTCTGCAAAGGGTAGAGGGCATGGTTAGGATGTCTGAGGTTTAGAGGTATAGGATTGATCCGAGCACACTGCCTTGCGCCACTCCAGCTCCCATAGTTCAGTGCGAAGTTGCAAGAATCGTTCTGGTGTTTGGAAGAACGCGCGCTTTAGTTTGTGTAGGAGACCCTCATGACATACGAAAATAGAATGCTAATTTTATACACCTCCCTACTCGTTTGGCGACGTAGCATGGACACTCTGGACTATTTGTTATTTTGCTAGGTACGACCAATTCTTTCCATGATTTTTCAACGCCAGTTATTTTAAAGGCATGTTTTGTTTGGATATTCAGTCGACTAGTACTCTGCCCTGTGACAGACCAACTCCCATAGTAAGTAGGAACTCACAATAAGTCCTATGAGATAGAAGCGGAATATTCGGTACACGGTGTTTGGAAGGACGAGGTTTAGTTTGTCTAGGAGACCCTCAGGACAATTAAAACTTATCGTTGCTGCCAGAAATAAATAATTTGCCTTTGTGCTTTAATGATGGCGTTGTTGACAGAATTAATGAATGAAGGAGATGATGAAAGATGTGGAGCATGGTCGTGAAAAGAGTTTCTCGGGTTCCGCTATCGCCGAAGAGGTCTCTTCCTCTCGTAGCATCACAAGTGAGAGGACGCTCGCTCTAGATTCCCAGGATCTAATTCAACGTTCTCACCTCCATTTTTAATCATTTCACGCACTCATTTCATTACGCGCCGTAAACCCTCGGATTTAATGGCCCCAGACGATTTCTAGGCAGATGTGGCACAGACGTAAATTGCGATTCATGACCGAAAGTGAAATCAACCGTGATTTGGCCAGGGGAAGTCGGCTTCTTGGACCGAGGAAGAACAGCAATCGAAAGTCAAAGCTGATGTTTATGTTCTTTATTTCAAGCCGCAACACACTTCTCAGCTAGGTAAATACATATATAAAATGTATACTATAATACCGTCGGGATTTTTTTTTAACATTTGCCGATCGAGACAACGAGATAATGAATGGTTGCTGAACAAGGTCGAGAAAATGTATGCCTCGCTTGTGCATTATTAAGCTTACTAGTTTCCTTGGGAGGCAAAGTCCAGTAAGTAGTCCCGTTACCATCGGGTTTGTTTACTTTTCCAGCCTTTCTGAACTCCGTGAACTAATTAATCGCAAGCTCTATTTATAAAATCCTATTGAATTCCAAACTACTTTGTCACCATCCCTTAAGAAATCACAACTCATAATACTTTACTATCAATTTACCATTGCATCGTATAAAACGACAAACGTGTAGAGTGTTTAGTAAAGTCAAATTTAAAAAAATTCATTATTTGCAACTTGAGAGGTAAATCCCATAATTATTAGTTCTTACACCAGAACGAGAATCGCAAAATGCAATTTAAAAAAAAAAAAAAATTACAAGAAAATGGCAGCGTCGGTGGGCCGGATCGGCAGAGAAAAAATTCGTTCAAAAGCATTGTCGATCGGTGGCCCTCGGAGGATCTCACTCGTAGAAGAGGGGTCATCTTCATCCGATTAACACGGACACTTTTTTGGCAAAACCCGCATTAGTGTCCGCCATGCAGAGAAAGGTTGTGCGATGTACCTACCTTATTGAAGGGCGCTTGTCTCTATATAGAGAGCGTGCAGAAATGCGACCCGATATGAGAAATGTGCTTGAGCATGCGAGCGAGTATTTGGCTTCCCTGTTCCGATTTTTGGAGAAAACAGGGTTGTTTTATTGTGCATAGTAATGTTGGTTTTGTTTCCAAAGCATATGCTGAGAGTGAATTTATTTATTGGCGCAAATGTATAGACTGAGAGGGTCGATGGTGGTCTATTGAATCATCGCCCCTAAATTAGGTTAGTTATATAATAGGCGTAAAGGGTGATGGAGGAATAACGAGTACTCCACTAGTCTAACTGAGTATCGCGAATGGTTAATCTATTTAAGGGTGAGTGAGAGTGTTTATGGATTTAGGAACTGATTGAGTTGGGGGCTGAAATGACCTAGAGCTGTTGATAGCCCCTCGAGTCCAACCTCGGCGGCTGGACAGATAAGAACGAAGATTCACGAGGCCTGCCGGTAATTTATTGTAAATTACAAAAGATTGAATTGCCGTTGGACTGCATGAAGTGATTCGCTCAACTCTGTACATGTGCAGATTTGAGCTAATATAAATCAGTAATGCATAATGTCAGAATAACCAAAAATCCGAAATTGATTCAAATAGGTAAGGTAGACGAGGTAAGAGCTCCAGAAAACTCCAAGAATCTTCTGTTCACTTCCCGATGCAAAAATGGATCATTATGGTTTCGGTAAAGAATTGAAGATTTCAGGTTAAAACCCAGGGGAGTGACAGGCTCTATGCAGGCGATCGTCGTTTGAGAAATTACCTGTACAACATGGGTATAATTAACGATGATCCAATTTAAATAAACTACCACCCATATGGACATCGAAAGCAAAGCAATAAGCTCAATAGAGACATAACTTAAGGTAGCAAGAAGACCCGTGAAAAGATTTGCATGACAACCAATGACCAAGTACTTGTTACAAGAAGGACTGAGTCGATTGCAATGAACTTAAGGAACAAGGCTGTTTATCTTGCAAATACCACGTTGTATTGCCGTTTTAACAAAAGTGATATGATGAGAATGACCATGGTAATAATCAGGCCGAGTGATTAGGAAGTCTGACTCGTATTTGTCTTGATAGCGGTCCACGGTTCGAATCCCGGCGTAGCCCATGGGTTTTTAATCATCATAATGTATTATGGTGTCACCACAAACATGGTGGTTAAACAATGGTCTCCCTTCTTCTACATTGCAGCACATGAGTTTTCAGTCATCTGTGTGTAAGGAGCACAACCTGCTTATTTCGAACTCGTCAGCATTCTCAACTCTCACTATTGGAGCAACAGTCAGCATTAGCTACAGCAACATGGGTACTCGCAGCATCACCTCTTCCACTCACAGGTGGGGAGGTTGTCTGCTGCACGAGTCCCTTTGCCCGCTAGCGAGTTACCAACTCACGCTGCATCAACATCCGGCTCATCGACATCAGTCCACGTACTTTGACCATCTTCTCACCCACAACGGCCTTTCTCCGGTCACTAATGTAAAAAGTATTGTAAAGTGGTTTGATCCCTCGTCCGCAACACTCGTTAAGCCCCCTCCTGTAAGACAGGAATTACTTTACATATGGTCTTCTAAAAATTCTCCTCCGAGTTTTGTTCCAACAAATGACAACAACAGTTTTGTCACTAATCCTCAGGGTTATTTTCAGCGGATCGAGGGTATTCATATGCTTTATATAGTGTAACAAATGGCATAATAGCGATTTGGTAAATTAACGGTGAAAAGGGGCGGAACTTCACGGTGCTTTGGCAAAATGTCCTATCTCGTAACATTGGGCCTAACGATGCGCATCCCCGTACATTTTGGATATTACCTTTACAATTGAGCTAATCATTTATATTGCAGTACAGAAATGTTTATCACTTAGAAAATCCTCCATTGATTATTTTACAACAATATTTGGTCCGTTTTACATCATTTGCACTCCGGAGAAGCTAAGG